TGGGAGTGTGGGAGGGAGTGAGTGTGTGAGTATGTGAGTGTGTGTGGGTGAGTTTGAGTGTGTGTGGATGTGTGGGAGGGTGGGTGTGGGTGTGGGTGGGTGTGTGTGTGTGTGTGTGTGTGTGCGTGTGCGTGAGTGAGTGAGTGAGTGAGAGAGTGAGTGTGAGTGCGAGTGCGAGTTCGCGGGCGCGGGCGTGTGCGTGGGCGCGTGCATGTGTGTGTGTGTGTGTAATTTTGGTCTCGCCGCAATGATCCTGGGAGCAGAGCGTGAGGGTGGGGTGTGCCTGGGGGGTTTGGGGGGGCGTTGCCAATTCAAGTGCTGGCAGCTGCAGTGGCGTGGGCACTGCCAGAAAAGCAGAGAGCGGTGGGTGGGTTCGGTGGTGTGGCTGGAGAATTCCCTGTGGGTTAGTGCATAAGTGGGAGGAGGGGTGCGCGGGGGGTTGGGTTGGGAGGGCCAGTGCCGATCCAAGTGCTGGCAGCAGCAGTAGCGTCGGCTCGGCGGGAACAGCCGGAGCAGCAGAGAGCGGTGAGTTAGAAAAAAGGGGAGAGGGCTGGGGTGAGAGGATAGTGGAGAGAGGATAGAGGGGGGGTGGTGTGCAGGGAGATCTTGTGTGTTTTTTAGGCTCCTTGAAAAGTGGACCGATTTTCGAGGCGTCTCCAAAATGGTTTGGTGTCGGTGCTCATGCTGCTGCAGTCCCCAGGCGCCAAACGCCTTTCTTTTCAGGCGCCTAAAAAATCGACGGCCTTCCTGTTGCCGTCCTCTCCCTACCATTCACTCCTTAGTCCTGCGTTCCCCCCTAAAAAATCTATGCTCTTCTTTGTCTGGTCCCCCTCACCTCCTGGGCGAGCAGTTGTACCCCGTAGTAGCACGCCAGGAGCTGGAGCATGCTGGAAAGATCACGGGGATGCTGCTAGAATTGGACAAGGGGGAGGTGCTCATGCTGCTGCCCTTTCTCTACTTCCCTCCCCTCCCTGCCTCCTTCCCTGCTTCTTTTCTCTCCTCGGATTTCGTCACAGATTCTGGGCGAGCAGCTGTACCCCTTGGTAGCGCGCCAGGAGCCGGAGCACGCAGGCAAAATCACCGGGATGCTTCTAGAAATGGACAAGGGCGAGGTGCTCATGCTGCTGCAGTCACCGGACGCCCTCCGAGCTAAGGTCTCCGAGGCTCTCGATGTGCTTCGGATCGCCGCTGCTATGGCAGCCGCCTCCACTGCCGATCCAGCCTAGGGATGATAGGTTTGGCAGGGCAGGCTTGGGGTGGCAGGCTCGGGGTGGCAGTTTTGGGATGCCATGTTTGGGATGGCAGTCATGGTTTGAGGTCTCAACTCAATGCATGGCAGTATCTGATCCCTTGGTTGAATGGTCTAGTCTGTTATGAACGCATGGGATACATACATAGCAGTACCCGTATCTTAGTTCAGGCCATTGGTCGCTGTCATGCTGATTCTTCCGTGTTGCCATCCTGGAGCGAAAGACTGCCAAATCCAACAGGAATTATGCAGGTTCTGGTTTAGGTGAGGGAGAAACAGCCAACAGCACCTTGCATTTCTTGAATGACACAGTGCTCCTAATGTCCTGTACCCATACTGCTGTGTCCTTCAGAAGAATCGGATTGGAAATATCTGAAATGACTAGAAGTAGCAAATATGACATTTTGCAAACAGGTTTAGGTGCTAGTCCAGAGTTTCTACTACGTATAGTTGACATCCGCGTTGTAAGCTTCCTGTGCACTTCCTAAGTCTCACTACAACCACTCTATAATGAGGACACAAGCTAACAGGCCAATAGGCCAAGCGCCCCTGCACCAGCCACTGACGGAGATGTAGGCACAGCTCTCCCTACTCACCGTTTGGGATGATCCGCTGTAATCTCATCATCATCAGCTGTTTACTCCCTAATAGCAGTTGGTTAGTCGTCCGAGCCCCGTCCAGTATACTACAGTGTCCGCAGCCACCTCAGCCACCAAAAATCAGCTTCTAAACTCGTACGCGATAAGAGCACAGCAGCACCGCTGAGAGGCCGCTGGAGTAGAGTAGTAACGGGTACAGAAATCAGCCAATTCTAGGGGGACGCGAACGACGCCCTGCTTGTCGACGAAAACGCGAATGCGATTTGGGCGATAATCCATCGTGGCGAAACCGTTACTCGGGATAATTCGCACGTCCCAGTTACACTGTGGCATGGTCGTCTGGATGTAATCGCGAGCCTTTTCGCCTGTCATTCCAACCACCTCGGGCCAAGAGGTCTTGCTGGCAAGGCAAAAAAACACGGGAAGATAGGGGGGATAGGAGGGGCGGATATCGTGAGTGGACGACGGTAGAGTGCGGAAGGGGATGCGAAGGGAGGAGGAGAGGTCGCCATTCCAACCACCTCGGGCCAAGACGCCTGACTGGCAAGCGTAATGAACGGGTATATAGGGGGAAAAGGGATTGGAGTGAGTGCAAGTCAGAGGAGCGGAAGGGAGGAGATGGGAAGGGAGGAGAAGAGGCATCCATTCTAATCGCCTAGGCCAAGGCGTCTGGCTGGTAAGGGTAAGCAACGGAAGTATTGGGGGAACAGGAGTTGAGATTTTAAGTGGAGGTCGGAAAAGTGGGTTTCGGGGAATATGATAGGAGCGAGGGTTCGGGTTCTTTAGTAAAGGGGATGGGGAGGTAATAGTGACGCTGGGGATACTAACGCGTACAACAGGCACACAAACGGGAGTATGCGTCCTGAGCATCCTCCTGCTTCTTCCAGCGCACCTGCTACAATCTGCTTTTGAGTCGACTACTTTCCAAAAGCGCGAGTATGCGTCCTGAGCATCCTACTGCTACTTTCAACGCACCTGCTACAGTTCTCCTCTTCGGCGATTTGCTTCGGCCGGCGCTGCCCGTTCGACTTTGGCTGGCTCGTCCCGCCGCCATTCTTGTTCGTCTGCGCGCCGCCGCTGCGACCACCGTTTCCGTTCTTCTGACCGCCATTCTTGGGGTTCCCACTCGTAGGCTTCGGCGACGTTTGCGAACTGTTTGGCGTGCCGTTACCGTTACGCTTCGGCTGCCCGGCGCCAGTACCGTTCCCCTTTTTCGGTCCCCCCGCCACGGTGCCGTTCCCCCGATGGTGCCCCTTGTGCGGGTGACCGCCCTTCGTCCGGTTCCCCGCGGCAGCCGTCCCGTTTGCGCCTTGGCGGGGTTGGCGGGGGGGCGCGGTGGCGTTCCGCCCCTTGGATTGCGGAAGCGCTCCGCCTGTGGGCTGCTGCTTGGGCGGAAGGTTGCGCGAGGAGGTGAGAAGCGGAAGAAGCGCGACGGAGATGAGGAGTAGGAGTAGGAGTAGGGAGGGGCGGTGGAGATTCATGGCGAATGGAACGAGCGGTGCGGGATGAGCGGAAGCGTTTGAGTTATAGCTATAGCCGGGAGCGCTGAGCTAGGCTCTGTCCTTCGAAGGTCGACGACTCGTGAGGAAGACCTACTGTCGAGAACTAACTGTTTTGAGGAAGCGAGAATGAGGAAACTAGAGTGAAATGCTACGGAATGAGAGGTGAACCGCGGGCTGATTGGTAAGAGAATCGCGGGTTAATTAGCTACCTTGGAGATTCTGAAGAGGGAGGAGCGAGCCACTTTATAAGCTGATTTCTCCGAGCCTTACACTCCTGTGGTCCGACTTGAGACCTGACGACCTGCTTGCGGGGTTTATACGGACGAGCTGACGTGACGACCTGCGCGGTTTCTACGGACGTCTAATGCACAATCTGACGACGCCTTTCGCTTTACGGTTTACTCGCTGGTCCGACTGTGCGAGAACTTAGTTGACTGGGCGGAACGGACTATCAAGCACTGTTTGAGATGTGAAGGCACGGCCGTGTGTGTAAAGGCTTTGTAGAGGAAGGGGTCGTCTGGGAATCGAGCAGCGCCGTCACCAGGCGTCGCCGACCCGGCAAGCGGACCCGCTTCGAGGCTGTGCAATGGATGGCAGCCGACGCTGATAGTACAGCGATGCATGTGCCAGTACAGGTGCCGGGTGCATGCAGAAGGAGAGTCCCACCCTCGATCCCATACCATTTTGCTCGTGTTTTTCGAGGAAGCTGGGTTTGGATGTGCCTCCTTTTGGCGCGAAAGAGATGTGCGTGGGTGGGGGAGGGCAGGGACGGAGAGCCCACGAAAAGGCTTTGTGAGTATGAGACGGTGGGCACGAAACAAGCCTGCACGAAGAGCGACCAAGGTGGCCTTTTCGTTGACTTGGGAGGGGTAATTGCCACTGGCGCCTCCGCTGGGCTGATGCGACAGGCGCCCAAGCTTCTCCGATGGGGAAGTGCGGGAATCCGCAATATATGGGGTGACGGTGACGGAACAAGTAGGGCTTGCAAGCAGAGGAATTAAGTGTTCGGGACTCAGCTTGGAGGCGGTGGGAAGAGTTAATACAGCGGTGAGGACTGTTCGGGTGGTCTGATAAATGGTGGAAAAGGTTTCTCTGGGGTGGCATGCGGTCCACAATTTGATATGGCCTGATTGAGGGTGGCGCGAGTCGAACCGCATTATGATTTGGTTTGGGAATGTGCGGAATGTCCGCTGTCACTGTGATCCTCGATTGAGCGATTCGATCAATCAGGTCTGTCAGTGAAAGCGACGCGATTGATTTTGACATGCGGCTCGCTGTTCCGCCTGTGGGGAAACGGGCGAAAATCCTTCCGTCAACTTTACAGTTTCCCGCCAACGGAACCAACTTGGACAGTGGAGCCCCCCCGGGTAAAAACGAGGACTAGGCTCGCTATCAGCAACTCCCAGTACTTCGATTTAGGTACAGTACTTGCACAGTCGAAGAAGCAATCTCATAATTCTATGTGATCACATGCATATCTGAAACAAAATCAAACCATATTGCCAGGTTTGGTTCGCAAACTTCCTAGGCTCGACACGGTTCACCAAGGTACAGAAGGGTTCATTGTGTTGAAGTGATAGTCACTGGTCTGCCTCGAAAGTGGTTGAATGTACAGCACCAAAATTCCGACTTGACCAAAAATTGTCATCCCAAATTCATTGCCCTAGAGCTGCTCCTAGCAGGAAGGTAGGAGATTATCGCTGGCAGGGACAGTATGGCGGATAGGGACGATATCCGCCTCTGGCTTGACGCGGAAGAGCTAGAGCACCGGGAAGTGACGGGGAATTCGGCAATCCGGAGAAACGAGGCAGGCGATGACGACTCGGAGTCGGACCCATTCCGTGACGGAGGCAGCACAGGAAGGGGTGTGGGGGTGGCCAGGAGCAGCGAGCGCGAGGAAGCGGCGGGAAGCGAGAGAGCAAGCGCGCGGGAAGGAGATCAGCGGGAAGGCGCGAGGACTGAGGGAGAGAGGGGTGAGGCCGCGGGGGAAGGGACGGAGAGGGGTGAGACGGAGAGGGGTGAGACGGAGAGGGGTGAGACGGAGAGGGGTGAGACGGAGAGGGGTGAGACGGAGCGGGAGGCGGTTGAGCGGCGCATGGCGGCTGCGACGGTGATTATAGCGGAAGAGACAGGTAGGTGCGTACGCAGGATGTGGCCAAAATTATCTTTAATGGGCGGAGTGGTTTGGAGCGTGGACTCTGAAATTCTAGTGAACGGGAGTGGTAGACGATTGTCCAAAATGGGATGGGGTCTGGTTTTGAGGCGCATGAAAACGTGACTGTAAGGTGCTTGTCATTTTAAAGAGATTCTTACAAAAAACTCCAATGTGAGTGGTCGGCGCGTGTAGAGGAGGAGATCAGGAATGAGTTAAGGTGGAGCAAGTGAGTGATGATCCGGAGCAGTGGCCGTTTCAGAGGGACAAATGCTCTTTTTTTGGGGGGAGGGAAAGAATTGACTGAGGAACGTTGCACGAGGTAGTGCTTCAGTGTTATTCCAATCCTGCTACAATAGTGGGATTCGATGCAACTCACAAGTGCACCCCATTTCACGAAGACCTGAGAGCACGTCTGATTTCCCGTCCTCCTGTCCTCCCTTGTTGTCCCAGCTCGCTCTGCAGGGCTGACGGTTCATGATGACGTCATGCAGGCGCTTGTGCACCTAACACTCACATATGCAGGTCAGCGCTTCGGATAACGTCCCTTACTCCCTTTCCAGCCATCGTCTACGCCTCAAAAGCGCTTGAGTTGAGGATGAAAAGGGAGGATGTGATTTGCTCACAATCCATGATTCGCCTGCTCACAATCCATGATTCGCCTGCTCACAATCCATGATTCGCCTGCTCACGATTCGCCTCCTGGTCCCTCCTGGTCCCTCCTGGTCCCTCCTGGTCCCTCCTGGTCCCTCCTGGTACATGATTCTCCTGCTGTCTCCTGACCTCTTTCCTATCCGGACCTGCTTTTCCCACCCGGACCTGCTTTTCCTGTCCGGGCCTGCTCTTCCCTTTCGTGCTTTCCTGTTTCTTTCCTTTCCTGTGCAATGGCTGGCAGAGCAACTGGCACGCGACCTGCAGCTGTTTGCCCGGCACGCCAAGAGGAAGAGAGTGGAGCCTGATGATGTCATTCTTTCAGGTACGCTGGAGCACAACATTGGCACTAGACCTGCCAACACTGTTATTCCTCTATGATGTTGACGAAGCAGTAGCATCATGCTATGATCTGGTAAGATGGTGTTTCGCTTTATCGTTCCCATTTCCCATCGATCGAACCACCAGCCCCCTATCTGAAACTCCACAGTGATTTTCCAATCGCTTCTCCCTTTCTCCCTTCCTGCCCTAACTCGCTCTGATGCTCTTCCCCCCTCTCCCCCCCGCTCCCCCTTCTGACGTCTCTCTTCCTCACTCCCGGACCCCCCACTCCTCGCATCCTCTCCCTCCAAAAGTGCATCGAAACCAAGCCCTCATGAAGAAGTTACAAGCACTTGCAATGGCTCTTGGGGAGGAGAGCAAAGGAGCCAAGGGTGTCAAGTCAACCAAAAAGCATGGTTGATAAGGATACGCATTTTCTGGGTGGTCTTTCTGAAAGGAGTGGTTGAAAGGCATGTTCCTATAACGTTTTGTACTCTGCTATTGTATATAACGTTTGGTGACGTTTGGTTCTAAGATGGTAAACTTGATGTGAAATCATTTTGTGTGTTGAGCATGCCCATCGTGCAAGCAGTTTTAAAGCCCGAGTCTAGAATGGTTTGCTGTCAAGTTCAGGAATCCTGAACTTGTTTTCGTTCAATAGAGGGTAACGTAGTAAATGCCGTTTGAACGTCGCAACTCTCAGGGAACAAGGGGCAGTTTGCGAATGCCACTGAAAAGGACACCCGCAATTACTGTTCATATCAGTATTCTTGATTTTCGCCTGCGACCATTCTGAACACATTTTTGTGGGGGTCTCGCGTCACTGTTCGTTCCCCCCCTTCCCCCGCCCCCCACACACTGTTCATGCACTGTTGAGCTCGGTTCTTGCCGATGAAATTCCGTGCTGCGATGACGGTTCTGCTATTTCGCCAAATTCTGTATTCGTCAGGGGAACTTTGCCGAAACTACTTTCGCCCAGTTTTTTGGCACAAGTTTTGAACAATTTGTGATGCACTTGGCAAGCAAAGGACAGTTCTCATGTAGTTGCGCTGGTCTGCCAGCGGTCAGATCTGACGTGGTCGTTCGCTGCTGTTGGCTCCTGTTGAAACTCTTGTGACTCTCTGTCAAATAGGTGATGAGGTGCCACGCCACCTCGTCTGGTAACATCCATTCACAGCACGAGCACTATCCAGTCTGACCTCTCCACACGACCTTCCACGTCAAATTTCGTGTTTCCAATCTGGCGTTGCTCAAAGCGCGTCACCTCGGGCTCGTCCTGGTCGGTCCCCCAGCACGCGAGCAACAAAAAAACATTTCCCCCGTGTCATTCCGCTCCCCTCAGCTGCACTCCCCCTTCCTGCCTTCAAGTTTCAATGCGCCACATTCCAGCAAACCTTCCGCCAACCACAACCCCCGCGCCCTCCCCGCTGGAGCACTGCACCTTCCTTCCCCGCGTCCATGTTCGCAGCACAGAATCACCCTCGCCCTCCCCCCCATGTCCGCATCTCCCCCCCCCCTTTCCGCCTTCCCTCCCCACACGGCGCCCCCGTTTCCCTACAAAGTTCCCCCTATGCTCGCCGGCAGGCAAACCTTCCCCAGGTTTCCTTCCGCTCACACGCTCGGACCATCAGAAATCCGCCATGGAAACCCGCCATGGCATGGCAGCTGCACGCTCCCTATATTCACGTCTCGGTTGCCTGACATTCTGGAAATCCCTGCTTCGTGCATGCCTCGTCCATTTCTTCGTTTCCCCCCGTTGTTACACTAGGCTCACAGTCGCTCAGACATCCTCCTCACCTCACTGAAGCCCCCCTCACCTCTGAAGCTCCCTCACTCACTCCCCTGCACTTCGGTTACCTCTTGCGTCCTGCGGCTGCTGCCATCCCTGTCATCCATCCCTCCTCCCCCTCTGCTGTATATAAGTTACCTCAGCCAAAACTCCTTTTTCACTCTCTCCACTCCACCTCTTTGCCAGCTCGCATGTCCGTTTTCATCCAAGCTCACATCTTGGATAGAACAGGGAAATATCCCGCAGAATTCCAGTACAGTACCCAGAAGTATAGGAATTCTCAATCCTCCGACATTTCCTATCAATTTCCCGAAGGGATTGCATTTCGCGGAAGATAAAACATTTCTAATTCCGTTTTGAGTTCCGTTTGAAACTCTCCTTCCGGACATGGCGACAGCACCGTGGCTGAGGGTCATTCTCACGCGCGACAAGAGCGTCGGCAAGGCTTTTAGCTCCTCTTCTTCCGCCGTCGTAAGCGCCGTCCCTTGCGGGCTCCGCCTCACGCCTCCTCTCGAAGCGTCTCCTCCTTCTGGAAAGGACGTGATCGTCCGAGAGCGATCGTTCGGCCACGAGAGGGAGGAGGACGAGCAGTGGCGGATGATGCTTGCATCGGGGAGGGACTGATGTTTATAACGAGGATTTTTCGCGGAGCGTGGGCCGTTCGATGTCCCGTCGGCGAGAAGGAAGCAGGGGTACCTGCTTGTACTCGATACAGGGCATGATGGTCATGGGTTACCGCGAAGTGGTCCAGGGGAAACTCTGGAGTCGCAAGTATGAAGAGAAGACAAAGAAACGCCTTACGTTTTCTCAGGGTGGAGAGGAGATTAAAAGACTTGTGTATATCTTGTCTTGTACAGCAGGTTTCGTTCCTGTATGCTATCAGGCTCAATAATGGCCTGAGGGGTAATTCGTTTTGCCAAGTTGTAGTGCAGCTTTTCAAGCCGTTATGGGCCATTTTCTGAAGGCTGCAGGTTTACAGCTTGCTGTGCTGCTTGGACTGTATAGATCTCATGGTGTAATACCAATACACAAACGTGATATCTGCTCTAACGTTATAATTACTGTCTGGTGCAATATGAGCGCATTATGAAATTACAGTCAGAATCATAAAAGCCCAGTTACAAAATATATCTAGCATTTGCCACACCCAGTTTCCTCCATTCAGTCTGTCAGCAATCAGTAGTTGGTCCTCTCAAGCCACCAAAACAAGCTATCTGTACAGTAAAGTGCCACTAATTTGCCACTGCTGGTTACACAATAATTTCAATGTTGTCACTATTGCGCATGTGGTGTGTCAGGCAAGCCACTAAATCCCATGGGCTCGGGCTCCTCCAACCTGCTCCATAAAGAAAATGCGCCTGGTGGGACCGTGCCGACTCCCATGTGCGCAGTAGCGACTGGCGGTGTTCCAGACACCATGCCCACTCCCATGAATTCGGGCCCCTCCAACATGCTTCATAAAGAAGCGTGTGCCTGGGAGGCTCTTCTATTCGCCTGCATGAGAATGGGTTGGGTAGGGTTGGGTTGGGTCCCCCCCGGCCATTGCCATGCAGACATTATCGTGCCATGAATTCAAGCTCCTCCCACAATGTCAAGTACTCCTCAAACACCTTGCTGCTGCTTCACAACGGTAGGGTCCACGCGCCACGCCCATTCCCATGCAGGCGGGCATTATCGCGCCTGAGGCGTTTCAGGCACTTCCCCTCGTCCCATGGATTCAAGCTCCTCCCACAATGTCAAGTACTCCTCGTAACTCCTAGCTGCCGCTTCAAACTCCTCCTTACGCCTTCTAGAATGAGACCTTTTGCCAGCAGATCCAGGAGACACAGCCGCCAGCTGGCGCACGATGCTGATGTGGCGGTCCCACGCGCGCCGGCACTCCTCAGCCTTCCTCCTAACCTGCTCCCGAGCCTCCGCCAGCTGATCCATCTCCTCCCGAGCCTCCGCAGCAGCAGCTTCGGCCAGATGGGATGCTTCTGAGGCAGCCGCCTTGGCTCGGGAAACCGCTTCCTGTGCACGCCGAAGCTGCTCCTCAGCTTCGGCAAGTACTGCCCGAGCCTCCGCCGCATGCCGTTGCTCCTGAATCGCTACCTTAGCATTCAGACTTAGGTCGTCTTCTAGTGCTGCTAGCGCCCGAGCCTCTAGTTGCCCCAGAGAACCGTTGTCAGCACTATTTACACCGCCATCAACACCACCTGCACCGCTCTGCAAACCGTCCTGATGGGTGCTGCTACTGCTGCTTAGGCGCTCGGATGTAAGCGAGGTGGGGAGAACAGAGATGGGTGTTAGTCTGGCAGAAGAACCACCAGGATTGATATCTGCTGCAGCCGCAGAATTAGAGGCAGCACCACTGGCAGCAGCAGCATCACCAGCAAAAGCTCCAGAACCAGCAAAAGCTCCAGAACCAGCAGCAGCAGCAGCGGCGGCGGCAGCGAGGTGGAAGGCAGAATTGACGTGAATGCTGCCTGCTCGATTGGGCCGCAGACCAGACAGGGGTGGGTGTGCTACTGTAGCGGCATGTGTTACTGTAGCTGGATGCGTAACTGGATGTGCTACTGTAGCAGCGTGTGTTACTGTAGCTGGATGCGTATCTGGGTGTGCTACTGTAGCAGCACGTGTCACTGCAGCTGGATGTAAAACTGTAGCAGTGTGCAGGACTCTGGTTGAATGTGCAGATGCATGGGAGGAGTTGAGTGGTGCATGAGGCTGGCTTGAAGAGGCACACGTGAGAGCAGCGGCCAAGGCAGGGGCAGTTGACATGTGAATCAGAGAAGCAGCAGGAGAAGCAGCAGGAGAAGCAGCAGGAGAAGCAGCAGGAGAAGCAGCAAGAGAAGCAGCAGGAGAAGCAGCAAGAGAAGCAGCAGGAGCACAGGCAATAGCAGAGGCAGGAGCAGAGGCAGGCGCAGCATCAGGAAAAGCAACAGGAAGAGTGGCAGGAGCAGAGGAAGGAGCAGCAGCAGGAGCAGACGTAGCTGTTACTGCAGCAGTGACTTGATCCGCCATAGCAGCATCAAGAGAAGCCATGGCAGCTGCTGAAACAGGCACAGGGGTTACCGCAGCAGCAGGGGCAGTGGTGGCAGGAGCAGCAGGAGCAACAGTAAATGCGTCGACAGGAGCAGCGGCAACCGCAGCAGCAGGGGGAGAGGTAAAAACGATTACAGGAACAGCGGCAACTGCAGCAGCAGCAGGAGCCGTAACCGCGTTGACAGGAGCAGCCGTAACCGTGTGGACAGGAGTGGTAACTGCATAAACAGGAGGAGGTTCAATTGCACTGCCTGAAGCAGCGGACACACCGGCGACTGAAGACGGGGCTACAGGGACAGCGGCAGCAAGAAAAGCGGCTACAGGGACAGCAGCAGCAGAAGAGTCTACAGTCGATGTGACCCCAGAAGCAGCAGCAGCAGGAGGAGCAGCAGCAGGAGGAGCAGCAGCAGGAGCTGCAGCAGCAGCAGGAGCTGCAGCAGCAGCAGGAGCTGCAGCAGCAGCAGGAGCTGCAGCAGCAGCAGGAGCAGCAGCAGGAGCAGAAGGAGCAGCACCAGCAGGAGCAGCAGGAGCCGCAGCAGCATTCTTTTGCCCCAAAATGACCTGTTTCGCCTCTCCCCCAGTCTCTTCCACCCCTTTCTTCGCCCTTTCAGCCACCACGATCGCCACCAGCTCGTCTTTAGACAGCCAAGCCACTCCGGGCAGCGGACGCATGATGGATGCAAGGATCTGAAGGGGGAGGTGGTGGGGGGGAGGTGGTGGGGGAGGGGTGGTGGGGGGGGGAGGGGGAATTGAGTATGATGCGGAGGATCTGAAAAAGGGGGAGAGGACGCGGGGGGGGGGAAGGTGGGGAGCAACACAGGAGGTTTTTGTTGCCCTTTCACCCACCACCATCACCCCCAGCTCGTCTCTCGACAGCCAGGGGGAGGGAAGGGGGAGGGAAAGGGGGAGGGGAAGGGGGAGGGGAAGGGGGAGGGGAAGGGGGAGGGGAAGGGGGAGGGGACTTTTGAGTCGACTCAAAAATGTTGCCCTTTCACCCACCACCATCGCCCCCAGCTCGTCTCTCGACAGCCAGGGGGAGGGAAGGGGGAGGGGAAGGGGGAGGGGAAGGGGGAGAAGCAAAAGAGGGGTGCGTGTGTGATTGCCACTGCCTCGTCTGTGGACAGCCACGCGACTTGCCCATTCCGTCCCCCCACCTTTTCTCTCTTTCACACACCCACCTGATATAAGGTTTGTTTTGAGACGTCTCAAAACAAACCTTTTTCTCTCTTTCACACACCCATCCTCACCCTCTTTTCCCAACAGTCTCTCAAGCCCACCGCACCCAATCCCTGTGCACACACTCGTACCTGCAGCACTCCCAGCCCCGCTTGTGGCAGCCCGCCCTCACTGAGCCCTCCGTTCCTCCTCAGCCCTAGCAGTCTCTCGGGCCTCTTAACCCCACCAACCCCCAAGCCCTGATGTGTGTGCATATGAACCTGCAGCACTCCCAGCCCCATTTTTTGCAGTACGCCCTCACTAAGCCCTCTATTCATCCTCAAACCCTCCATTCTCCCTTCAAACCAGATACCTGTGTGCATATGAGCGTACCTGCAGCACTCCCAGCCCCGCTTGTGGCAGCCCGCCCTCACTGAGCCCTCCGTTCCACCGCACCCCTATCCCCTCCCTCCTCCCTTCAAACCTGATGTGTGAGAATATGAACGTACCTGCAGCACTCCCAGCCCCATTTTTTGCAGTACGCCCTCTATTCATCCTCAAACCCTCCATTCTCCCTTCAAACCAGATACCTGTGTGCATATGAGCGTACCTGCAGCACTCCCAGCCCCGCTTGTGGCAGCCCGCCCTCACTGAGCCCTCCGTTCCACCGCACCCCTATCCCCTCCCTCCTCCCTTCAAACCTGATGTGTGAGAATATGAACGTACCTGCAGCACTCCCAGCCCCATTTTTTGCAGTACGCCCTCACTAAGCCCTCTATTCATCCTCAAACCCTCCATTCTCCCTTCAAACCAGATACCTGTGTGCATATGAGCGTACCTGCAGCACTCCCAGCCCCGCTTGTGGCAGCCCGCCCTCACTGAGCCCTCCGTTCCACCGCACCCCTATCCCCTCCCTCCTCCCTTCAAACCTGATGTGTGAGAATATGAACGTACCTGCAGCACTCCCAGCCCCATTTTTTGCAGTACGCCCTCACTAAGCCCTCTATTCATCCTCAAACCCTCCATTCTCCCTTCAAACCAGATACCTGTGTGCATATGAGCGTACCTGCAGCACTCCCAGCCCCGCTTGTGGCAGCCCGCCCCCACTGAGCCCGCCGTTCATCCTCACTCACCCCTCGCTCTATCTGCGCCCACTTAACCCCGCCCCCTCAACCCTGGAAGCACACCCACGCACACACCCACCTGCAGCACTCCCAGCCCCAATTGCGGCAGCACGCCTGCACTGAGCGCTTCGTTCCGCCGCACACCTCGCTGCAACGCCTGCCGCGCCACACACCCCTCCTTCCCGCTCTTCCATCACCCCCCCCCCCCCACCCCCACACACACACACACACACACTCTTACCTGCAACACTCCCAGCCCCACTTGTGGCAGCCCGCCCTCACTGAGAGCTTCATTCCGCTGCACCCCTCACTGCAACGCCTGCAGAACCACACACACACCCCTCCTGCTTTCCTCTCCCCTGCCTCACTTTCTCCCCCTGCCGCTCCCCCTACCCAAGTCTCTCTGACCTCTTACCTGCACCAACCCCCAATCCCTGGGCACACGCACACATCCCTGCAGCAGAAACCCACCTGCAGCACTCCCAGCCCCACTTGTGGCAGAACGTCCGCACTGAGCCCGCCATTCCGCCGCACGCCTCGCTGCAACGCCTGCAGCACCACACACCCCCCCTGCTTCCCCTTCTCCCCCCCGGCCCCACGCACACACACTCTTACCTGCAGCATTCCCAGCCCCACTTGTGGCAGTGCGCCCGCACTGAGCGCTCCGTTCCGCCGCACGCCTCGCTGCAACGCCTGCAGCACCACACACCCCTCCTGCTTCCCTTCCCCCTGCCCCTCCTTTTGCCCCTGCTGCTGCCCCTGCTGCTGCCCCTGCCTCCTCTGCGCCTGCCTCTCCTCCGTCTGCTTGTACCTGCGTCTGAGCGCAGTGGGCACGGCCAGGAGGCGAGTGTGGATAGCCGTGCGAGGGAGCAGAGACGACCACTGCTTCATGTGGGCACTAATGCCGCCATTTCTGCTTGCCCCAATGTCTCTGCTGGTGCTGCTGCTGCTGCTGCTACCGCTGCTGCCACTGCTGTGACTGCTGACGTCACCGCAGCACAGGAACGCATGCAGCTCCGCCACATCACGCGCCAGGCTGGCGTCCAGCTGGCAGAGGTCCACGTGGCCACACAGGGTGCATTTGAGCTCCGTGGCAAAGAAAGAGCGGGCAGAGCGGGCTGTAGCAGTAGCTGTAGCAGCAACTGTACCTGCAATGGCAGCACCTGTAGCAGCTGCTGCAGCAGTCGCAGCAGCAGCAGCAGCAGCGTTTGTGTTTCCAGCAGCAGCAGCAGCATCAGCAGCATCAGTACCAGCATCAGTGCCCCAAGCAGGGGCAGCACCCCTAGGCTTTGCCATGGGCGTAGCAGGAGGAGCAGAATTCTGTCTAGCGAGGAAGGGGGGAGGGGTGAGGAGAGGGGCAACAGGCGTGTAGCCCCCACCCGACACAACACTGGAGGGGGTAACGGATAGGGTAACCCCATGAGTAACACCAGTGGATGGGGTAACCGGGTCAATGGAAAGCCCAGATGGGAGCGCAAGAGTTGCTGTGGCATCAGCAGAAGCAGCAGCAGCAGAAGTAGCAGCAGCTGACGAGGGGTCAAAGCGGCTGCTTGTGTGCGCTTTGAACTGTGAATGTGCCTGCTGCGCGCCTGCACGTGGGGACTTGAACTGTGACTGTGCGGTGGTACTCCCCCCGAGGAACACGGGCAGCGGGCTCCACATGTTGTCTATGGCACTGCCAAACACCTCCATATGTCCCAACCACTCCCTACCCTGCCACGTGGCACTCCCATCTGCTACACTGGCAGCTGCCACACCACTTTCGGCCATAGTACTCCCTGCCACACCATTCCCACCATTCCCTACCGCACCATTCCCTGCCAGGCCAGCCCCTGCTGCACCATTCCCTGCCAGGCCAACCCCTGCCACGGCGCCTGACTCTGCTCCTCCTGCTCCCTTTAATCCTCCTCTCCCTTCCCCTCCTCGCTCTGCTGCCACCTCTTCTCCTGGCTGTAATGCCCCTGCTCTTCCTACATCTCTCCCTACCATGTCGCCAACCCCACCACCTAACGACCCTCCCATCACCCTCTCACCGCCTCCCCTCTCCCCTCTCGCTCCCCCTCCCCCTCCCCCTTCTCCTTCCCCCGAATCTGTCAAACCCCCATAGCTCGCAGCCCTCCCCTTCCTCCCCCCAGAACCCCCCCACCCCCCGCTGCCCCCCCCCTCGTCCTCATCCCCCGAGTCCCACGTGTCATGGTCAACAGGGCCCTTGGGGGGGGTGGGGGCGCGCTTGAAAGCAGCCAATGCTGCTGCCGCCTTGGCTGCTGCTACAGACGTGGCTGCTGCGCCGCTTGCCAGGGATGCAGTGAAAGCGGCTGTAGCAGCAGGAGGGACGGGGGCAGGCGCGGATGTAGCAGGGGGGGATGCAGGGAGGGCGGATATAGCAGAGGTAGGTGCGGTTGGCTTGGCTGCTGCTACAGACGTGGATGCTGCACCACTTGCAAGGGATGCAGTGAAAGCTGCTATAGCAGCAGGAGGGACAGGGGCAGGCACAGCTGTAGCAGCAGGGGAGACGGGAGCACGCACGGCTGTAGCAGCAGGAGAGACGGTGGCAGGCACGGCTGTAGCAGCAGGAGGGACAGGGGCAGGCATGGCTGTCGTAGCGGATGTAGCAGGGGAGGCTGTATCAGGGGCAGGTACAGACGTGGAGGAAGCTGTAGCAGCAGCGGCCTCTGGGGCAGGAGTGGCCGCAGCACTAGGGATGTCAAAAGACACTGCTGTAGCACTAGGGATGTCAACAGACACTGCTGTAGCACTGGGAATGTCAACAGACACTGCTGTAGCACTAGGAATGTCAACAGACACTGCTGTAGCACTAGGAGTGTCAACAGACACTGCTGTAGCACTAGGGATGTCAAAAGACACTGCTGAAGCACTAGGAATGTCAACAGACACTGCTGTAGCACTAGGAATGTCAACAGACACTGCTGTAGCACTGGGAATGTCAACAGGAGGGTCTGTAGCAGGGGCAGGCACAGACGAAGGAGCATCTGTAGCAGCAGTGGACTCTGGGACAGGATCGGCTGCAGCACTGGAAGTCACGGCAGGATCGGCTGTAGCACTGGGAGTCACGACAGGAGTGGCTGTAGCACTGGGAGTGACGACAGGAGTGGCGGTAGCACTGGGAGTCACGACAGGAGTGGCTGTAGCACTGGGAGTGACGACAGGAGTGGCTGTAGCACTGGGAGTGACGACAGGAGTGGCGGTAGCACTGGGAACATCAACAGGAGGGGTTGGAGCAAGGGCAGAAACGGCAGCACAAGATTCAGGAGCCAACACGACATCCGTTTCAGCAGCATCTGTGTCAGCAATGGAAGGCGAAGCAGTGACAGCAGCATCAGCAGCATCAGCATCATCTGTATCATCTGTAGCATCTGTAGCCTCTGTAGCAGCAACGGGAGAGGCATGAATACCTGCAGCAGCAACAGCAGCAGCAGCAGCAGCAGCAGCAGCAGCAGCAGCAGCAGCAGCAGCATCTGTAGCAGTAGCGGCATCTGTAGCAGTAGCGGCATCTGTAGCAGTAGCTGGAGCAAAAGCAGCAGCAGCAGCACCACTGGCAGTAGCAGCAGCAACAGCATTAATGGGAGCGATAGCAGCGGCAGCGTCAGTAGCTGGAGGAAAGCCAGCAGCAGCAGCAGGGAGGGCGTCAGCAGCAGCGGCAGTGATAGCAGTCGCAGCAGCAGTGTCAGAAGCAGTAACAGAGTCAGCAGCGGCAGTGTAAGTGTCAGTAGAAGTAACAGTGTCAGCAGCGGCAGTGTCAGTAGCACTGTTGGCAGCGCCAGTGGCAGTGCCAGCAGAAGCAACAGTGCCAGCAGAAGCAACAGTGTCAGAAGCATCGACTGAAGCGCCACTTTCCCCAACAAAACTCAAACTCTCATGCACACTCTCGGTGCTGCTCCTGCTCCTGATGCTTCCACTCTTGCTACTGCTCCTACTGCCCCTGCTGCTTCGTCTGCTGCTTCGTCTGCTGCTTTGTCTGCTCCCACTTTCGTGACTACTGCTGCTGCTGTTACCACTCCTGCTGTTATCACTCTTGCTGCCTCCGCTGTGGCTGTTACCACCGCGACTGCCCCCAACATCGTCACTCCCACTGTCACTACCACTGCCACTGGCACTAGCACCATCACTAGCACCACCCTTGCTCCTATCACTGGCACTCTCACTCTCAGTCCCAGCCCCTGACCTGCTTCTACTGCTCCTTCGGCTACCCCTGCTGCTGCTACCCCTACTGCTTTTCTTGCTGCTACTCCTGCTGCTACTCCTACTGCTCCGTTTGCTGCTATTCCTTCTGCTCCTATCAGTTTTCTGCTCACTAGTATGGCTGTCGCTCCCACTATTGGCCCCACTGCTGCTTCTGCTGCTTTTGCTGTTGCTTCTGCTGCTGTGGCTGCTCCTGTGGCTGCCCCCACTGTCACTAGCAGCATCCTCGTTATAAGACTCCCCCGAACTGTGTCTAATCACAGAAGGCGCGACTACAGCACTACCACTGCCAGCATCCGCGTTAGAAGACTCCCCAGAGCTGTGTCTGATAACCGAGGGCGCGTCTACAGCACTACTATCATTGCTAACTGACCTATATACAACCGATTTTCCAGAATCCCTCTGAGTGTAGTGCTCTTCCCTGTAAGTTGGCTTACAAACTTCCTTCTCCTTTCTCCCCCCCTCCTGCTTCTGTTCCTGCTGCTGCTGCTGCTGCTGCTGCTGCTGCTCTTGCCGTTGGCGCCACCACTCCTCCTCCTGCTGCTGCTTCGCCATCTGCTCCCTTTGCCACGCCTCTTCCTCCTGCTGCCGCCTCTGCTGCTCCTGCACCAGCGCCTCCCTCTCTCTCTGCTGCTGCACCTCCCTCTCCTGTTGCATCCGCTTCTCTTGCATGACTCTCCTCATATCCCCTACTCGTATGCTCGGCAGCCTGAGCACCCCTCCTCCCTCCCCGTCCTCCTGCTGCTGCTGTTGCTGCTGCTGCTGCTGCTGCTGCTGCTGCTGCTGCTGCTGCTGCTGCTGCTGCTGCTGCTGCGGCTGATCCACACCCCTCTCCTGCTGCATCCGTTTCTCCTGCATTATCCTTCTCATATCCCTAACTTGAATGCTCGGCAATCGAATCACCCCTCGTCCTCCCCCCTCGTCTTCCTCCTCCTTCCCCCCACTACCCCCACTCTCACCATCTCCATCACTCTCCCCCTCCTCCTCCCGACTCTCCTCCTCCTCCTCCCGACTCTCCCCCTCCTCCTCCCCTTCACTCACCTCCCCATTCATCTCTCTCCTCTCCTCACTCCCCCACTCCTCCCCCTCCTCCCTCACTCCCCCTCCCCCCCCACCTCCACTCTCCTCCCCATACAAATCCTCCTCCTCTTCTTCCTCCCCATACCCCGCCCCATACAAATCTTCCTCCTCCTCATCCTCCTCCTCCTCATCCATCCGCACAGGAACGACTTTCACTAGTGAAGCGCCCCTCACTACTCCTCCTAGGCTCTGATTCCTGCCTCCAAGGCTCAGCGTTCGGCCCCCTAGACTCATGGATCTCTCCCCTACCCCCGGCATTCGGCCACTCATAAGCCCTCTCTCTGCTGCTCCTGCTGCTACAGTAGGGGGCGCGGCCCTCCCCGCCCATAGCGTGCTAGATCGCACAAACTCAGGAGCAGCAGCAGCAGCAGTGGCCGTGGCAGTGGCAGTGGCAGCAGTAGCTGCGTTCCCTCTATAAGCCGCTGCGCTAGAAGCAGCTGGAGCTTTTGCAGGGGGGATACCACCCCTGCCGCCCCTGCTGCCCACCCATAGAGTTTGGGAGCGGATAAAACCGTTTGGCTCCGGTTTAAGCTCGTCCCTCTGCTCTTCTAACGGGGATAACGGACCTAGGTCTAGCTTCTTGCCATATGCCTGCCCCTGCTGCTGCTGCTGGTGGTAATACTGCTGCTGCTGCTGCTGCTGCTGCTGCTGCTGCTGCTGCTGCTGCTGCTGCTGCTGCTGCTGCTGCTGCTGCTGCTGCTGCTGCTGCTGCTGCTGCTGCTGCTGCTGCTGCTGCTGCTGCTGCTGCTGCTGCCGAGAGTACTGCAGCTGAGACTGCTGGTACTGCTGCTGCTGGGGCTGCATTCTTGCTGTCAGTGCGCTAACGAGCCCACCGCCACCAGCACCAGCAGCCGCACCACCAGAAGCAGCACTACCAGCAGCATCACCAGCAGCAGTGGCCACTTCTTTCCCTGCAGAAAACGAACGTGCGAACGCGGCACCGAACCTCTGTGCGAAACCCTGCATCCCCCCACCATACACACTCTCCCCATACCCTCCGTACCCTCCCTGCCCTCCCTGCCCCCCCTGCCCCCCATACCCCTCATACCCTGGCGCCTGTGGCATTCCCAGAGGCGCAATAAGCGACCCTCTTTGTGCGTTTGATACCCCTCCTGGGGCCGGTTGCCCCATTGCCCCTTCCGCACTCCTACTAGCGGGAACACGCTCCGTTAGAGAGCGATTGAATACAGGCTGTAAGGCTGCTACGGTTCCAGACATGCTTCGTAACGGAGGCTCGGATCTAGCTTCGGAAGCAGCCCCGGTCCTCGAGCTAGGGTTAGGGTTAGTGGAGCCGGAGCCGAAGCTGGCTAGGGAGACGGAGCTGATTACCGAACCTGGAGTGGAGGTTTGGGTGTGGGTGGACGAGGAGGGAGGTCTGGAGGCAGGAGCTGGGGGGATCTTAGGCTTGAAGAAAAGGGAGAAGCTGGCTGGGAGAATAGAGGAGGAGGAGGAAAACTTGCCTTCTTCTTGCTCCTGTTGACTTGCAGAAGCAGCAGACACAGGAGAAGCAGAAGCAGCAGAGACTGCTGCTGCTGCTGTGGCGGCTGCTTCTGCTGCTGCTGCTGCTGATTCCGCTCCAGCTGCAGGCTCCAGTGCGGCTGGTGCTGCTGGCAATGCCGCTGCTGCTAGGAGCCCATTTGCCGACACCTGGCCCTTGGAGTCATCCGCGCTACCTGTGGGTCTAGGCATAGCAGTGCTAGACGCATGAGTTGCAGCAGTAGACGCTTGAGTTGAAGCGGCTTTGCTGCGCCAGGCTCGAGGGGATAAGGCTGGGGGGCTGCCGGACGGGGGCGATGGGCGAAATATGGCTCCTGGTGGTGCCGCAGCAGCGGGAGCAGCTGGAGCAGCAGCAGCAGCACCGCTGGCAGTGTCAGCTATCGCTGCCTCGGGCCGAGACGAGCCTGAAACAGGTCTGACCGAGCCCGAGCCTGGTCTTGAGGATGCCGAGCCTGGTCGTGAAGCCACCGAGCCAGGTCTGGAGGATGCTGAACCAGGTCTAGAGGATGCCGAACCGGGCCTAGAGGATGCCGAGCCTGGCCTAGAGGATGCCGAGCCAGGTCTAGAGGATGCCGAGCCTGGCCCAGAGGTCGCCAGATTTGCGGGCGCTGTTGGTCTTGTGAGCTGGTGTGAGGAGGAGGAGAAATGGATGGTCGGTGACGACCCTAGGGCACTAGCTGAAGGCGGCGCCATAGCTTTTGCTGCTACACCTGCCACTGCTCCTGCTCCTTCGTCTGCTCCTCCTGCTCTTCCCACTCCAGCTCCTGCTCCTGCTCCTGCTCCTGCTCCTGCTCCTGCTCCTGCTCCTGCTCCTGCTCCTGCTCCTGCTCCTCCTGCTCCTGCTCCTGCTGTTCCTGCTCCTGCCTCACCTGCTGCTGCCCCACTTGCTGCTGCCGCTAGACTCCCTCCACCCGCTGCCGCCCGCCTCTGTACGTCCCTTCGCCAGGTCTCCGAGCTGCAAATGATGTCCAGCAGCTGACCCTTCTTGAGCTTCCACAGCCCGTCCTGGGGGGTCAGCAGCAGCGCAAACAGCTGCAGCACTTCTCTCTTCTGCGCTTTTAGCTGCTCCGTGGTCAGCCCGTGCGAGAGGAGCACGGCTTGAAATGTCTGCGGAAGTGGAAAGGGGGGAGCGGGAGGGGGAGGGTGTGAGTGAGAGTAGGTTACATCACAGCCTGCACGCCCCTTTTCCAAGTCTCCGAGCTGCAAATGACGTCCAGCAGCTGACCCTTCTTGAGCTTCCACAGCCCGTCCTGGGGGGTCAGCAGCAGCGCAAACAGCTGCAGCACTACTCTCTTCTGCGCTTTTAGCTGCTCCGTAGTCAGCCCGTCCTGGGGGGTCAGGAGGAGAGCATACAGCTGCAGCACCTCCCGCTTCTGCGCCTTTAGCTGCTCAGTGGTGAGCTCGTGGGATAGCAGCACTGCCTGGAAGGTCTGGGGCCGAGAAGGGTGGGGTGGATGGGGCAGGAAGGGGACGGAACGGGACGGAAGGGGAGGATTGAGACGCAAGAGATTCCCGCTTCTGCGCCTTGAACGGGACGGAACGGGACGGAACGGGACGGAAGGGAAAGGAAGGGGCGGATTGAGAAGCGAGACCAGCAGCTGCCCCTTCTTGAGGTTCTACAGCCCGTCCTGCGGAGCGGGGTGAGCAGCAGCGCCAACAGCTGCAGCACCTCCCGCTTCTGCGCCTTCAACGATTCTGTGGTCAGCCCGTGGGACAGCAGCATGGCTGGGAAGGACTGGTGGATGGGGAGAACGGGGTCCGTGTGTAATGAGTCTATTCTTGAGGCGCCTCAAAATGTGTAATGAGTCTATTTTTGAGGCGCCTCAAAATGTGTAATGAGTCTATTTTTGAGGCGCCTCAAAATGTGTAATGAGTCTATTTTTTAGGCGCCTCAAAAATGTGTAATGAGTCTATTTTTGAGGCGCCTCAAAAATGTGTAATGAGTCTATTTTTGAGTCGACTCAAAAATAGACTCATTACACACGGTGGGGAGAACGGGGTTAGTGGATGGGGAGAGAAGGGTGGGGATTGGGGGATAGGAAAATTAGGGGAGAAAAGGAGGAGCTGTTGAAAGGCCCTTTAATAGGGAGGTACTTTCGAACATACTTGCAATAGTGCTGCCGGGTGAGACGTCCGCACACTGTTAGATACTCAAACACCTAACCCTTATCGTGCAGTCAGCCCTAGCTGTTCAAACTGCTTGAATACCTGCAGCAGCGCCGGGTGTGACGTCCGCACAGTGTTGAGGTACTCGAAGATGTAGATCCGATTCGCCGCGCTCTCCTCCAGGCACGCCCGCCCACGTCTCCCACCCCAGAAAGGCCCTCGTGAGCACAATACCTGGGACACGGGACTGTACCAAGTGACTTCTGAGTCGACTCAAAAGTCACCTCAATACCTGGGAAACGAAACTGTACGAAGTGTTAGCACACCTGTAACAGCGCCGGGTGGGATGTCCGCACAGTGTTGAGGTACTCGAAGATATAGATCCGATTCGCCGCGCTCTCCTCCAGGCACGCCCACGCGTCTCTCGACCCCAGGAACGCCTTTATCAGCGCGCAGTCCGCGCCTTCGAACTCCAGCCTCCGCGTCACCTTCCACCCGCGCCAGTCCACCACGCCCGCTCCGCCTTCCGCCTCCCCCCTCCCCCCGCCGTGCGCTTCCCCCCTTCCCCCGTGGCTTCCATCCCCGCCCCCCTGCTGCTGCTGCAGCTGCTGCTGGTACTGGTGGTAGTGCTTCTGCGCCTGCTGCTGCTGATGGTGGTACTGGTGCTGGGGCGGGTGCCCGTGCGCCTGTGCCTGCCCCTGCACCTGCGCCAGCTGACCCCGATGCTCGCGCGAGTGCGCTTCCCCGTCCTCTTCCGCGGATCCCCGCCCCCCTGCCACCGCCCCTGACCCATACCCCCCAGGGGACTCCCCCGCCAAGCTCCCCACAGACCCGTTCCGCGGCAGCCGCGCGCGGGCGGACCTCTCCCTGCGCTTCCCCTCGGAGCTGCCCCCACTGTCCGCCGCACCCGCGGACAGGGACGCTGAAACGGCGGAGTTCCCCGAGCCCGCCCCCGCGCCCGCGGCGAACGCTTTCCGCCGCACCCTGCGCGCGCTTCTGTCCGTCGCGTCTGATCGAGGGGAGCTGCGGTTACTGGAGCTGCTTATAGAGGAGCGAGAGGAGGATACGCGGGAAGCAGTCTGACTATGCCCCCCCTGCGCGTGCGCGTGGCTGTAGTGGCTGTAGCTGCGCCGTCCTGCGGGGTCCTCCTCTCTATCCGCTTTATCCGCTTCCGCCAGAATAGCGGCGGCGGCAGCGGAAGCGGCGGACGTGCCCGCCCACACGGGGCTGGTTCCGCTTCTTGCTGCGCCCGCGGGGACTGCTGCTGCGCCCCCCGCCCCCCTTGCTGCGCCAGTGGCGGAAACTGAAGCGGAAAACGCTGCAGCTGCGGGAGCTGCGGAAGACAAGGCGGGGGTTCCCCCCATGGGTGCTCCGCGGTAGGGGGGACCGTACGACGCGTTGGAGCTAGATGAACCCGAGGTGTAACCGTACGCGGGGTTGTAACCGGCTGCGTTAGGGTAACCCGACGTGCCGTACTGCCCTCGGTAACTGGCTGAATAGCCACCATTATTTACTGCACCATAGCTCGTTCCCTGAACGCCGGAAGTCCCGGAATACCCCGAAGACGCGTTATAAGCAGACGGGTTAGAGTAACCCGGTGCACCAGTGTAACCTGAGGCTGTATAGACTGGCCGCACGAAGCTATGCTGCTGCGGCTGCGGCTGTGGCTGCAGCTGAAGCTGCGGCTGCTCGGGGGGCGGAGCCGTGTCAATGCGAAGTCCACGAAACCTCTCCATCGGGTAACCCTTTTCTTCTAAACGAAAAGATCCTCACAAGAAAATGCTGTAACGGAAAATTAGCCGAAGCGAGATCAACCGCCTTCTGCGAGATGATGCCTGTGTATGGGATTGGACGAAGGGTGGGTAAGGGAGACGGGCAAGAAAACTGAGAGCACAAAATCGAGGGGTGCTACGTAGCGCTCTAGACCAAGCGCTAGCTCGTGTGCGGTGGCTCGCGTGCAGCAGCTCGGTGTATATCTAACGGTGCATATCCAGCGGTGTATATCTAACGGTGCATATCCAGCGGTGTATATCTAACGGTGAATATCCAGCGGTGTATACCTAACGGTGCATATCCAGCGGTGTATATCTAACGGTGCATATCCAGCGGTGTATATCTACGGATCGAGTAGCCTCCGGATGTTGCGAGACGCGACTTAGTGACGGCCGTTTAAAGCCACCTTAAACTTCAAGAGTACTTCGACGACAAAAGGCGAGACGAGATTGAATAAGGGGATATATGCCGTACCTGAACGGGTATCTCTCGAGCGTGACATTGTCACACGTGCCAATAACCGGGTAACCCTCCATCGGATAGTAGCTCGCCTTGAAACGCGCCAGAGGCAAAACGTAATCGCTAGTAGCTTATCAACAGGGCGACGGATCGTTTAGGCTCGAAAGAGATACATACAAGGCAGGATACAAAATACAACATACGGCCATATGTAGCACGAGGAGTAAAGCCTAACCCTCCACAAAGATAGTTGGCCTCCCAAAAGAAAACCTAAAATGACAGACACACCACGCTCGTCCACAGGGAAGAACGCGGCTGAGTCAGTGCTAGTGGTCACTGAAACCCTAATTGGCTGAACTGTTTCCCCCGATCTTGTCGCCAACCAGTCGCCCATTCGGTCGTCTGGGGTCGTTAGGGCTGTCCAGCGCGTGCGTTTCGGGCTTTTGAAGGAGTAGGTACGTACCACACAGATGCCACCAAATTGTACCGTCGGGTATCAGCGCAACGTTCTGTGTCCCCGAACCCAGGACCCTGGTGTACTGCGCGAATGAGTCCCGGGTGAACACGTGCTGCGAATCACAACCAAACAAGAGATTTCGTCGGCCAAGGGACAAAATGTTCGCACAAGGCGATTATCGAGCATGACGAAAAGGTTTTCTGGTTACGAGTCACTTCGGACGCCTGGCGACGACCACACTTGCATTTGTACGTTTTCGCCCATTTTTGATTTTCGCGCGAGGGTGCGGGCGGGGTACACCGCGCGTTTTAGTATCAAGAATTGTGTAGGTCCGCACAGGGGTTAAATATCACTGTTCACTGTGTTTCGGGTAACCTGTACCCCTTGTTGTACGCTAAACGTACGCGCTGGACAGGCCCTTATGTTTTCTCCCACCATTTCGCTGACCCCGTTCTTCGCTTACCCTGTATTTCGCTGATCCGCCTTTTCGCTGATCTGCCTGGGCTGCACGCACTTGTTCGACGAACCTGCCTGCCTGCTCGCGAACTCAAACCCCATACATGGGGGACTCGTAATTATGGTAGGAACATCTGAAGTCTACACGCAAACATCGCCCTTACTCAAATTTACCATATCCGCCAAGCATGCCATAGAACATAAGGTTCTTGATTCTATCCACATCAAGGTCCTCATTTGAAAGAAAACACAGTTAAAAGAACTCACAGATCTTCCATCATCAGTATGTGCAACACACAGGCGAAATGTGAGCAAACAATTGCTATTTGGAATGTTTCAATTGAAAACGACAGTTACCAGATTAGATCGCTGCATGTTATGCTGTGATAACGATAGGGATTGAGCGAAGAGAGGGAGGAGCCGAGGAGGTATAAGGATGGGTGGTGGAGAGGAACTGATTGGGAACAGGAGAGAGACATGGCAGGAGGAAGGTCGGGTTTCAGAAAAAAAAAAAGAGGATGGGAGAGGAGAGGAGAGATGGCTACTGTACCAGCATCCACCCTAAATCAGTGCCATGATTCTGGCTTGGACTCCTGCGTTCCAATATTTCCGCTCATCCTCACAGCTTTCTCAGCAACCCATCACTGAAACGTACAAAGCTTTGTCTGAACGCCCGTTACAAACAAAAACCTCCACGGCATTGTGACTATGAGCATTTACGTTTTACAGCCGAGACTTCACCTTGACGTCAATAACCTTGGGCTCAGGCTGCGGAAGCTTCTTGACAGAAACCGTCAAGATGCCGTCCACACACGCAGCCGTCGCATGTTCTACGTCTGCATCAGACGGAAGCTGAAACTCCCGAGTAAAGCTCCCGTGCACTCTTTCTCTCCATATAAGCCGCTCGTTAGCCGACTTCTTTTGACGACGCTCTCCCTTAATCGCGATAACGAGCGTCTCAGGATCCACTCTCACTTTCAAATCCTTCCCATGGAATCCTGGTACGTCAACACGGAAAACATAGTCGCTGGGTGTTTCGAGGATGTCCACCAGAGCCATGATGAGGAGCAGCGGGAGGAGTACGAACAGCGCGTCTTCACCCACGGAGAGACAGGAAAAGTGGGGGAATTGTCAGCGATCGCCTAGCGCAGTGGAACGACGCGTTGTACTTTGACACGGTCAAAATTCGAGAATTCTTGTATGATCCTTGAAAGCCGCCATCTAGAATGGGTGGTTTCTACGTGTGAAGAGTCATTCTGGAACTTCAGGAAGCACGTGGGTGGAAATGAGCAGTGGGAGGACCACAGAAAGGCAGAATTCACACTCAGCTGCGGAAACGAACCTCGCGACAGGGATTAGTGACACATCTGCGACAGGCGGTACTTGGGTCGAACCATTCTAAGGGGAGTCTGAAAGAATCAGGTTACCAAACAGAAATCTCGCGTGGAACGAGCGAAGTTGCATGACTGAGGTGTGAGGGGGTTGAGAAGGGTACCTAGGAAGCGAACACTTCACCGAGACACTAGTAAGCCCATATATATCCATCCCAAAATTTGTTTGTTGGTAAACCTGCATGTTGAAGCATCGTCCGACTGTACTCGATCGCGTACTATTATCGGGTACGCCGCTCCTCTGCCACAACCCTTCCTTTCCCTCCAAAAACCTCTCTTTCTCAACTTTCGCCTGCCGCATTTCTGAAAATGCTCAGCTCTCACATCCAACCCAACCATGGCCGCCGCTATTCCGAGTCGCATTGACTCCCCTATTAGGTCCGTCCGCCGCGTCGAATCGCCCTTCACCTCAGCCATTCGCTTTCGTCCCCTCATTCAACTTACTTGGACCACCAACGCCCGTGTCGAACCTCCCATCCAGGCTCGTAGAACGTTTTTCGAGCTGCTTTTCCAACCCGTTAGGACTATTTGCCGCGAACTTTTGAGCTTTGGCAGTAAAAATGGAAAGCGCGCGGCTCGTGTGAGTCGCCTCGCGTCGCTTATTTCGCCTTCCGCTGCGTGAACCCACCCACGCAGAGGCGACTAATTTTGTCGTGAGCGAGTTCAATTCGTTTAGTGACCAATCCGTGGCTGGGGATACGAATTCAATTCATTTAGTGACCAATAGTCAGCTTTCAGCCATCAGCCAGCGTTACCGAGGTTGGGTGGTCCCTCCCTCCCTCCCACCAGGCCCGCTCACCCAGCCTCAATCACCGCGTGCTCCCTCCAACGCCCATTCTTCGTTTCTCGCCTTCCTCTCCCCATGACCATTCTAGCTTCTCGCACATTCCACACTACGCCCAATATTCGCCCACTAGTCTCTAGCGAATTTTTGTGAAACTAGAGGAACTGAATCAGCCGCGGCTGCACTGGTAGCTTTCCGCCAAGGCTAGCTCCGTGGCTTCCTCGTTATCAAGTCCGCGTCTCCGTCGCTGCTCCGTCGAAGTAACGAGGAGGAAAGCCTTCCGTCGAAGTAACGCGGGAGAAACCGTGCCGTCGGAGTAACGCCTGCGATGCGGCGTTCTTGCACACCTCTGGTCCACGGCGACTGCGACGACTCGAGGGAGGCTCCTATCGAGCGAACACTCGCGGAGGGAACTCGCGGACTCGTGAACGCTCCGAATCGTCATAATTTCTGCCACCACCGCTCAGGTAAGACTCACGTTCACGAAAGTCGTTAACGATTCGTCGTCCCTCTTTCAGTCTCTCGTCGTTGTTCCGATCGCTCTCGATTTTGCAGGGTGTTTTTGAGAATTCTCAAAAATTTGCAGGGTGTTTTTCTTTCGCGTTTATTGTACAACCTGCCAGTTCGCAGCGGTGCTACTCTGAGTTCCTACGCTTGCTCGTCTGAAACGGTTTCTCTTCCCTTTCTTTCGCGGAATTGCAGTTGGCACGTCCTGCAGCGACGCGGCCCAGTCAACACGACGTCGCAACGTGTCGCAACCGTCGCAATTTTCGTTCTCGTCGCATCCGTCGCGACGTGACAGTCATCGCCGTGACAGACCTGGTGTCCGGCTTCACATACCGTGGCCGGATTGACTTTTGAGTCAACTCGGAATGAATCGTCTCCGAGACGATCGTTCCGCTGTTCCGCCGCTAACGAGCTTTCCGCCGCTAACGTTACCCGGCGTACCATTCTTACTGTCGGATCGTTCCGCCGCTGGCGATCCTCTCAAGTATCGCCTTGGTAAGTGGTTGGAACGAGTCCCCTCCTACGACGCTTTCGTCACGGGATTTGAGTCTTGGGCCGCCCGTGCATTTTCTTCTGCCACACCTTGACCTCAAGGCACAGCCATGGGGGGTGCTGTTTCCGACAGGGAGTGGGCTGCATGCTGCTCCTATTGCTGGGAGGGGGAAGGTGGGACGGGGGGAGGTGGGACGGGGGGAGGTGGGACGGGGGGAGGTTGGACGGGGGGAGGTTGGACGGGGGGAGGTTGGACAGGGGGAGGTTGGATGGGGGGAGGTGGGGTTGGGTGGTGGTGGTGGTCAAAGGGGGCCTGAAACTCCCTTGGTGAGTTGATCGATCAGCTAAGGACGGCTTCTCAACCAACGCTGTGAGTCAAGTCAGGGGGAGAGGCAGGGCAAAGGAGGGCGTCTACGACTGCCACTGTAAGTTGGGTGAGAGGGAGAGGTGATCAGGGGCGTGAAGCCTCTTGGGTGAGTCAATTAGTTGATTGTCAAGGGAGGGCTTCTCAAACACCCCTGTCAGTTGAGTGGGGGGGAGAGGAGGGGCAAAGGAGGGCATCTACAACTGCCACTGTAAGTTGAGTGAGTGTGAGAGGTGAACAGGGGCGTGGAGCCCTTTGGGTGAGTTGATCGATCGGCAAAGGAGGGCTTCTCAAACACCCTTGCTCCTAGTGCTGGGAGGGGTGTGGGAAGGGGGGAGGTGGGGAGGGTGATAAACTTGGAGGGGGTGGTGGTGAAAGGGGGCCTGGCACTCCCTTGGTGAGGTGATTGATTGGCAAAGGAGGGCGCCTTCAACCAACCATCACTGTAAGTCGAGTGAGTGGGAGGGGAGGGGCAAATGAGGGCGCCTTCAACCAACCATCACTGTAAGTTGAGTGAGAGGGAGGGGAGGGGCAAATGAGGGCGCCTTCAACCAACCATCACTATAAGTTGAGTGAGAGGGAGGGGAGGGGCAAAGGAGGGCGCCTTCAACCAACCATCAATTTTAAGTTGAGTGAGAGGGAGGGGAGGGGCAAAGGAGGGCACCTTCAACCAACCATCACTGTAAGTCGAGTGAGAGGGAGGGGAGGGGCAAAGGAGGGCGCCTTCAACCAACCATCACTGTAAGTCGAGTGAGAGGGAGGGGAGGGGCAAAGGAGGGCGCCTTCAACCAACCATCACTGTAAGTTGAGTGAGAGGGAGGGGAGGGGCAAAGGAGGTTTCAGACCCCAGGTTGAGGCTAGGTATGGGGTTTGATGCCTCCTTAGGCAATGGGAGGGGGTTTAACACCCCAAGTTACAGGGTGAGGCAAGGGAGGGGGTTTGATACCCCAAGTTACAGGGTGAGGCATGGGAGGGGTTTGATACCCCGAGTGACAAGGTGAGGCAAGGGGGGTCATTTAGTACTCCCAGTTACAGGGTGAGGCTTGGGAGGGGGTTGATACCCCAAGTTATAGGGTGAGGCAAGGGAGTGGGTTTGAGACCCCAAGTTACAGGGTGAGGTAAAGGAGGGGGTTTGAAGAAACCCCAAGTTCCAGGGTGAGGCATGGGAGGGGGTTGATACCCGAGGTACAGGGGGAGGTAAAGGAGGGTGTAGCTCGGGCATGGGGTCAGTAGCTCGGCCAAGTTGCAAGGTGAGGCAAGGGAGGGGGTCTGAGACCCCAAGTATAAAGGTGAGGCAAGGGAGGGGGTCTGAGACCCCAAGTATGAAGGTGAGGCAAGGGAGGGGGTCTGAGACCCCAAGTATGAAGGTGAGGCGTGAAGCCCCTTGGGTGAGCTGATTGATCAGCACAGGAGGGCACCTGCGAATACTACTGTAAGTTGTGTGAGAAGGAGACCTCAAACTGGGCGTGAACCCCCCTGGGTGAGTTGATTGAATTCAGTTCAAGGGGCAAAGGAGGGAGGCTGCAAGCACCAGTGTATGTTGAGACCCCTTGGAGAGGGAGGGAGATGAGATTGGGGGCATGAAACCCCCTGTGTCGACTTGGAGGGAGGAGGAAGTTGAGTTGGAGGGAGGAGGAAGATGAGTTGGAGGGAGGAGGAAGATGAGTTGGAGGGAGGAGGAAGATGAGTTGGAGGGAGGAGGAAGTTGAGCTGGAGGAGGGAAGAGGACCTGGAACCCCGAGCGTAAGTTGGAGGGGCAATGAGGGGCAATGGAGGAAGAGGAGGGGGTGTTTTGTGTGAGGGGCAATGGAGGGGGGCTGCAGCAACCACGAGCGTAAGTTGGCTGAGGGGCTTAGAACGGGGGCTGCAACCACCAGAGCTAAGTTGGGTAAGAGGGAGAGGAGGAGGGGGGTGGAAACCCCCCAGGCCAGGGTAGATGAGCGTAGGGAAAGTGGGGCTGACTGAAACCCCCAGAGTATACTGAGTGAGGGGCAATGGACGGGCGCTGCAGCAACCTGGAGGGTAAATTAGCTGAGGCCGCAACCACCAAGGGTAAGCTGAGTTGAGTTTGGGAGTGGAGAAGGGGGAGGTGAACTGGGGCCTGAAACCCCCAAGGTGTAGTGAGTGAGGGGCAAGGGAGGGTCGCTGCAGCAACAATCAGAGTAAGTTGAAGGAGGGGCAAGGAACGGGGGCTGCAACCACCGAGGGTAAGTTGAGGTAGAGAGAGCGGAGAAAGAGGGCCTGAAACTCCCCAGGATAAGTCGCCAGTGAGATAGAGAGGTGAGAGGGGGCCTGAAACCCCCTTGAAATGTTGAGTGAGGGGCGATGGAGGGCCGCTGCAGCAACCGTCAGAGTTGGTCAATGGAGGGGCAAGGAACGGGGGCTGCAACCACCAAGGGTAAGTTGAGTTAGAGGGAGTGGAGAAAGGGGGCCTTATTCCCCACGGTTAGTGAGTGAGCAAGGGAGGCGAATTGGGGCCTGGAACCCCCAAGATGTTGTGAGTGAGGGGCAAGGGAGGGTCGCCGCAGCAACCATGAGAGTAAGTTGAGGGACAAGGAACGGGGGCTGAAACCCCCAAGGGTGAGTTGAGTTAGAGGGTGTGGAGAAAGGGGGCTCGCATCCCCCAGGCCCAGGGTGAGTTGAGTGAGCAAGGCAGACGAATGTGATTGAGTGGATGGCAGGGGCAGGGCATGGCGTGAGTGGATGGGAAGAAAGGGGCCTGAAACCCCTGGGGTAAGTTGAATGTGAGGGATCGGAAAAGGGGGGGCCTGAAACCCCGGGGTCAGAGGATCTGACTGTTCACAGGGGCAGGGCAGCAAGTGATTATGCTGCATGGAGTGCGTCATGCCTCCCGGCCCCTCTGCTAATCTGGTGAAAAGGAAGAGAAGGGGCCTAAAACCCCTTAGGTGCATGAGTGGACGAGTAGGAGGTTTATATTCCAAAGGTGGGTGAGTCGAAGGCTAGGGTTCAGACACCAAGTTACTCAGCCATGGGGTCACTAGCGCGGCCATGGGGTCAGCAGCGCAGCCATGGGGTCAGTAGCTCGGCCTGCGGTGACTTACTCGGCGCAAGGTGAGGCAAGGAAGGGGGTTTTAGACCTCAAGTTACAAGGTGAGGCAACGAAAGGGGGTTTTTAGAACCCAAGTTACAAGGTGAGGCATAGGAAGGGGGTTCATACCCCAAGTTACTAGGTGACGAAAGGAAGGGGTTTCAGACCCCTAAATGGAGCAGGGGAAAGGGGTTGTGAGTCGGTTCCTTGGCAATTCTGAGAGTCGGTTCCTTGGCTTTTTTTAGAGTCGGTTGGTTCCTCCTCGGCATTCTGAGAGTCAGTTCCCTGGCAATTCTATGAAAGAGGCCAGCTGGCCTCTTCTGACACCCCTTTCCAGGCCAAAGGTGGAGATCATCTGTCCCTGCCCTGCTGCCCATCACAAATTTCCAGGCAAAAGTCATCTACCATGAGGTCTCTCCTGCGAATGGCAAGATTTGACTATCTCAAGTTTCCCTATAATTGCATATTGTTGGGCTGATAAAAGCCCTTAGGATCTTTCCAGAGACTAAGTCCCAGTTGTAAAAAATGAGACTTGAGTAGTGCAGCGGAAGTTGAGGCAGTTGAACCCTTGTACTAGTATATGAGAACAAGTGATTGACTAAAGAAACAAGCATGCAGCAATATATAGAAGATAAGAAAGCAGTTGTAGAATACAGTTACAGGAACGGTTTATCGAGTCGCACAGCGACTCGATTGCCGCTTCGGTTACCATCCGTGATGTTGTAACAGTCAGTCGTAACCTCCAGTTGCGACCTTTCGAGTCTTTTCGCATTCTTTGTCCGCCCCCTCGTGCAACCTCCGTTGACTCGCGTGCTCCCCTGTAATCTTCCTCGAGTACAGTGTTATACTTCAGAAACGCTCAAGTCTTTTGAGATGTTTCCAACACTCCCCTTCGTTTCTGGAGTGCTGGCGTGTTCAGATCCGGTGACGTTTGTTTGCCCGGTCAGGAGCATGCAGTAGTCGAATTTTGCTTTCGCCAATTTCTTCGTCAGATAATCTGCAGCCATTTCTGTCGTCGGGCAGTAACTGAGTTGAAGTCTCCCCTTCGCGATTTCATCCTTGACGAAGAAGTACCGCAGGGCGATGTGCTTAGTTCGGTTGGCGAAGCCGTCCTTGTTCGCGATTTTGATCGCAGATTGGTTATCGCAGAGGAGTGAGAAGGCAGGCAGGGTCGCGATCTTCGCTTCCTCGAGTAACTCTCGTAGGTAGAGTCCTTCCTTGGTCGCAGTACAAAGGGCGATATACTCTGCTTCAGCCGAGGATAGCGCGATTAACTCCTCCTTGCTCGACTGCCAGGAGATAGTTCCGATGGGTTCTAGTCGGTAGATGTAGCCCGTCCTAGATCTTCGATTTTCCCTATCTCCCGCGTGGTCGGCGTCGACGTATCCGAGTAGTCGTACGGACGGTGTTGTCGCTTTACTGTAGGTAAGCCTAATCGTCGGCGTGGAGACGAAGTAGAGTAGTGCTCGGTTGAGCTCCTCGAGATCTTCCTGTTCCGGTTGCTTCAGATGCGTCGCCAGTTGACTCGCACTATAGGACAGGTCGGGTCGGCAGGTTACTGCTGCGAATAGTAGGTAGCCGAGCTTCTGTTGATACTCCTGGATTTGTTTCGCGGGGAGTTTTGCGGAGGTGCTGTTGTTGTTCCCGTAGTGGTAGGGAGTTGGGACAGTAGTCGGTGTTATACCGAATTTCTTCGCGACGGTGCCTGAGTACTTTCCAGCGTGTAGGTAGAACGCCGTGTCGTTTTCGTCGACATTCAGTCCTAGGTACTGGGTCACTTCGTCGGACACCGTGAGTGTTAAGTCTTCTTTCAGTTCCCGCTCGAACCAGGTGGCGATGTCGGTAGTGGAGCCGATGTAGAGCAGGTCGTCGACGTAGACGATGAGTAGGATATACTCTCTTCCCTTCTGCAGTCGGTACATTCCTTGGTCATGCGGCAGCTGTAGGAATCCGATTTTTGCGAGACGGCCGTGGAGATGCTGCTGCCAGAGCCGCGGGGCTTGCTTGATCCCGTATAGGGATTTTGTCAGTTGGCATACTTTCGTGGGGTCGTCGATGAATCCGTGGGGTTGTTCGACGAAAATCTCGGCGTCCACAGGTGCGTATAGGAACGCATTCGCGACGTCGATTTGGCGTAGTGGTAATGTCTTCGTGGCCGCGACGGCGAGTAGGATGCGTAATGAGGTGTGACGGGAGACTGGAGCGAAGGTTTCTGTGTAGTCGGTCCCGTATCGTTGATCGAAGCCTCGTACGACCCATCGAGCTTTGAATCATTCGATGGAGCCGTCTGAGTTGGTCTTAATGCGGTACACCCATTTCCCCGAGAGGACGTTTTTCCCGTTGATGCTCGTTGCAGGTACCAGTTTCCATGTTTTCCGGTCTTGCAGAGCCTTTAACTCCTTTTCCATCGCTTCCTTCCATTTCGCCTTATATTCCCCCCCCAGAGCCTGCGACAGGGTCGAAGGCTCTCGCGGAGAAGGCGGCGGCGGATGCTGGACGGAGACCCAGAGGCCTAGAATCTGCAGTCCCGTTGGTGTGTGTCGAGGGGAATTTTCATTCCCGGAATAAGCTGCTTCGTCACAGTCTTCTGGGTCAGGTAAGAAGTTGGGACCGATGCGTTCTGAAACATTTGTGTCGACTGGGTGGGGTGTAATGTAACCTTGGTCAGCGAAGTGGTAAAAGGTGTCGAGGTTGTTGCTATCGAGAGGATTGTCTTCGTCGAGTGGAATAGGTACGGAACAGAATGGGAGTGGTCCGGCAGTTTCCGAGGCTTCAGGTACGTCTTCTTCTGCCGCGTCAGCTTCGGCAGCACGGTCGGCGAAGGAACGAAGTCCGGAGAAGCCGTCGGTGGGGTCTTGTGTGTTGGCAATGTTGTCCAGGTAATGCTGCAGCGTCAGTCGCTCGTAGAAGATAACATCACGTGATGCCACGGTATTTTTGTCCTGTATGTCGAGAATTTTCCACGCGTGAAAGTGTTTGGCGATGTCGAGGTGTAGTCCCCACCGAGCTCGTTGTGTGAAGCGTCCTGCTCGGGCTGTGTGGGGTCTGTACTGTACCATGCAGCCGAAAACTCGGAGTAATTTTGTGCTGCCCCTTTTTCTTGTCCACAACAGGTGCGGTGATGCGTTGTTGGGAAGCGATGACGAGGACAGCAGGTTGTGCAGGTGAACTGCATGTGTCATCGCGTCTGGCCACAGTGTGGTGGGCAGCTTCATCCCCAGAAGCAGTTTTCGCATCGTCGTCTGCAAGGTCCGGTTCATGCGTTCTGCGACCCCCTGCTGCTGGTGAGCATAGGGCAGAGACACCAGGCGTCTGATTCCTCTTTCCGCCAGATAGGTCCTGAAGCGTTGTGACTGGTATTCCAGTGCACCGTCTGACTGGAAGCTCTTGAGCTTGGTTCCTGATTCTCGTTCAGCGATGGGAAGCCATGTTGTGAAGGCGTCGAAAGCTTGATCGCGCGTCTTGAGATTGAAGTGCCAGACGTATCTGGTTGCTGCGTCGATGAACGTGATGACGTAGTTGAAGTCGGCTTCGGTGTCTTCTCGAGGCATGTTTAAAATATCGCTGTAGACTTTTTCCATCGGAGCGTATGTAGGTGCGCTTGGGTTGTGATGAGATGGAAAAGGCTGATGGGGAAGATCTGCTTCGGGGCACATGAAGTACCGTGCTCGTGGTCGTCGAAGTTCTTGGCCGCTCGTTGTTAGGAGGGCGTTGCGTTCTAACACCTCTGCTTGGATTGTTTGTAGTATCGTGCTGTTTGCAGGATGCCCGAGGCGTTGGTGCCAGATGTCGTCGGGAGCGCGATGACCCGGCGAGCGGTGGTATATGTCGGCGTTGGAGAAGAACGCGACGACTTTGGCGGGACTTCGACAAACTTCTCGTGTGATGGGCATGAGTTGGTCTGCTTCGGTTGGCGGTCCTCGGATCGCCGGTGGTGGGATTCGGCTGAGTCCTGCTGCTGCTACTGCAGGTGATGGTTTGGTTGGGATACTCGCGGGTACTTGTATTTCTTGTCTGATGACTGCTAATGCTCGTGTTCTTTCTGCTGCAGGTATGGTGTTGGAGTGCCAGAAGCCGTCACTGTCGAATTCTGGATCAAGATCCGGCGGGTGTGTCCAGGCGGCGAATGATACGATGCCGTCGCTGTCGGCAGTACCGCGGTCGGGGACGAAGTCCAACACGAAGACGCCGGATTTCAGGAGGGCACGACCGATGAAGAGGCCACCCTTCCCGTGGTATAGCCGAAACTCGTTGGAGTAGGAGTCGCACTCCAGGTGAATCCCCTTGACCATTAGTTGGCTTACGCTTAGTAGGTTGTATCCCAGGTTGTCGACAATGAGGACTTTGTTGAGCTGAAGTATGACGTTTGTCTCCATGGATTGTAACTGAACCACGCCTTGTCTGTTTGTCGTCAGATTTTCGTTGTTGGCGACGGTGATGACGACGTCGCGGTTGAGGCGTTTCTCCTGTTGCACGAATCGTCCCGAAGAGCACATGTGTTGCCCGCAGCAGCTGTCCAAGAACCAGGTGTTTCGCCCGGTGGGTTCGGCGTTGGCGACCGCAGCATATGTTGGATTGACTTGAAGGCCTTGTGAGCGCGGTGGGGGGAGCTCTTCTTCGTCTGGCGCGTAAGTGGGTGGTGATCCGGGTGCGCAGTTGTCGATGTGTACCATGCAATTGATAATATTTGGTGTCTGTTGTGCAGATGTTGAAGAGCGTCTTGGGGGACTTGCTTGAGTGGAAGCGACTTGTGGGTCTGCTGGACGGTAAACGCGAGGGCGGTTGCAGTTGACCTTGGAGTGCCCGGAAGTCTGGCAGTTGTGGCAGAACGGCGGCACGAAGGTAAATCCCCTGTTGTCGCGTTCTTGCTTGCCCCGTCGATTGTAGGTGTTGTCGTTTCTTCGTTGAGTGTAGAAGACTAACTGCTGCTGCTTCCTTGGTTGTCTTTTTTCGAACAGGTCCATCTCTTGTTGTTCAGCGTGAAGCTCGGCGCAGAGGTGCATCTCCGAAATCCTTCCGTGGGCGCGAAGAAGCGATCGTGTGGTTCTCCATTCTGGCCCGAGCCCGGCGAGGACAAGTGTCACGAAGCTTTCTTCAGTGATTGTTCCTCCGCACCGAAGCAGGCGGTCGCGGAGGGTCTGGCAGCGACTCATATACTGCATCGCCTTTTCCCCGGTCTTCATTTGTATTGTTGTCAGTTGTTGCATGAGTCTGCTTTGTGTCACGCTGTCGTTTGCTTGATAGAGGCACTTGAGATGGTGCCATGCGAGCTCCGCGGAGTTTCCATAGCTCCTGTATGTTCTGATGCTCTGCTGTTCTTGTGGTGACAGGTTTCTCAGGAGAACCGTATACGCCAGCAGCGACTGATACGTGAAGATTTCTTGTTCCTTTCCAGTGCCGTTGCTTGGGAATGGCAGGGACCCGTTGAAGTATCCCAGAAGGTGCGCAGCCTCCATCAGCAGCTCGAACTCGAAGCTCCAGGTAAAGAAGTCGTGTCCGTTGAACGGTGAGGATGTCTGTAGTTTAATCACGTGTGAAAACTGCGCCTGGAGACTTAAGATTTCGTTTGGTGTTTGTTGTGATGCAGCTGCTGTTGATTGGGCACGGGGCGGCATGAACTCGAACGTCCCCGGTGAAGAGTGATAAGGCGCAAAGGTAGGCGCTTGATTGTGTCGCCCAAACAATGAGTTGTCGAGGCTCATCGGCGCTTATCCCATGTTTCCTCCATTGCTCTGTATTGAATGCGCAGGTGTCCTTGTCTGCTGCTGCTGGTCGAAGTGCGACATGAAGCTGAAGAACCTTTCCATAAGGTTGGGGTCCACGCTTGAAGAGGGAGATGAAGTCACCATCTCTGGTACTCTTCCCGTTGTTTCTTGAGCAGTCCCGGTCTCTGTCTGCAGTCCTGAGGTGTGCAGACCAGAGTTGCCGTGTTGAGTTTCTTGGCCGCTGAGTGAGCCCGTAGAGACTTTCTTGCCCTTGCTGTCCATGTCTTGTGATCAATGAAGTCGTTGAATTGAGTTGAGTTGCAGGTTGATGGAGTGCAGTTGCTGGGAGTTTGGTCTCTGACCAGCTCTCATACCATGTTGGGCTGATAAAAGCCCTTAGGATCTTTCCAGAGACTAAGTCCTAGTTGTAAAAAATGAGACTTGAGTAGTGCAGCGGAAGTTGAGGCAGTTGAACCCTTGTACTAGTATATGAGAACAAGTGATTGACTAAAGAAACAAGCATGCAACAATATATAGAAGATAAGAAAGCAGTTGTAGAATACAGTTACAGGAACGGTTTATCGAGTCGCACAGCGACTCGATTGCCGCTTCGGTTACCATCCGTGATGTTGTAACGGTCAGTCGTAACCTCCAGTTGCGACCTTTCGAGTCTTTTCGCATTCTTTGTCCGCCCCCTCGTGCAACATCCGTTGACTCGCGTGCTCCTCTGTAATCTTCCTCGAGTACAGTGTTATACTTCAGAAACGCTTAAGTCTTTTGAGATGTTTCCAACACATATTCATGGCGTGTTAGTGTTTCTGAACTTCGAACAGAAGAGAGAAACGAAGATCAACACTAGGGTTATTTTGTATGTCGACCCTGTGGCATTTTGCTCAGACTGAAAATTGTAGTAGTTCTTTATACTGTGACTCTTGTGAGATTCCTACAGTAGTCTGCTACTTACATCCTGATCCATTTGATTTTGTTGTTTGTAGGAGACTAATGAATTTTTAATAGCATTACTTTCTGCATTTTTGGTCTCAACGATACATAGCAGAAGTCTGTGTCTTTTTATTCGATAAGCAGCTCCTCAATATTAGCTTGTTGGCCAAACCTCGAGAATTATGCATACCCCTCGAGGTTGGTGTTGGTCAATGAGCTCCTCGTGATTGCTGCACACAACACCTGACGGATTCCGTTGTCAGCACCTCGGATCTTCTCAGCGTCAGCCTGAAGCTTCATTCGTCATCGCCATTTCCCGCCAAGTCTGCTGACCATGGTTTCTGTCTTTTTCCTGATTCAACCACCCGCATTCCTCGGCGGGTAAGGCGGCTTAGCGTTTTCCCAGTACGTCTGATCTAGCGGCACGTATGTATGTCGAAATCTGGGATAGCTTACGGCGATGTCCGATCATGCTCGATCAAAGGGGAGAGGATGTACGGGGAGCTGGTCCATGCGACCGTGTATTGCGGAAAGGCAGCCTGATTCTGACACTATTAGGGATTCGGGTGGACGGCAATATGAAGAGAAAGATAGTCGTTTCTGCGATCTCGTAGCGACCCGAACTCCTTTAAACCGGTCCTTAGACAGGCAACCCATTCGCGATAGGAGCGACTCGTTTTTCAGGCACGATCAATCCAGGCCGTACGATGAGAAATCCTTGCTATTGCCACGCGGAAACTCCTCGATTCCGGAATCATTGGGCTGCGACAAGATTCCCATACATTCCGGAAACGCCGAACCAGGAAATGTCCGTCTGGATTTCCGCCGTGCCTCACGCTCCGAGTCGGAGTCGGAGCAGCCTCAGGCTCCTCTTTCGGGACATCATCTCGGCGCTTCGAATGCCGCGTCCTTCGGCTCCGTCCGAAATGGCTCCTCTTCGTCGTCGATCCGAGTCGGCGAGAGCTACAGGGACATCGCTACGGTGAGGAATGACGGCCCAGCCGAAGGTCGTCTCGGCGCTTCAAATGCGTCTTTCCCCTCCGTCCAGAATGCTTCCTCTTCACCGGCGATTCGACTCGACCAGGGCTACAGGGACATTGCCACGGAGAAGAATGACGGGCGAGTCGAGAGCGACGCGAACAGACAGGAAGAGCAGCTGCATCAGGGACAGGATCCTCAGCAGCAGCAGCAGCAGCATCAGCAGCAGCAGCAGCAGCAGCAGCAGCAGCAGCAGCAGCAGCAGCAGCAGCAGCAGCAGCAGCAGCAGCAGCAGCAGCAGCAGCAGCAGCAGCAGCAGCAGCAGCAGCAGCAGCAGCAGCAGCAGCAGCAGCAGCAGCAGCAGCAGCAACAGCAGCAGCAGCAACAGGAGCAGCTGAACAGGAAGAGACGGCAGAGAGGTCTGAAAAGGGGTCGCGTCTCGCTTCAGATGCTCGACACGTGGCTGGCTGAGCCTGAATCTCCGCCGTTGAAGCAGGCTCGTTCGCCATCCCCTTCCACCACTTGCCGCTCCGCCTCTGGGTCACCTGTCAAGTCGTCTGCAGCTGTCAGATCGACCAGATCCCCAGGAGACTCGCATTTGGCAGGAGATGGGACCAGATCTCCAGGAGACATCAAATTGCCAGCAGATGCCGAATTGCCAGAACATGCCAGATTGCCAGGAGACATCAAATCGGCAGGTGATGTCAAGTCGATTATGGGTTTCGAGAATGTCAGGTCATCGAGTATTGCTCATTCGGCGTCCAGAGGCATCGCATTTGTAAGTGAGGCATCAGGGCGTTTGGATGCTGAGCCAGAGCGAGCGGATAAGGTTGATGCTGCTGAGTCAGCAGCAGCGGAAGAGGCTGATGATGAGTGGATGGAGGCTGCAGAACAGGTGATGGCAGCAGTAGAAGCGGCTGCTGCATCTGCTGCTAGTGCTTCTAGCCTTGCTGCTATCTCATCGTCTTCTGCTGCTGGTGCTGCAAGTGGTGCTGTCACGTTTGTTAGTAGCGGTGCCAAGGCACAGCAAGGAAGAGAAGATGGAGAATGGACCAGCGGAGCAGCCATGCCTCCTCCCACCAGCGCATCTCCCAGACCTCCGTTCGGCAAGTCGTTTACGTCACCAACTGACCCCTTCCAAGCCATGTCAGCACATGGAGCTGGCAACCCAGCACCTGGTGGTGGTGGCATGTCATCACATGCACGGGGCATGTCCCCTCGCACTCCTGCAGTTCCTCCTCCCACTGGTCCAATCACATCGCGCCACATGTCACCAGCGACCCCATCTACACGCATCTCGTCACCAGCCACTGCATCTCAACACATGCCTCCTGTCCCCCCATCTCAGCACTCTGCTGCACGTTCGTTTCTCACTCCCGCACTTGGCGGGGCAGCTACACATGCGAGACTTGCAGTTACTCCAGAACAGCAGCGTGTAAGGCAAGCTGTTACACCACAGACGCACGTCGCATCGGTTACTTCTCTGCAGCATGTAACACCTGGTACTGGGTTACAGCGCACCACACCCGCCACCCCAGCCCGTCACTGCCGCACCCCTCCGAATGCAGCCCCTGCATCCTCGGTTGTAGCAGCTCCAGTAGCAGCAAGAGCAGCCGCTGCAGCAGCAGCAGCAAGTCCTGTGTGCGGTTCAAGCATGGCTATGGGCTCCCTTGCTGGCGTTGGTGCGGGCACAGATGCTTCTGCCAGCACCTGTCCGGAGGTGCAGGATGCCTGGGTCTTGAGGCGTCATATGGGCGCTGAATTGGGGCCAGGGTGCCGTCTGTTTGAAACACCTGAGAAGGAGCCTGAGGGAAGCAGGGTACACAGCAGAACCGCTGGAGCAGAGGTGAGGATGGCGGAAGGTGGGGAAGGGGGAGCAGAGATAGGCACAGGGGCATGTGCAGGTATGCAATCAGTGCTGGCAGGGGGGGTGGCAGAAGGGGTGGCAGCAACAGCAGCAACGGCAGCAAGAGCAACAGCAGCAGCAGCAGCAGGAGTGGCATCGGGAATTCTTGAATGGAGAGTGGTGAAGCCAGGAGTTGACCCTGATGCGAAGGCGGGTGTGGGGGAAGCGGAAACGAGGGCAGCAATAGCTGGTGTGGCGGGCCTGGACATGCTTGCTGGCAGTGCGGCGGTGACATATGTGAAAGCGGGTGGTGATTGTGTTGAAAAGAAGGAGTCCGGTGCGTTTGTTGCTGCAGATGTAGGGGGAGGCGAGGGTGGAGCTGTAGGTGAAGTGGAAGCAGCAGAAGCAGGAGCAGTAGGGGGGGGAGTGGAAGCAGCAGAAGCAGGAGAAGTAGCGGAAGCAGCAAAGGCAGAAGCAGATGTCGCAGCAGCAGCAGCCGGTATAAACGAGGAGCAGCCGTACTTGGCTCGTTTGAACGCAGAGCAGAGGGCAGCAGCAGCCGCAGATGTGGATCGGCCACTGCTGGTGCTTGCAGGGCCCGGTAGCGGCAAGGTGAGTGCTGAGCGGTGGTGGTGGGGTGCTGTGCAGTGTGGTGTAGATCTGCGTGGTGTGTGCAGTCGAACAGAGAGCAGAGGGCAGCAGCGGTGGACCAGCCACTGCTGGTGCTTGCAGGGCCGGGAAGCGGCAAGGTGGGTGTGGTGTGCTGTTGTGCGGTACAGTGTGGCTCATATCGCTCCCCACCCAGACCTCTCTACCATGACGGCTCGCATCCTGCATCTGCTGCACGCAGTTTGAGCTTGGAGGCACCTTCTGACCTCTCTCTCCCAATCTTATTTTCTTTCATGGATGCTCAACCCTCCCAATCTTCCCTCCCCTCCCCCTCCCTCCCAATCTGCCCTCCCCTCTCCCCTCCCAACCCAACCCAGGCCTCCACCATGGTGGCTCGCATCCTGCATCTGCTGCACGCGGTATGAGCTTGGAGGCACCTTCTGACCTCTCCATCCCGATCATATTCTCTCCCTCTCCCCCCCACCAGACCTCCACCATGGTGGCTCGCATCCTGCATCTGCTGCACGTGGGCGTGCCAGCCAATCGCATCCTTGCAATGACCTTCACCACTGCAGCAGCCAATGAGATGCGGGAGCGCGTGCTGGCCAGCCAAGGAAAGAAGAGAGGAACGGCAGGGCAGAAAGGAAAGGAAGGGAAGGAAGGAAAGGAAGTGACGGCAGGGGAGGTGGCAGTGAGCACGTTCCACTCGCTGTGCCTGCAGCTGTGCAGGAGTCATGCCGAAAAGTAAGTGCTGCTTTCAGAGTTATTTATAGTATTCTGAAATGAGAGGGCAGGGGAGGTGACAGTGAGCACGTTTCACTCGCTGTGTTTGCAGCTTTGCAGGAGCCATGCTGACAAGTGAGTGCTGTTTTCAGGGTTTTTTTTTAGAATCCTCAAAAGGGTTACCAGGGGAGGTTACAGTGAGCACGTTTCACTCGCTGTGTTTGCAGCTTTGCAGGAGCCATGCTGACAAGTGAGTGCTGGTTTCAGGGTTTTTTCTTAGAATCCTCAAAAGGGTTACCAGGGGAGGTTACAGTGAGCACGTTTCACTCGCTGTGCCTGCAGCTGTGCAGGAGCCATGCCGGAAAGTAAGTGCTGGTTTCAGCGTTTTTTATAGTATTCTGAAATGGGAGGGCAGGGGAGGTGACAGTGAGCACGTTCCACTCGCTATGCCTGCAGCTGTGCAGGAGCCATGCTGACAAGTGAGTTCTGGTTTCTGGGTTTTTCGTAGAATCCTCAGAAGGGTTACCAGGGGAGGTTACAGTGAGCACGTTTCACTCGATCTACTTGCAGCTGTGCAGGAGCCATGTTGAGAAAGGGGTGACACGTGGTTGGAAGGGGTGAAAGGGAAGCTTGCACTTGTTCCCTGTGTTTGCAACTGCACAGCAGCCTGAATTGTTCCACCGCCCACGCCCCTACCTACCCCGTATGTGCCCAGTTTTGTGGATACTGCAGAAATCCTTGTGTTTGGGCAAAAGAAGCAGCGGAGGGCCATCACTGTCTGAGCCACCTCCCACCCCTCGGTTGTTTCCTAACTCTTTCTCCCCCCTCCTCCATCCACCAACCCCCTTTTGCTCAAGCTGTCCTAGGTTTGGGCGGGGTCCGTTTTTCCTGGTGTTTGGGCGCAAGCATCAGCGGAGGGCCATCACTGAGGCTGTTAGACTGAGTGACGCACTCATTGTTCCTCACTCACTCACCCATTCTCTCTCTCACTCACCCTCCTGTACCCTGCGGCTCTGACGTTGCATGTTCAGGTTTGGGCGGACTGCGGAATTCCTGGTGTTTGGGCACAAGCAGCAGCGGAGGGCGATCACTGAGGCTGTTAGACTGGCGCAGGGGGAGGGGGGAAAGGATGGTGGGCTGGGGTGGAAGGGAGAGAACGGGGAGATAGGGGAGAAAGGAGGGAACCAGGGTAAGGGGATGGTGGGATTGCAACAGGGAGAGGGCAGGCAAGTTGGCAAAGATTGTAACGGGCGGGCAGTCGGAGCGGCAGCAGGTGTGGGGGCAGCAGCAGGAGTAGGAGCAGCAGGCAGGTGGGGGAAGGAGGGGGGGAATAAGGAGAACGAGGAGAGGAATGGAGGAGGGAAGGTGGAAGAGAGTGTGGAGGAGAGGGTGGCGAGGGAGGTGGAAGAGTTGAAGAAGAGCCGAGCAGCAGCTGCCAAATGGGTCAAGTTTGTTGTCCGGGTGAGTGGTAACGAGGGCGAGTGGTAGTGAGGGCGAATAAGTGGCAATAGTTTCCTAGTCCCGGGGAATGCTGCGTAGTAATCCTTGTGGCTCCCATCCCAGCACACGCCATCTGCTCCTCCCTTGCAGACTGCGCTGTCTGTTTCCCATCCTTCCCTGCTCCCACGTTCTCTCCCCCCAACCATCCCTCGTTGTCCCTCGAACTCTTTCTGCCACAGGCCAAGGCGTCAGGCCAAACAGCTGACGACTTCGAAGCACGGGGCAACCATGAAGCAGTAAGCCTCTCTCATCCCCACTCCACACCCGCACTCTCCCACCGCCTGTCCTGTGTGCTCATTCAATTTCTGGACTTCCTATTCTGAGCTGCAGCTCCCTCTCTTCCCTCTCTCGTCCCAGGCGTGCGCCTTGCGTGCATATTCATCCGTGCTGCAGAAGTGAAACGCCGTGGTTACTGATTGCCCCCCTCTGTTCCCCTTCCCGCGCTGCCCTTTTCCTCCCTCTCCTCCCAGGCACGCGTCTTGCATGCATACTCATCCGTGCTGCAGAAGTGCAACGCGGTAGACTAGCATGATATGCGTCCTTCCCCCCTTCACACTGCACCCCTTTCCCATCCCCCCCCCCCCCCCTTAGGCACGCGTTTTGCGTGCCTACTCATCTGTGCTGCAGAAGTGCAATGCGGTGGACTACCACGACTTGTGATCCCTCTTTCCCCTTCACACTGCGCCCCTTTCCCATCCTTCCCCCCCCCCCAGGCACGCGTTTTGCGTGCATACTCATCCGTGCTGCAGAAGTGCAATGCGGTGGACTACCACGACTTGTGATCCCTCTTTCCCCTTCGCATTGCACCCTTCCCCTTCTTCTCCCCCCCCTCCCCCACGCTCCCAGGCACGCGTCTTGCGCGCCTACTCATCCGTGCTGCAGAAGTGCAATGCGGTGGACTATCACGACTTCATCCTCCTCTCCACGATGCTGCTCACGGAGCATAGCGACGGTGCGTGCAATGCTGGAGAGGCAGCAGTGCGGTGACGGTGAGTGCTTGGTTTCGGTGTTGGCGAGGGCTGCATGCAGTGAGTGCATGCAATGCGGTGGACTATCACGACTTCATCCTCCTCTCCACGGCCCTGCTTACAGACCACGGCGACGGTGAGTGATCTGTGCCGGTGTGTAGGCATTATAATAGAGGGAGGGCTATAGACGGAGTGTTAGTGCATGCAATGCGGTGGAATATTACTAGTGCATGCAATGCTGTGGACCCTCACGACTTCATCCTCCTCTCCACGGCCCTGCTTACAGCACATAGCGACAGGCTCGCGCAGCATCCCTTGGGCAGCATGGCTTGGGCAGAATCCCTTGGGCAACATGGCTTGGGCAGCATCCCTTGAGCAGCATGGCTTGGGCAGAATCCCTTGGGCAGCATGGCTTGGGCTGCATGGCTTCGGCAGCATCCCTTGGGCAGCATGGCTTGAGCAGCATGGCTTGGGCAGCATGGCTTGGGCAGCATGGCTTGGGCAGCATGGCTTGGACAGCATGCCTTGGGCAGCATGGCTTGGGCAGCATGCCTTGAGCAGCATGGCTTGGGCAGCATCCCTTGGGCAGCATGGCTTAGGCAGCATGGCTTGGGCAGCATGGCTTCGGCAGCATCCCTTGGGCAGCCTGTCTGGCGTCCAACTAACTTGCCTGGCGTCCAGCTAACCTGCCTGGCGTCCAGCTAACCTGCCTGGTGTCCAGCTAACCTGCCTGGCGTCCAGCTAACCTGCCTGGCGTCCAGCTAACCTGCCTGGCGTCCAGCTAACCTGCCTGGCGTCCAGCTAACCTGCCTGGCGTCAAACTAACCTGCCTGGCGTCCAGCTAACCTGCCTGGCGTCAAACTAACCTGCCTGGCGTCCAGCTAACCTGCCTGGCGTCCAGCTAACCTGCCTGGCTTCGAGCTAACCTGCCTGGCGTCCAGCTAACCTGCCTGGCGTCCAGCTAACCTGCCTGGCTTCGAGCTAACCTGCCTGGCGTCCAGCTTACCTGCCTGGCGTCCAGCTAACCTGCCTGGCGTCCAGCTAACTTGCCTGGCGTCCAGCTAACCTGCCTGGCGTCCAGCTAACCTGCCTGGCGTCCAGCTAACCTGCCTGGCGTCCAGCTAACCTGCCTGGCGTCCAGCTAACCTGCCTGGCGTCCAGCTAACCTGCCTGGCGTCAAACTAACCTGCCTGGCGTCCAGCTAACCTGCCTGGCGTCCAGCTAACCTGCCTGGCTTCGAGCTAACCTGCCTGGCGTCTAGCTAACCTGCCTGGCGTCCAGCTAACCTGCCTGGCGTCCAGCTAACTTGCCTGGCGTCCAGCTAACCTGCCTGGCGTCCAGCTAACCTGCCTGGCGTCCAGCTAACCTACCTGGCGTCCAGCGACCAGTTCGTATCCAGCTGGTAGGCGAGTTTGAAGACACGCCCAGCATCCACTTGGCGTTTATCAAGGCTCTCTCCCAGTGCTTGCCTACGCTCCCTTACCGCAGTGCTGCAGGGATGTGCCTCTGCATAGACGCACGTGCTTGTAGACGAGTTTCAAGGCAATTCAACCCCTTTGCACCACCCCTCGTTACCCCCCTTCTCCCCTCCCTTATTGTAGTGCTAGAGGAGTGCGCCTCTGCATGGACGCACGTGCTTGTGGACGAGTTTCAAGACACGTCCCGCATCCAGTTCCAGTTCATCAGAGCTCTCTGTTACTCCCACGGGCGCATCACCGTTGTGGGGGACGACGACCAGGTGGGTTAAGAGACGAGTTTCAAGACACGTCCTGCATGCAGTTCGCGTTCATCAGAGCTCTCTGTTACTCCCACGGGCGCATCACCGTTGTGGGGGACGACGATCAGGTAAGAATTGCGAGGAACGTCGCTCTCAGTTGTTACTTGTCTGATGCGCCCGTTAATATTGCCAGAATTCTCTTCCGTCAGAATTCTCTTCCGTCAGAATTCTCTTCCGTCACTGTGTTGGTCGCTTCAGTTGCTGCATAAGGCGGTCTCCTTCGCCTGATCTTGTGCCAAGTGTTGGTCGCTTCAATTACGTTCCCTCCCTCACAAAGTGTTCCTCGGTGCGTGTTTGTACCCATTTCCATGCCGGGCAGCGTCTTGTGAGAATAGAGAGTTACTTCGCCCTCAGTTGTCTGACACATGCCGGGCAGCATCGTGCGTGTTTGCACCGATCTCCATGCCGGGCAGCGTCTGTTTCGCCCTGCATCCCTATGTTCCCTCTCAAGCGGTCCTCTCAAGGGTCCTCTCCCTCACAAACATGTTCCCCGTGCGTGCTTGTACGTTTTTGCATGTTGGGCGATTGTGTTCTGCCCTGCATTCCTTCCTGCGCAGTCCATCTTCAGCTTCAACGGCGCCAACGCAGCCTCGTTCGACCTGTTCCGGCAGCAGTTCCCAAATCACAGCGAGGTGTGCATGCACTGTAGGCTCTCGATATGCCTTCAAGTATACCTTGCACTCACGTAGACAAACCATCTTCAGCTTCAACGGCGCTAATGCAGCCTGAGCACAGACCTGTTTCGTCAGCAGTTCCGTGCCCACAGCGAGGTGTGCACTGTGTGCTCTCTATCTCCTCTCTATATGCCTCCAGTTAAGCATAACAGCCAGCCAGCCATGTGCACTTACCATATTTAGCTCTGGTGGCGCCAATGCAACCTCGTTCGACCTGTTCTGACAGCCTTCCCAGGCCACAGGGAGGTATATAGTGTTCGTTTGCATGCACTGTATATGCCTCCAAGGACGCATTGCTCCCCCATCCGTGTGTAATGGGTCGATTTTGAGTCGACTCAGAAAGCCTTCCCAGGCCACAGGGAGGTACGTAGTGTTCGTTTGCATGCAGTGGGGGAGCACTGTACATGCCTCCAAGTACGCATTGCTCCCCCGTCTTCAGTTTTAACAGCGCCAATGCAGCCTCTTTCGACCGGTTCCGCCAGCACTTTCCAGACCACACCGAGGTTTGCACCGTGTGCTCCCTGTATCCTGTATCTGTTCAGGCAAGCATTGGTCACATGCCAGTCCTTCTCTAGCTACAATGTACCTTCCTTTGACACAGCGTGGTCCAACTTTGGTCCTCAATGCACGACGAGGTGTGTGCCACTCCATTTTCAAGGGGTACTTACGTCAGAGTCCGAGCTAGGCTACCACACAAGTATGCCTTCTGGGTTTGCTAGTCTCTTCTTGCCGCATGCCCTCTGCTCAAATCTTCTCTTCTAACATCCCTCTGCACTGCAAGTGGTGCCTTCTGTTTGTGAACAACTGGTCCTAGTGTTTATTGAGAGGTGTCTTCGCTCTCTTATGCCAGGGGCGGTCTGTGCTGCAAATACTGCTCCGCAGGCAGCATTGTGAGGGTGAGACTTGGCTCGAGGCATGAGGCACGGGGCACTGTGCTTTAGGCACTGAGCACTGGGCTCTGGGGTTTGGGCATTGGGTACTGGGCTCTGGGCACTTGGCTCTGGGCACTGGGCTATGGGCACTGGGCTCTGGGCTCTGGGTTCTGGGCACTGGGCACTGGGCTCTGGGCTCTGCGCTCTGACAGGTGCTAGCAGGTGCTGTCAGCTGCTTGCCGGTGCTGGCAGCTGATGGCCGATGCTGGCAGGTGCTGGCCGGTGCTGGCAGGTGCTGGCTGGTGCTGGCTGGTGCTGGCTGGTGCTGGCTGGTGCTGGCAGGTGCTGGCAGATGATAGCAGCTGCTGGCAGGTGCTGGCCGGTGCTGGTAGGTGCTGGTCGGTGCTGGCAGGTGCTGGCAGGTGCTGGAAGGTGCTGGAAGGTGCTGGCAGGTGCTGGCAGCTGCCAGAAGCACTGGGCTCTGGGCTCTAGGGACTGGGCTCTGGGCGGTGGGCTCTGGGCACTGGGCTCTGGGCACTGGGCTCTGGTCACTGGGCTTGGGGCACTGGGCACTGGGCTCTGGGCTCTGGGCTCTGGGCTCTGGGCACTGGGCTCCTGACTCGAGTCTTATCCTGCCATTCCCTTCCCTCCTGTTCTCCTTGTCTCTCAAACCCACCACTGCCTTCAGGTGCGTCTGTGATGCAACTACCGCTCCCACAGGCACCATTGTGAGGGCCTCTGCCGTTATCTTCGTTAGAGAATGTTGGACTGACCTTAAGTGCCATGTCCCCCCCTCCCCTGTCATCCAGGTGTGTCTGTGCCGCAATTACCTCTTGCTGTGACCATTGCCTCTTTCCCCCTCCCCGGCCCCCTCTTCTGCCTCCCAGGTCCGTCTGTGCCGCAACTACCGCTCCACAGGCACCATAGTGAGTGCCTCTGCCGTTATCCTCGTTAGAGGCTCTTGAACTGACCTTAAGTGCTTCCTCCTCCCTCCCCGTCCCCCCCTTCTGCCTTCCAGGTGCGTCTGTGCCGCAACTACCGCTCCACAAGCACTATTGTGCGGGCCTCTGCCGCTGTGATAGGCCAGAACCTTCCGGGAAGAAGGGCAGCGAAGGAGCTGTGCACTGACAATGGCAGCGGGGAGAAGATCAGGTGCAGAAAGGGGTGGGGAAGGGGTGGGGAAGGGGTGGGGAAGGGGTGGGGAAGGGGTGGGTGGGAGTGATGTTGCAAAAGAGGTGACCCTTTGTCCTCTCTAGTATGAGGGCGGCTAAGGAGCTGTGCACTGACAATGGTAGTGGGGAGAAGATCAGGTGCGGAAAGGGGTGAACATTGTGAGTGTTGTGCATGGTGTTTGGTATATGGTGTATGGATTTTGATGTATGGTGTTTAGTGTTCGGTGTATGGGGTGTATGGCGTACGCCATATGGTATATGGTGGGGGTTAGTATACTTAGGTTTCCTTGGCTTGCTTGGTTTGCTTGGTACGCTTGGTAATTTTGGTGTGATCAGTCTTCTTGGTTGGTATGCTCGGTACGCTTGGTATCCTGGGTATGCTTGGTATGCTCGGTATGCTTGCTTGGTATGCTTGGTATGCTGAACGGTCCTTGACTATATCAGGGGCATACATTTAAGGCAAGGCACCACACCATCCAACACAGGTAATTCTAGGAGGCCGGAACTCCCCTCTAGGGGAGCTCCCCCTCAGGTTCCAGGGTATGCATTAAGGTGCCGAGGTCCATGGGCTCCGATGAGCCCCCCTCAGGCCACGCCTCGGCGGCAAGAGCCAAGTTGCTCTTGGTGTTGAGGGCAACGGCCTGCCCGTGCTGCAGGGTGACGGCCCACCGCTGCCGGTAGGTATGGAAGATCTTTGCCGTCTCTCGGGATGAGGGGCGGCATTGTGGTGACGCTTGGCGGAGAGCTCGGCGCATAGGTGGAGGAAGACCAGGACCCCGGGTGCGTTGCAGCCGTAGGAATCGACGGCCAAGGGGAAGAAGCCGACCCACTCCGGTCTCGCCGGAGGGGCATACTTCGCCTCCTTCTCGCGGGCTTTGAGGGCAGCGGCATACCCGGTCCCCCGCCAAGTTTGCTTGTCGATGGCTTGGACGGGGTCGGTGACCACGACGTCGCACAACCACACCGCCCCCGTGGAGGGGTGGCGGATGGCGACGTCGGCCTTGAGGCCCGAGACTTGAGTGAAGACGGTGGTCTCGGTCCGGGTGATGAACCCGGCCTCCTTGGCGATGCTGGCCGCTTCGTCACGGAGGCCGTGGTGGGTAGCGATGCGGCCTGGGACGTTCTCACAGCGGAGAAGGTGGTTGGGCAGCCGGGGGTCGTCAATGGTGACTTGCTTGGGGCAGTCGCACACCCCGGGGACCGTGTGCGGCAGGCCGAGGCGGAAGGCGACGGCGAAGGCGAAGTGAGGCAGGGCGAGGCGGAGGGCGGGTGTGAACGGGATGGCGAGGAGCCAGTCCCCCGCGCCGGGCCCAAGGAGGGAGAGTAGCCGCTGTGTGTGCCCCATGCGGGGGTTATGATGAAGGCGGCGGCTCTCTTCCAGGAGGGCGGTGAAGCGGGAGGCATGGACCTCAAGCGCCAGGGCCCGCTGCACCTTGGGCAGATCCGGCAATCCCCGAGCCTCACGGAGGGTGGCGGCAGCGGCGGCCGGCAACTGCTCCTCCAGAGAGGCGAGGAGGCGCGGCAGCGGAGCAGTGGCGTCGGCGGCGGGCTCGAAGAGGGGGAGGAGCTTGGTATGCTTGGTATGCTTGCTTGGTACGATTGGCTGGCATATGACGGATTGTGTTTTGTGTGTGGCCTATGTTGTTTGGTGTGTGGCCTATGTTGTTTGGTGTATGGCGCATGGTGCTTGGGCCCTTAGTGTTTTTGACACGCCCGGCCCATTTCTCAGTGCCTTCGCATTCCCACATCCCATCCACATCCCTCATGCACCAAGTTCAGGCCAGAAACTCGTTTTCGACTCTCCAGTACCTCAAGGTCATATACTGACCTTAAGTGCACCGATTCTGATACATGCATGCCCTACTTCTCGCAACCTGCCGTCTCTCCATCTGTGTCCGTGCGTGCAGGGTCGTGGAGGTGCACAACGAAGCCTCTCAGTGTGCCTTCGTGGCCGACACTATCATGTCTCTCATGCACCAAGTGCACGCTCACAGCAGCCTTGCCTCACTCTCCTCCCTTTCGCCTCCCACTCCTGTGCTGCTGCTCTACCTCCAGGGTCGTGGAGGTGCGGAACGAAGCCTCTCAGTGTGCCTTCGTGGCTGACACAATCATGTCCCTCATGCACCAAGTGCACGCTCACAGCAGCACGGACATTATCAATCGTGGGACCACTGCAGCGATCAGCTGTGCATCAGGCAGCAGTGCAGCAAACAGCAGTGCAGCAGCCCCTCTGGCGTGGAGTGACGTGGCAGTGCTGTATCGACGGCAGGTGACAGGCCGGGCGTTTCAAGCTGCAATGCGAGAGAGAAAAATCCCCTTCAACGTGCATGGAGTGGCTTTCTACCGCAAGAAGGTGGGCCACAGTCTCATCCCCTGTCCAGGTGTATTGTGAGTCGACTCAAGACACAAACAGGGATCACAATTCTCGAATAATTCAGGCACAGGCCGGGGATTTCATGGAGTGGGCTTTTATGGATTTTTCTTTTATGGAGTGAGCTTTTATGGAGTGGGCTTTTATGGAGTCGGCCTTTATGGAGTGGGCTTTCTAACTGCAGCTGGTTTTTTATTTCTCAAAAAACTTTCTAAAGAGGTTTGTTTAGGCTGTGAGTCAAAGTGCTAGCCTCTCCAAGTTGATGGGAGCGCTCTAGTGAGACAGGCATGCCCTAGTGAGGCAAGCGCGCTCTAGTGAGATAGGCGTGCCCGCCCTAGTGAGACAGGCGTGCCCTAAGTGAGACGGGCGAAGGGGGCGCCCTAGTGGGACGGTAGTGAGACGGGCATGCCCTAGTGAGACGGACGGGCGCGCCCTAGTGAGACAGACTTGCGCGCCCTAATGAGACGGGCGCGCCCAAGTAAGACAGACTTGCGCGCCCAATTGAGACAGACTTGCGCGCCCTAGTAAGACAGACTTGCATGCCCTAGTGAGACGGATGAGCGTGCCCTAGTGAGACGGGCGCGCCCTAGTGAGACAGACGGATGTGCTCTAGTGAGACGGGCGAGCCCTTGTGAGAGGGGCGCGGCCTAGGGAGACGAGTGTGCCCTAGTGAGACGGTAGTGAGACGGGCGTGCCCTAGTGAGACGGATGGGCGCGCTCTAGTGAGACAGACTTGCGCGCCCTAGTGAGACGGGCGCGCCCAAGTGAGGCAGACTTGCGCGCCCAAGTGAGATAGACTTGCGCGCCCTAGTGAGACGGACGAGCGTGCCCTAGTGAGATGGGCGCGCCCTAGTGAGACGGGCACGCCCTAGTGAGACGGGTGTGCTCTAGTGAGACAGGCGTGCCCTAGTGCGACAAATGATGCGCTCTAGTGAGACGGGCGTGCCCTAGTGAGAGGGGCGCGCCCTAGTGAGACGAGTGTGCCTAGTGAGACGGGCGCGCCCTAGTGAAACGGGCGTGCCTTAGTGAGACGGGCGCGCCCTAGTGAGACAGAGACCCTTGTGAGACGGACGTGCCCTAGTGAGACGAACGTGCCCTAGTGAGACGGGCGACGGGGGCGCCCTAGTGAGACGGTAGTGAGACGGACGGGCGCACCCTAGAGAGACGAGCGTGCCCTACTGGGACGAGCGTGCCCTCATGAGACGGGCGTGCTCTAGTGAGACGGGCGTGCCCTAGTGAGACGTGCGCGCCCTTGTGAGACGGGCGTGCCCTAGTGGGACGAGCGTGCCCTCGTGAGACGGACGGGCACACACTAGTGAGACGGTAGTGAAACAGGCGCGCTCTAGTGAGACGCGCATGCCCTAGTGAGACAGTCAGGCGTGCCCTAGTGAGACGGTAGTGAGACGGGTGCGCTCTAGTGAGATGGGCGCGCCCTAATGAGACGGCAATGAGACGGCGCGCTCTAGTGAGACAGACGGGCGAGCCCTAGTGAGACGGGTGCGCTCTAATGAGACAGGTGCACCCTAGCGAGACGGACGGGCGTGCCCCAGTGAGACAAGCGTGTCCTAGTGAGACGCACGTGTCCTAGTGAGACGGGCGTGTCCTAGTGAGACGGGCGTGTCCTAGTGAGACGGGCGTATCCTAGTGAGACGGGCGTATCCTAGTGAGACGGGCGTGCCCTGGTGAGATGGGCGTGCCCTAGTTAGAATGCCCGTACCTCCACTGCTCTTACCTCCAGTGCCCTTACCCCCACCAGCCTTACCCCCACTGCCCTTACCTCCATTGCCCTTACCTCCACTGCCCGTATCTCCACTACCCATACCTCCACTGCCCTTAACTCCACTGCCCTTACCTCCACTGCCCTTACCTCCACTGCCCATACCACCACTGCCCGTACGCCCACTGCCTGTACCCCCACTGCCCTTACCTCCACTGACCGTACCTCCATTGCCCGTAACCCCACTACCCTTACCTCCACAGCCCTTACCTCCTCTGCCCGTACCACCACTGTCTGTAACTCCACTGCCCGTATCTCCATTGCCCTTACCTCCATTGACAGTACCCCACTGCCCGTACCTCCATCTTCCAGCTTCCATCTTCCATCTTCTATCTCCTTCCATCTCCTTCCATCTTCCGTCTTCTATCTTCCATCTTCCATCTTTCTTCTTCAATCTTCTTCCATCTTTCGTCTTTCGACTTCCATCTTCTTCCGTCTTCCATCTTCCATCTTCTTCCATCTTCCATCTTCCGTCTTCCGTCTTCCATCGTCCATCTTCCATTTTCCATATTCCGCCTTCCATCTTCCATCTTGCATCTTCCATCTTCCAGCTTTCATTTTCCATCTTCTTCCGTCTTCCGTTTTCCGCCTTCCGTCTTCCGTCTTTCATCTTCTTCCGTCTTCCGTCTTCCGTCTTTCGTCTTCCGTCTTCCATCTTCCATCTTGCATCTTCGTCCATCTTCTTCCATCTTCTTCCATCTTCCGTCTTCCATCTTCTTCCGCCTTCCGTCTTGCGTCTTCCGTCTTCCATCCTCCGTTTTCCATCTTCCATCTTTCATCTTTCATCTTCCATCTTCCATCTTCTTCCATCGTCCGTCTTTCGTCTTCCATCTTCCATCTTGCATCTTCTTCGATCTTCTTCCATCTTCTTTGTCGTTGAGTATCTTTTTTGGGCTTATATTTGGGATGTAGTTAACTTAGTGCATTTTACTGTTATGAGTAATGTGTCCCATTGTATTAGGTGTAGACATTAGGGGTTGGGTTATATTAGGAATGGGGTGCCCCCAAGTGATTTTATCAAAGGCTAGGCACCCCAAAATCCGAATTGGGGTACCTCACCACGCATCCCAACATTTGGGACGCGGCTCCAACCTGGACCCACGTTTCTCAACCATGAAAACGCGGCTCCAGCTTGTGGAACCACAAATCCAACTTATGGAATCGCGGTTCCACTAGTGGGGGCGCTTCCAGGCTCACTTTGAGGGTTCCTCACGTCCCCACCTTGACTGTGGGCGACTTGAGCACCCATTTGGGCACCCCAAGTCTCTTGGGTGCCATTCTTCTCACTTGGACCAGCCCAAGTCGCCCAACACGTCTCCATCTCTCTCTTCTTCACAATCTATGCCTACTTAGCCCAATGTCTTTGTCATGTCTATTCACAACTTTGTCTTACACTTTCTAGGGCTCCTCTTGGAACCTATCTTTGCCATCTCCAACTTGTGCATCTTACAGCTATGCACATTGAGTCTACTTTTCTACATTTTTCCATCTTCTTCCGTCTTCCGTCTTCCATCTTCCCTCTTCCCTCTTCCCTCTTCCCTCTTCCCTCTTCCCTCTTCCCTCTTCCGTCTGTCGCCTTCTGTCTTCCGTCATCCGTCTTCCTTCAGCTTCCGTCTTCCATCTTCCATCTTCTTGCATCTTCCACCTTCCCTCTTCCATCTTCCATCTTCTTCCGTCTTTCATCTTCCATTGATTCAATGAGCAAGAGCATACATCCTTAAGTACCGAGCATCGGAGAGGATGGGAAGGGATAATGGAGAATCGGAAGGAATCCCAAGGGAATCCTCCCAAATCGTGGGGATTTGGTATGGATTGGGTTGGGATAGGTTGGGGATGAAAACATAGCTACACCCAACCTAACAAATATGCGTATTCCTAAAACCAACAAATTGCCAACACACAAAGTTGAGCCAACCGAATTGCAGCATATGTCTAACACCATCTTCCATCTTCCATCCTCCATCCTCTTCCATCTTCCATCTTTCATCATCTTCCATCTTCGATCTTCTTTCTTCCGTCTTCTGTCTTCCACCTTCCATTTTCCATTTTCCATCGTCCATCTTCCATCTTCCGTCTTCTAGCTTCCATCTTCCACCTTCCTCCGTCTTCCGTCTTCCGCCTTCCATCTTCTTCCGTCTTCCATGTTCCATCTTGCATATTCTTGCATATTCTTGCATATTCTTCCATCTTCTTCCGCCTTCCGTCTTCCATCTTCCGTCTTCCGTCTGTCGTCTTCCATCTTCTGTCTTCCGTCTTCCATCTTCCGTCTTCCATCTTCCGTCTTCCATGTTCCAGCTTCCATCTTCCAGCTTCCATCTTCTTCCGTCTTCCGCAAGGTGAAAAAAAAGCTGTGTTTTTTTTCAAAATTTGACCGAATGGTACGGTACCGAAGTTTTCGGCCGTATAATACGATAAAAAACGGCCAGAAGTGCCATTTCGAGGGTGGTGCAAAAAAGCGGTCGTTTTTTTGGCCGATTAAAAAACAAAAAGAAAACGGGGTGAAATGTACCGCCGGAAATCGCAGATCTGGCATTTTGACCACCGAAATGCGTGGATCTCGCGTTTTGACGGCCGAAATGCGCTGATCCGGCATTTCGCCAGCCAAAATGCGCGGATCTCGCGTTTCGATGGGCGGCATGCGCGGATCTGGTATTTCGCTCGCCGAAATGCGTGGATCTCGCAATTCGCCCGCCAAAATGTGCGGATCTGTTATGCGCGTGGATCTGCAAAAAAAAAAAGAAGCTTTCAAACAAAAAAACGGCGTTTTTTTTTCATAATTTGGCCGAAAAATATGGCCGTACTAAACGGCGCGTATAATACTATCACCGTATTTTTGCACCTTGATCTTCTGTCTTCCGTCTTCCGTCTTCCATCTTCCATCTTGCATCTTCTTCTATCTTCTTCCATCTTCTTCCATCCTCTTCCGTCTTCCGTCTTCCATCTTCCATCTTCTTGCATCTTCCACCTTCCCTCTTCCATCTTCCATCTTCTTCCGTCTTTCATCTTCCGTCTTCCATGTTCCATCTTCCATTCTCCATCCTCTTCCATCTTCCATCGTTCATCATCTTCCATCTTCGATCTTCTTTCTTCCATCTTCGATCTTCTGTCTTCCGTCTTCCGTCTTCCGTCTTCCATCTTCCATCTTCCAGCTTCCATCTTCCATCTTCCACCTTCTTCCGTCTTCCGTCTTCCGTCTGTCGTCTTCCATCTTCTACCTTCTTCCGTCTTCCATCTTCCATCTTCCGTCTTTCGTCTTCCATCTTCCGTTTTTCATCTTCCATCTTCCGTCGTCCATCTTCCATCTTCCAGCTTCCGTCTTCCGGCTTCTGGCTTCCGTCTTCTGTCTTCCATCTTCCATCTTGCATCTTGCATCTTCTTCCATCTTCTTCCATCATCTTCCGCCTTCCGTCTTCTGTGCAACAAGCATGAGTCCCTATCCGTCCAGCCTCAATACCAAATGTGCTTCCCCCACTCCTCCCTCCCTCCCAGGCCCTTCGCAACGTGCTGGCTCTGCTGCGTCTCTCCCTCCCAGCACTTGTGGACAACACCGCCGCCCGGCGGGTCTGGAAGCTACTGTTCAGCCGAGAGAAGGACGAAGGGAAGAAGGTGGGAAGCTTTAGCAGAAGTGGGAAGGGAAGGGTGGGAGGGAGCGAAGTGGGCCCAGGGACCAAGGATATGGAAATGCTTGTGACCTCTCGCGTTGTATTTGTTTACTCTTTCTTTCTCTCTCATCCCGACTTATTCCCTCTGTTCTCGCCCCCCCCCTATCATTCCCTTTTGCGACCTCCCATTCTCACCCCCCATCATTCCCAAATATTGCCTCAACAGGCAGCAGATCACGTGGAGCAGAGGGCCAGGGACCGTGGCTGCAGCTTCCTGGAAGCTGCAGAGAGCATTTTTTCGGGAAAGGTCTCAGGAAGGTTCACCAGGTGAGAAGGAGGATTTGATTTTCCGACGTGGTTAACAGAGAGAGAAACAGAGGCGCTGCTTCGAGATAAGAAACAGGAAGGAGGAATGCTGTGAGGAAAAAAAGGAAGTCAAGGTTTGTTGTATTGTATGAGTGATGTGCGGTCGTTCTGCTGAGTAGTATGGGGACAAACGTGCTTTCCTATGAGATCAGTTGGTTCTCGAGAATTCTCAAACACCACCTGACCTGGGTCATTCCTTGCATCCATGCATTCGCCCTTCCAATGCCCAAAGCTCACATTTCGAACTAGGCCCGCAATCCATGTGTTTGTGCACCCTTCTTCTTTCCCGCCACCTGTATCGATCCGCATGTGCTCTGGTCTCCGTTCCCACCTCAGGAAACAGCTCAAATCCGGCGCCTTAGTTCTCAGCACAATCCGCATCGCTCGTAATCTTCTCAAAACGGTCAGTGGCGATTTCCTGAGGTTTCTTAGTCCCCATGTCTTCCGTCCTCCTCGAGATGCCCAGTGGCACACACACAGGACAGGCACCATTGTGCCTGTTTCCTAGCCCCCCCCCATACGCTTTTTCAGCAACTCCTGCTCGTTCCTTTCACCTCCATCCCCTTTTCTCTCTGCCCTCTCTGCTCTCCGCTCCGCTACTTTCCTGTTAAGGTTCTTTCCTGTCGACTCTCCCCCCTCCTCTCGTCCCAGCGTCGCCTACCCATCAGGAGGAGATGCTTTATTCATTCCCCCACATTCCTTGTCGAATTATCATCACACTCATTCTCTATCCCTTGTCCTCATTACATGCTTCTCCTCCCCCACACGTATTATCATTTATCCATGCATCCACCCACCAGGAGGTCTCCCTCACGTCCTTTGTTGATTCCGTCATCAAACTCATTCCTGAGGTGAGTACCGCATGCCAAGACTCCACAGTTGACATGCCAGTTCTGCATTGTTCCAGTCTACAGAAATCTGCCAAAAGAGACTTATAGCTAATCAATCCTCTTGTTGTTTCCATTTAATGCACTCTGCAAACGCTCTGTGCTTGCTGCACACCCCCACTCTAGTTAGTCCCTCAACAGATGCTTTGTGTTTTGTGCACTCACATCCTCTTCTTCATCTCCCGCTGTGTGTTAGCACGTGTGGCATGTGTGGCGCTTGTGGCGCGTGTAACACGTGTGGCGCGTGTAGCAAGTGTGGCACGTGTGGTGCGTGTGGCACGTGTGGCACGTGTGGCGCGTGTGGCGCGTGTGGCGCGTGTGGCACGTGTGGCGTGTGTGGCGTGTGTGGCGTGTGTGGCATGTGTGGCGCATGTGGCGCGTGTGGCGCGTGTGGCGCGTGTGGCATGTGTGGCACGTGTGGCGCGTGTGGCGCGTGTGGCGCGTGTGGCACGTGTGGCATGTGTGGCACGTGTGGCGCATGTGGCGCGTGTGTATCGTTTGCCATCTTGCCATCTTGCCATCAGAGGGCTGCCTTCAGTTCTCGGGCAACAGTGAGCGAAACTTCGGGGAAACTTCTCAACGAGGACGATGATATGCGGACGGTGGGTTATTATCCTTAAGGAATACGCTCAAACAAATGGGCATTAGGGTCAAGGTTCAGGGTTTAGGGCGGGTTTACCCGAACCTTGGCTTGTCAATACCTTCTGTGCAACATCGACACCTTCCTATCCCACCACTCACCCCACTCCTCCCTAGATCTTCCCCTTGTACTTTCTTTACCCATTCTCTTCCCTTCTCTTCCTCTCGTTCCCCTCACATACTCGTTGTCCCTCCAGGGCCGCTAGTTCCTTTTAGACGACATCAGCGCCTTCCTGTCCCACCACTCACACCCCGCTCCTCCTTTGAGGATCCCCTCTCATTTTTCAACCAATCTTACCCTCCTCTCTTTTCCCCCTCTTCTCCCCGTGCTCTCCCCTCTTCCCTCTGGGCCCGCGAATTCCGTCTCAACGACATCAGCAGCTTCCTCTCCCATCCCTCTTTTATTTCCCCCCGATTCCATATAGTAACTCCCCCCCCTTGGTTCTTCCCCTTGCTCCCATGCTCCCCTCCCCTCCAGGCCCGCGAATTCCTCCTGGACGACATCAGCACCTTCCTCTCCCACCAGTCGACCAGACCACCACCTGAAGACATCACCTGTGCACCCGATGCCGACACAACTGGCTGGATTCCCTCCTCCTCCTCCTCCTCCTGCGCTGCTCTGCTGCGGGCCTTTCTGGACTATGTGGCGGCCAGGGAGGCGCAGAACAACGCTGTCAGGCGGAGGGAGAATGAAGACTCGGTGACTCTCACCACCATGCACCAGGTGGGCTCAGTTCAGCTCAATATAACGCCTTGCAGCGGAGATTTCAACAGAGAGCCGTGCGTCACCATGCACCATCAGGGAGAAGGAGGACCACTTCCTGTATTTAGTTCTGAGGCGCCTCAAAACCCAATTCCTGTATTTAGTTTTGAGGCGCCTCAAAACCCAATTCCTGTATTTATTCCTATCTAAAACAAGGACCAATTGAGAACGAGGACTCCATGTCCCTCGCCACCATGCACCAGGTGAGCTCAGGTCAATATAATGCAGCGGCAATTAAAAGGCAGAGAGCCATGCCCCAGGTGACTATGTGTCTGCCAGAGAGGCGCAGAGCAACGCTGTGAGGCGGAGGGAGAATGAGGACTCAATCACCCTCACCACCATGCACCAACTGGTCCTGGTCCGCTGGTGCGCTGATGCGCTGGTGCGCTGGTGCACTGGTGCACGAACCTTCGTCCAAGGGTCGTCAATGGCACACTGTGTTTGTAGTGAGCGCCAACGAGAGGGAGACGCCTTGAGCTCCCCTGTGTTTCTCACCCAATCCCACCTTCCCCTCTCCCCAGACTCCCCCACCCCCCCCCCTCCTCGGTCCAACGGCCTGGAATGGCACATGGTTTTCATTGTGAGCGCTAATGAGGGGGGGACGCCTCATGCACTACCCAATACCTGGATCCTCATTTCCCCGTCGACCCGTCCTCACCTCACGCCCCTTCCCCCCAGTCCAAGGGCCGGGAGTGGCACACGGTCTTCGTAGTGAGCGCGAACGAGGGGAAGACGCCTTGAGTTCCACTGTGTTCCTCACCTAATTTCCCATTCCCAACACCCCCCCCCCCTCTTCCCTGCCTCTTCCCCCCCTCCCCCCCAGTCCAAGGGCCGGGAGTGGCACACGGTCTTCGTAGTGAGCGCCAATGAGGGGGAGACACCTCTGCAGAACAGATTCGAGGAGGAGAGGGGGAGTGTGGAGAGGGGAGGGGGAGGAGGGGGGGCGAAGGGGGGTGAGGAGGGGTCAGAGGAAGAGCCCCTGTCGTTGGAGGTGAGGGGACGTTTGGGCGCTTTCTCCAATGGTCTTGGCTGGCTGCTGTCTCTCCCTGCCGGTGGCTGTTGGTGGCTGTTGGTGGCTGTTGGTGGCTGTCGGTTGTTGCTTGTGGCTGTTGTTGTATCATCATTAACCGTTATCTTTATCATCCCTTCCGGTGGGCCCCCTGCTGTGTTTGTCTCCCGCCTCTCTCCCCCTGTCTCTCCCCCTGTCTCTCCTCCTGTCTCTCCCCCTGTCTCTCCCCCTGTCTCTCCTCCTGTCTCTCCTGTCTCTCCCCCTGTCTCTCCTCCTGTCTCTCCTCCTGTCTCTCCTCCTGTCTCTCCTCCTGTCTCTCCTCCTGTCTCTCCTCCTGTCTCTCCCCCTGTCTCTCCCCCTGTCTCTCCCCCTGTCGCTCCTCCTGTCTCTCCCCCTGTCTCTCCTCCTGTCTCTCCCCCTGTCTCTCCCCCTGTCTCTCCTCCTGTCTCTCCTCCTGTCTCTCCTCCTGTCTCTCCCCCTGTCTCTCCCCCTGTCTCTCCCCCTGTCGCTCCTCCTGTCTCTCCTCCTGTCTCTCCTCCTGTCTCTCCCCCTGTCGCTCCTCCTGTCTCTCCTCCTGTCTCTCCTCCTGTCTCTCCTCCTATCTCTCCTGTTTCACCCGCTATTCCTCCCCCCCCGGTCTCACCCCTCCCCTATCCCCCCATCAAACGCCAGGAAGAGCGACGGCTGTTCTATGTGGCAATGACACGTGCTCGCCACCGATTGGTCATTGTGTCGCTCAGACAGACACCTGAGAAGCAGGTGAGGCACACCTGAAGATGCACCTGAAGGGCGAGAGAGAGCATGAACAGTGGGAAATTTTATCGTGGATGCGCTTTAAGATCCTTCCCTGTCATAATCCATCAGGGGAATCCCGATAGTACATTCTGAAAGCATAAGCCCTGCCATTCTTCTACAGCCGTGGCGCCCTTAGACAGCGCCCCCCCAGTACCTCACTTTGAACCTCGATCCCTTCCTCCCCCCTTACGCCTCCTCTGCCTTCTCCCCTCCTCGGCCCTCCTCGGCCCTCCTCGCCCCTCCTAACCCCTCCTCACCCCTCCTCACCACCCCTCCTCTCCCCTTCCCCCCGCACCCTCCCGCATCAGGTCCTCCAGCCCTCTCGAATGATTCGGGAAATCCCCTCTGATCTGCTGCTATTGCAAGGCCACGCCACCGCCACAGCCCTTGATACTGCTCCATGCCACACCCCTGCTCACACTCCTTCTCCTTCACCCTCTTATGCTCATCTTCCCCCCATCAGGTTCTCCAGCCGTCTCGTCTCATCTGGGAGATTCCCTCTGATCTGCTGCTCTGGCGTGGCCAGGCTGCCATCACAGCCCTTGACAGTGCGCCATGCCACGCCCTGCTCACACTCCTTCTCCTTCACCCACTTGACCCCAATCAGATTCTCCAACCCTCTCGTTTCATCTGGGAGATTCCCTCTGATCTGCTGCTCTGGCAAGGCCACGCCGCCATCACAGCCCCTGCTGTCATACCCCGTGACCCTGCCCATGGTTACCCCCCTGACGCTGCTGCGGATGGAGACAAGGAGGGGCATCGGAAGGGGGTCAGGGCTCTGTGTTCTGGAGGTGCTGCTGGAGTGAACGAGGGCGTTATGGCATGTGATGATCTAGCAGGGTGCAGGGGAGGAGGAGAAGGAGGGACAGGGGAGCGAGTGAAGGGTGAGGAGAGGGAGGAGGAGGAAGAAGAGGTGAAGGGCGTTGGTGGGGAGGAGGAGTTGGTGGGGGGAGGAGAGCTGCCTACTGGCGATTTCCTCAAAAGGTAGGACGAGCATGCTACAGGGGAGAGTGGTTATTTGTGTGCGTGCGTGAGTGTGCGACGTGGCGGAGGAGCAGACCGCCATTTTGTCATTTGCTCATTTTCTCATTTGCTCATTTTCTCATTTGCTCATTTTCTCATTTGCTCATTTGCTCATTTTCTCATTTGCTCATTTTCTCATTTGCTCATTTTCTCATTTGCTCATTTTCTCATTTTCTCATTTGCTCATTTGCTCATTTTCTCAGTAAGATAACATGTGTGCGTTCATGCCTTGACGCCTTGATTCTCAACACCCCAAACTTTATCTTCCCTTCCCTAAACCCGAAACCCTAAACCCCACTGACCACCGTGCCAAGCATACCATCGACCTTTCACTCCTGGGCCCAACACCCAGCCTTCCAGAAACACCTCCCTCAGTATTTCTGTTCTCCTTCACTCTCCTCACCCCACCCGATCCCCCCACCAGCTTTCCCGTTGACCACCAGGCTAGCATAGCATCGACCTTACACTCCTGGGCCCAACACACAGCCTTCCTACAACACCTCCCTCTCTATTTCTGTTCTCCTTCACTCTCTTCACCCCACCCGATCTTCCCACCAGCTTTCCCGTTGACCACCGTGCTAGCATTGCTTCAATCTTCCACTCCTGGGCGCGACGCCCAGCCTTCCAGCAGTCAACTCGCCTCCTGGCAAAGGTATCCAGCCTTTACAAGCTGCACAGTTTACTCTGCTTGGCGTAAAAGGAGAAATAAAATCCGCACTCTTGGTTTGGGCCAGGTAGTGAGTGCTTCAAGCCATTCTCCCCCTTCAAACCATTCTCCCCCTTCAAGCCATTCTCCCCCTGCAAGCCATTCTCCCCCTTCAAGCCATTCTCCCCCTTCAAGCCATTCTCCCCCTTCAAGCCATTCTCCCCCTTCAAGCCATTCTCCCCCTTCAAACCATTCTCCCCCTTCAAGCCATTCTCCCCCTTCAAGCCATTCTCCCCCTTCAAGCCATTCTCCCCCTTCAAACCATTCTCCCCCTTCAAACCATTCTCCCCCTTCAAACAATTCTCCCCCTTCAAACCATTCTCTCCCTTCAAACCATTCTCCCCCTTCAAACCATTCTCCCCCTTCAAACCATTCTCCCCCTTCAAACCATTCTTCCCCTTCAAACCATTCTCCCCCTTCAAACCATTCTCCCCCTTCAAACCATTCTCCCCCTTCAAACCATTCTCCCCCTTCAAACCATTCTTCCCCTTCAAACCATTCTCCCCCCTTCAAACCATTCTCCCCCTTCAAACCAGGCCCCGGATGTGGTGGATAGCAGGCAGTGCAGTGGAGCTTTGAGTCAAGCTTTCTCTCCCCAACCCACTTGCTCCGTCCGTCGCTCCCTTCTTCCGTCCTTGGCTGCTGTGCTCCTGACTGCAACCAGGTGCGGGCTGTGGTGGATAGCAGGCAGAGCAGTGGAGCAGCACGATCAGTTGGTAACAAGGAGGCTCTGAGGCTACTGCGACCGCTCCTGGCCTCCCCACAAGCAGCTTCGTTTGCAGCACACGTGAGTGTCTTCTGAGGCCTATATTTATGTAATTCCACTATATGCGTGGCATGCGTGTGGAACATCACCCCAGTCTCACATATGCTTTCACGGCCTCTTTCAGCTCGCCTATTGGTTTCCTTTCTCTCCAGATCAATGCATAAGGCCAATCGATGAGCCTTAGTCGCACAATTGCCATGCATGTTGCACAATAACCGTGCATGTTGCACAATCACCATGCATGTTGCACAATCACCATGCATGTTGCACAATCACCGCGCACGTTGCACAATCACCGTGCACGTCGCACAATCACCGTGCACGTCGCACAATCACCGTGCACGTCACACAATCACCGTGCACGTCGCACAATTACCGTACATGTTGCACAATCACCGTACATGTTGCACAATCACCGTGCATGTTGCACAATCACCGTGGACGTTGCACAATCACAGTGCACGTTGCACAATCACCGTGCATGTTCTACAATCACAGTGCATGTGGCACAATCACCGTGCAAGTCGGACCATCACCGTGCACGTCGCACAATCACTGTGGACGGGCACAATCACCGTGCACGTAGCACAATCACCGTGCGCGTCGCACAATCACCGTGCATGTGGCGCAATCACCATGCATGTGGCGCAATCACCGTGCATGTGGCGCAATCACCGTGCATGTTGCACAATCACCGTTCGCGTCGCACAATCACCATGCACGTTACACAATCGCTATGCACGTTGCACAATCATTGTGCACATCGCACAATTAACCGTGCACATCGCACAATTAACCGTGCACGTCGCACAATCGCTGTGCATGTGGCACAATCACCGTACACGTTGCACAATCAGCGTGCACGTCGCACAATCACCGTGCACGTTGCACAATCACCGTTCGCGTTGCACAATCACCGTGCATGTTGCACAATCACCATGCATGTTGCACAATCACCGTGCATGTTGCACAATCAGCATGCTTGTTGCACAATCACCATGCATGTTGCACAATGACCATGCATCTTGCACAATCACTATGCATGTCGCACTTCCACACATGTTGCCCCTCACGTTTTCACCTTTCTTTACCAGGTGATAGCATGGGAGCAGCTGCCATTTGAGCAGAGAGCACTGCACCGTGTAGAGCGACAGGTGGGCTGGTGTTCTTCATCTGCTATGATTAGCCATGTACTCTGAGGATTGACATGCATAGGAGTGTTTGGGTATTCTTACGTTTGCAGCTAATAAGTTTTTTAAATTGCTGCTGATCCTGCAGGAGATGTTTCAGCAGCAAAATTCCGAGAAGGCTATGTCTAAATCAATGGCAACACCAAAGCAAGTATGCAAGGTTCGCCTTATACACTATTCTATAAACAGGTGCTTTCATTTAATGTGTACGAGGTTGCTGCATCTTGTATTTGTTAACATGTGCAGTTGTCATTCCTGAAGCAGCTTGGATGTACCGTCCAACCTTCTTCCCGACTACATGCCTCAAAACTGATTGAGCAGTACAAGAGTTTATGAACCTATTTTCGTGTTAAGTACGTTCACAATGGCTAAGCAGAGTCGCACCGTTTGCTAGTTGGATAACCTGCCTATGACGGGTAGGGCTGGGACCTTGCAGATTTTACTTTCCTCGTCCGAATGTGAGCGGGAAATTTGTTCATTGATTGGTCGAAATTCTTACACAATTCACGACGACACGTTTTGCCGAAGAGATCTTCTGGTTACCTCATTGTTGGAATGCGAGTGGCTGAGGAACAGACCGCCACGTTTGCGGCTGGAGCTCTCGCTTCCTGTGCCACGTGGATATGGTTCAATCTCTCGTGGATGATTTGCGGTGAACGCGCGGACGACATCCACCATCAAGACTCTACCTGCCTCATCCACCACAGACGAATCCGCGGCTGGAGAGACAAACCTTCCATCTAGTCAGGCTGGGACGGCTGGGATCAATCGAAAGCTTCAGCAGATCGCCAGCGTGGCGTTTCAGTTCGCATCCGAACCAGAGAACAGGTGTTGACCAGCGCGCAAACCAGTCTCCGAGGCTGTCCGGGTGGTCAGGCTCCCAGCACCCGAGGCTGTCGAGCAGAGGCAAACCAGCCTGCTCGACCAGGCTGTTCTATCCGAACCAGAGCCCGAATCCTTGTGGTGAGCCTTTCACTCACATTTCCCCCCCCCCTCCCCAACTCACCAACCAGCGGAGACATCAGGGACAGCAGCAGAGCAGCCATATCAGGTTTCTGCTAGTCACTGGGTCTGGCTAACTTGTTCAGTTTTCTGAGACTCACTGAACCTCATCAAATACCCTTATTCCAGGCCATTCTTTGGCTGATTGACCCTTGTTGCCATTCTTGAGGATACTTGTGAACAAGTTCCTCACTGATCACAATGGCCGCCGTCACCTCCATGTCGATCGCCACCCCCGCCGTCGGGCTGTCGGCCCAGCAGGGAGCCGTCAGCAAGAAGGCCAACCAGGTCAGCTTCCTCAGCGGCAGCTCCCTCGTCTCGTCCCTCGAGAGCAAGCCCGTTGTCCGCGTGGCTCAGCCTGCTAAGACCGCCGTTCGCGCCAGCGTCGCGGCTGCTGCTCCCAAGAAGAAGGAGCACCGCAAGAACGAGGAGGGAGTCTCGGTGAACCTGTTCAAGCCCAAGACGCCGTACATTGGCCGCTGCCTGCTCAACACCAAGATTGTTGGCGATGACGCTCCCGGCGAGACCTGGCACATGGTGTTCAGCACCGAGGGTACGTCCGCGTTAGAGAGCGTTCCCGCTAAGAGATATGATACTCGCCAAAAGCCGTTCACGCTGGGATATATATTCATAATCTAGGCCCTCCCATTGCACGCGAAGCTGAACATCTTTACTTTTCGGATGTTCCATGACTCTCTATGGCGTTCCTCTCTGTCCCGCATGGTCCCTTGTGCAGGCAAGATCCCCTACAGAGAAGGTCAATCCATCGGCGTGGTGCCCCCCGGCCTTGACAAGAGGGGTAACCCCGAGAAGCTCCGCCTGTACTCCATCGCCAGCAGTGCCCCTGGTGACTTCGGTGACTACAAGACGGTGCGTCAGCATAACTCCGTCTATGTTTCCTTCTCTGATAGACCCTGGGCCGAGATATTATTTTTTAGCTGTAAGGATGAGACCGCCTCGTATCTAACTTTCTGCATCCTTGTCACTGCGCGAACCATTTTCAGGTGTCTCTGTGCGTGAAGCGCCTCGTGTACGTCAACGACAAGGGCGAGACTGTCAAGGGTGTCTGCTCGAACTTCCTGTGTACGTGAAATATCATCCGCTCTCATCTGTTCATTACACTGTTGAACGTTTGACACATGGGACTACTTCCTGTCAGTAGGGGAATCGGAAGTTTGCAATACTGATGTTGTATTATGCTTCCATTATCTTGGCAGGCGACTTGAAGCCTGGTGAGGAGGTCAAGATCACTGGCCCAGTCGGCAAGGAGATGCTCATGCCCATCGACCAGAACGCCACCATCATTATGGTACGTGTTGTCTCGTTGTCTCTAGTACTACTTGCGCGAATCTTATCCATTCATCATTGTAGATGGGATTCGGCTGTGAGAGCGTACGTAGCTTGGACATCTGTCGGCTTGTTTTCGGTGTGCTTAAATTAACCGCCAGATGGGATAGGACTATCTTAAATCCCTGACGCTGGTCGTCTAATAATCTGTCCCGACGGTCTGTCTGAACCCGTACCTCCGTATATGCAGCTTGGCACTGGCACTGGCATTGCTCCCTTCCGCAGTTTCCTGTGGCGCATGTTCTTCGAGAAGCACGACGACTACAAGGTAGAATCGCTATCATATGAACTACTCCCATGCGTTCCCCCAAATGTATCCGAAGTTTTGAGACGGGGGTTTTAACGGACGCGAACTGGCCACAGCTCCTGACATGACCTTGTTGATGTGCAGTTCAATGGCCTCGCCTGGCTGTTCCTTGGTGTGCCGACCAGCAGCTCGCTTCTCTACCGCGAGGTAACAATCAGTCACAAGTTGATGTTGCCTTCTGCAACTGGGTTGTTCGAAGGCTCATCCACAAAGCGGGCCCCCCTGTGACTCTCGAAACTGATAGAGCTTTCTTTCCTTCTGCAGGAGTTTGAGAAGATGAAGGAGAAGTTCCCCAAGAACTTCCGCCTGGACTTCGCTGTCAGCCGCGAGCAGACCAACGCCAAGGGCGAGAAGATGTACATTCAGACGCGCATGGCTGAGTACGCCAACGAGTTGTGGGGCCTGTTCAAGAAGGACAACACCTACACCTACATGTGCGGTCTCAAGGGCATGGAGAAGGGTATTGATGACATCATGACCTCCCTGGCAGAGAAGGATGGTAAGTCGCCTCTCCAATGTAATTCTTGTTATGGTGGTGCTGTTGGAGTACGCCTGGGGCCCTATTCTGACGGACGTTTCGGTTTGTGCAGGCATCAACTGGCTAGAGTACAAGAAGCAATTGAAGAAGAGCGAGCAGTGGAACGTGGAGACCTACTAGACAGTCGTTTGGTGGTTTCCGTTTTGCTTTGTTATGTAAACCAAAAATGGCAGTAATGTCATAATGCTACAATTCAATATAAACGTTCCCTGTAAATCTGCTGATGAACTGTACCGTAGGTACCGTTATGGGGCATGCCAGTTAACATCTTCACTCAGTTTGGAGGTGTCACTGCAGTGTGCGACGAAGTGGGTGAAGGGAGGATGTGGATTGGATTGCAGTTTGGGGAGTCATGACAAGATGAGCCATGTACTTTTGATGAGACTTCATGGTAGACGTGTTGAGGGTTGTATAGTTACTCCAGGAAGACTTGAGTTTTGTTGACTGGTGAAGATGCAGATTGATGATGAGTGAGCTGGATAGATTTTATACGCATGCATGAATGAGAAATGCGTTACGCTGGAAATGCAAAATCTGCATACAAAAGTAACCATCTCTGCACTTCTTCCCTCCATTAGCGAGGACAATCTGCTTCGATGCGCTGTCGTCGCACAATCTTCCAGCAACTTGCACGTGGCATCGTTGCAGGCCCTCAAATCGTGGTCGTTCGCCCCATTCAAGCCCCCACATTCTTTCGCTAGCCCCGTCGCCACCGACCATCGATTCTGTTCTGGACACGAACAGAAACCTACGCGAATCTGCCTCTCCTTTCCATCCATCCTCCCCAGAATTTCAGCCACAACCAGCAACGCCGAATTGAAGGCGTGTCCAGCGCGTTCAGTTTGCCCCAACACGAATTTTTGACATTTTTTTAACACGCCGAAATATTGATTCGCAGTGTGAATGTGTTGAGGTACACCTACAGTCTCAAAAGCAAAACGCTGGGACACGAGCGGACACGAGCCCCACCCGTGGCTCAACAAATGAGCGGGCGCGCAGCTCGCACATAACAGACTGACACGCGAAAACAGCAGGGTAACCGAATATCGCCCCGGGAAAGAGTCCCGTCGAGTCGCGCATGCAACTCCAATTCTTCTTCCGCTTTTTTCGCCGTGAATCGCAAGCGTCACGAAAGCCGGGCGGATGTAAGTGTTCCATTTTTCGCCAGCCATGCTTTGGACGTTTCTGCCGTGTACATAATTTGCGCACGATTTTCATTCGGTTCGGAAACGTGTGGCCGACGTCTGTGGGTACGTTTGGAGGGTGCCCGCCAAAACCGTCAATTTATCGTGCGTGTCCGAATGGACACGAAAGTTCGGGTTACCAGGTCAAACTTTTGTACCTGATATGCAAAGTGAATGGTAAACGATCGTGCTGAACACGCCCTTACCATCCCTTGAGTGGATTCGCTTCCCTCCCTTGGGATTGTCTGAGTGCATTCAGGCATATTGTATGGAGCAGCAAATACATGCATACCTGACCAGCATTGTATGCGTGCATTTCTGAACAGCACTACCAGATTCCTGATAGAGAAGGTTGTTCAGGGAGGCAGTCGTAGCGCATTCTAATCACTGCAGACGGTGCTGTTAGATCGACGCTCCAGCGGCTCACATATAAGCTGTGCACCTTGAGAGCATTAGCTGGTCGGCCTTCCGTTCAGCTTCGCTACAGTGTTCCGCCATGGCTCCTATCGAGGCGACGTGGAGGGAGGTGAGGATGAGCATCTCTAGACGCACAATCTACCCACTCTGAGTTCTGGTCCCTCCTTTTACCGATTCGCACGTACACTCCTCCCTTCCGTCGTGATACGAACGGCAAATGGTAGTGCCAGCATTCCGAAAGACTTTTGAGTCTACTCGAAAGTCATCCCTTTTGAGTCGGCTAAGTCATGCCTTCCTTCGTGATACGCACAGTAAATGCTAGTGCGAGCATTCCGAAAGCCCCACTTTTCAACATCATTCCTCCTCATCCCGTCATCCCGTCATCCCGTCATCTCATCCTCCCCTCATCCCATCATCCCCTCGTCCCGTCCTCCCTTCACCCCGACTCCCTCATTCCAAATCACGCAGCACGAGGGAGCACCTAAAGCGTGCAGCTCGCACGCCACAGCGGTGGTAGGGGATACGATGTTCGTGCTCGGAGGGAGTTTGAACCCCCATTTCCCCCCATCCCCCAACATCCTCGCCCTTCCTCCCCCACCCTTCGCCTTCCCTCCCCTTCCCAACCCCCCCCCCCCCTCCCCCCCCATCTCCCTCCCCACAAACCCGTCTTCCCCCCCTCCCTCCCACCATATCTACAGATCACACAGCGCGAGGGAGCGCCGAAAGGGTGCAGCTCGCACGCCATAGCGGTGGTCGGGGATACGATCTTCGTGTTTGAAGGGAGTTGGGGCTCCATTCCCTCCTCATCCCTCCCCCTCCCCCCCCCCCCCCCCCCCCCCTTTCTCTTTTCCCCTCCTCTTCCCCTACTCCTCTCCCCCCCTTCTCCCCCTCCCCCCCCCCCCTCTCCTCTACATTCCCCCGTCCCCCAACATCCCGCTCTCCAGATCACGCAGCGCGAGGGAGAGCCCAAGGCGCGCAGCTCGCACGCCATTGCCGTAGTCGGGGATAAGATGTTCGTCTTTGGGGGGGAGTTTGAGCCGCGAGTGCCCATCGGCAACGACATGCATGTGATGGACCTGACGAGTCGCCAGTGGTCCATTGCTGCCGCCTCTGGCGATGTCCCATGTGAGTATGCTATGCTTGCCGTCTTGGTCTCTCATGTGCATGCGTGGCACCATTCTCTAGTCTTACGTGTGTGTGTGCTCTAAAACACTCTAGGAGTTTGAGTTTGAGCCGCGAGTGCCCATCGGCAACGACATGCATGTGATGGACCTGAAGAGCCGCCAGTGGTCTATTGCTGCTGCTTCTGGTGACATCCCATGTATGTGTGGTGATACTTGCTGTATGTATGTGTGCTGCATGTTTGTGTGCGCGCGCTGATCCACCGCTGGGGTTGGGAGTTTGAGCCGCGACTGCTCAGCAGCAAGGACATGCATGTGCTGGAGGTCATCGTCGCACGTGGTCTGTTGCTGCTGCGTCGTTGTACATACAGACTTCCATCCTCCTTTTCCAAACCCCGAATTCATCAAAACTCACATCCCTCCCCACCAGCCCCGCGCATCGGCTCACCATGGTTGCGCTCGGATCCACTCTCTACGTGTTTAGCGGGCGGGACGGTGACAATAAAATAATGAGTTTACCCTCCCTTCCCAGTCATTCCGTGTCCTGCCCTCACATCCCACCCTACACCGTACCCTGAACCCTCACTCACCAGCCCCCCGCGTCGGCATCACCATGGTTGCGCTCGGATCCACTATCTACGTGTTTGGCGGGCGAGACGCTGACAAGAACGAGCTGAGCGATTTCTACTCCTTCGATACAGTCACGGGGGAGTGGAGGCTGCTGACGACAGGGGAGAAATCCCCCCCTGGCCGGTGAGTGTGTGGGGGAGGGTAGGCGGGAGAATGGAAGGAAGGGGGCGGACCAGTGAGAAGAACGAGCTGAGTGACTTGAATTGCACTCCTTCGATACAGTCACGCGGGAGTGGAGGCTGCTGACGACTGGGGAGATGTCTCCTCCTGGTCGGTGAGTAATGTGCTCCAAACAGGTTGGCTCGTGGGGGGGGAGAGGGGGGTGACAAAAACGAGCTGAGAGACTTCTACTCCTTCAATACAGTCACGGGGGAGTGGAGGCTGCTGACAACAGGAGATAAATCTCCCCCTGGCGGATGAGGAACCATGGCAGCAGACCCCCACCGCAGCCACATCTTCATCTTCGGGGGCTGCGGCACAGCAGCTGTCTGAAGTGCTTTATCACACCTGCTCTCGCAACCATCTCATGCCATCAAAATCTCCCTCTCCCCACATCCTCCTTCCCTCCCCATCCCCTCCTTTTTCCAGGAGCTACCACGCCATGGCTGCAAACCCCCACCGCACCCACATCTACATCTTTGGCGGCTGCGGCACAGGAGCCGTTTTAGTTGCTTTATCAAACCCACCCTCGCAGCTCTCTTGTGCCATCAAAACCCCCCTCTCCCCACATTATCCCCAAACCCCCCCCCTCCCCCCCACATTCCAGGAGCTACCACATCATGGCAGCAGACCCCCATCACAACCACATCTACATCTTCGATCGCTGCGGCACTCAAGTTGCTTCAAGTGCTTAATTCACACTCACACCCCCCGTCCCCTCACATCTCCTCCCCCCCCCCCAGGAGCTACCACACCATGGCAGCAGACCCTCACCGCACCCACATCTACATATTCGGCGGCTGCGGCACAGAGGGGCGATTCAACGACCTCTGGGCCTACCCTGCTGCTGCAGGCACAGGGGAGGCGTCGCCCCCTGCATGGCGGCAGCTGCCGTTGCCTCCCCCCCTGGCGTGTGCCGAGAGGAGGCTCGGGGCTGGCCGTGGCAGGGGACGCGGTGTGGGTGCTGTCACACTCCCTCAAACCCTCTCCCATCTTCCAATCTCCCCCCCGTTCCCTTCCCCCTTCAGGAGCTACCACACCATGGCTGCACTCCTTCCTGCTCTCGTAACCCCTTCCACCCCTCACACACCCTTCCACCCCTCACACACCCTTCCACCCCTCACACACCCTTCCACCCCTCACACACCCTTCCACCCCTCACACTCCCTTCCACCCCTCACACACCCTTCCACCCCTCACTCCCTCCCCCATTTCAGGAACTACCACACCATGGCAGCAGACCCCCATCGCAGTCACATCTGCATCGTCGGGGGCAGCAGCACTCGAGTTGCTTCAAGTGCTTAGTTCACACTCACATCCCCAGTCCCCCCCCCCCCCTCACCTTCCCCCTCTCCTCCCCCAGGAGCTACCACACCATGGCAGCTGACCCCCAGCGCAGCCAAATCTACATCTTCGGCGGTTGTGGTACAGAGGGGCGATTCAACGACCTCTGGGCCTACCCTGCTGCTGCCAGCACAGGGGAGGCGTCGCCCCCTGCATGGCGGCAGCTGCCCTCGCCTCCCCCCTCCAGCGCCTGTGTGCCGAGAGGAGGCCCGGGGCTGGCCGTGGCAGGGGACGCGGTGTGGGTGCTGTTTGGGTTCAGTGGGGAGCATGAGTTAGGGGATGTGCACAGGTTCGACCTGGGGAGGGAGACCTGGGAGGAGGTGCTATTACCTGCTGCTGGTGAGGAGGGGGCTGGTAAGGGGGATGCTAATAAGGGGGATGAAGAAGGGGGGGATGTGGTTAAGCCCATTCCGAGGAGCGTTTTTGGAGCTGTCACTGTGGTGCTGCCTGGTACCGAGCCTGCTTCTAAGGAGTCTTCTTATAAGGAGTACATAGTGGTGTATGGGGGGGAGGTGGACCCCTCTGATCAGGGCCATCTGGGGGCGGGTAAATTCTCCAGCGACCTCTTCCTATTGGACGTCGCTGAGAGGAAGTGGCTGCGGCCGGCGTCGCTCGTCTCTTCTGGCGGGGACCCCGGGGCTCGTGGGTGGTTCCCTGTTGCCCCTTTGAGTGCTGCGGATGGTGCGGCTGAGGGGTCTCAGGGGTTTGCTGGTATGGTGGTGTATGGGGGCAACTCAGAGAGCAATGACCGCTTGGATGATGTGTATGTGCTTAATCTGAAGGCTGCTGCTTGAGGGGGGGTCAGTGGTGCTTCTGCTGCTGCTGCAGATGGCGGTTTTACCGAGGGAAACTCAGAGAGCAATGATTGCTTGGATGACGTGTACCGGTACCATATAATATAATCCCCTGGCCTGGATACAGCACAGGAGGACCCTGTGGATACTGTAACATAGTCTATGGATAAGAGATGGGATGGTGCGGGGTCCCGTCTCCCATCGTGCTAGGGAGGAGGCCAGAAGAGCCCCCCACATCGCCCCTCACCTGTTTGCAAGGTGTTTTTGAGAATTCTAAAAAACAACCTGAATCTCTCGTCTCACTCGAGTAGAGAGGAGGCCAAAAGAGTCCCCCACATCGCCCCTCACCACCACCACAAAGAAAACTGTACGTGGGGTACCAAAGCAATGGTCTAGCATGATTGAAGAACACTTGGTTTTTTAGAGCGTGATATATCAATTCAGCCCTTTAAGGCATTAATGCACCGAGTAAGTGCACCAAGCTTCGCAAGTGTGTCGCCGTGGTTGTGCAGTGCATAATCTAGCATTACGGTACATAAAACAATAATGAACTCGCTCAAGCAAAGCGCCCGCCTCCATTTACCTGCACGAGTGTACAGCAGCGGTGGTCATAGGGCCGAATATTAAGCTCAATATTTGCCTCAAGGCATCACGTGCAGCAGATAGTGCAGCAAGGCTCGCACATGCGCCTCCCCCACATCCCCCCCCACCACCATCGGCCCCGCCCTCCCTGCCCGCAAGAGCGCTGAGTAGTGGTGGTCGTGGCGCCGGCCCGTGCCCGTGTACCGGGGACCGTCCACCATCCATAAATCCAAAACAGATGGTGCGAATGCTGTTGCTGCTGCTGTTTCTGCTGGTGATGCTGCTGCTGCTTTTGCTGGTGCTGCTCCTGCTCCTGCTACTCCATGAGCATTCCCCTCCACTCCTCCACCTTCCCCACCTCCCCCACTCAATCCACGCCTTATTTGCACCTCACCCTCCTCCCCAGGCAAGTTCAGCCCACTCAGAGGCACCTGAACCTCCTCCCCAGGCAAGTTCAGCCCACTCAGAGGCACCTGACCCTCCTCCCCAGGCAATTTCAGCCCACTCAGAGGCACCTGACCCTCCTCCCCAGGCATTTCCTGCAAGCTACAGTCCAAATCTGCCACACAATTTTCCTCCACATGGCCGCCCGTGCTGCTCCCACCTCCTGTCCCCATCCTCCTTACAAGGCGCTTCAATAACGCGTTTATCGCCATGCCAGCTCGATTCGAGCTCGGACCAGGATGCCAGCTGTTGCACCATTCTCCCCCGACTGGAAAAGAGGGGATAGTCCGGAAAACCACCCTGCCTTTTCCGGGGGTGACTGTGGAAGCAGCCCAGCGGAGAAAGGTTTGCAGGTGTTTTTGCAGGGCTTTAAGAGGTGCCTGGCAAAAGACAGCCGCCCAGTAGCCAGCTTCGAAGAGAGCGACGTCGGCAGTGGGAGACAGGGTTGGGAACGCTCCAGTGCGGTTGAGAATGCGTGGGTGGCTGATGGTAAGGTAGAGAGGGGAGGAAGGGGGGAAAAGGGGCGAGGGGAGGGGAGGGGAGGGGAGAGAATGTGAAGAAAAAGAGGTGAAGAGCTACAGTTTTCCAAACGCACCCGTCATTTTCCAAAAGAGGAGGGCAGCAACGAGTCAACGAGCCGACTTTTAGTCGACTCAAAGGGCAAAAATGACTCAAGTCATGAGATGATTTCTCAATCGGCAAAACCGAAAAGAGGACCGCTCTTTTTGAGGCGCCTAAAAAATAAGCAAAAAGAGGACCGCTATTTTTGAGGCGCCTAAAAAATGAACAAAAAGAGGACCGCTATGCAGAGCATGACAACGCCCTAGCCTGAAAGCATTGCCATACCTGCATCCGTACTCCCCATCCTCGTAGATTCCACCGATCCAGTAAAAATTAATCTGTAGAGTTTTGTTACTCCCATCACTTGCAATGTACACCCGATTCTCGTTAACGCCCTTCCCCCTCTCCCTCTCCTCCATATCTTCCCCGGAAAGCAGGTAGAACAGATGGGCTGCTAGGAACCGTTGATGCGAATCGCCGACGATTGAGATCTCCCGGATGCCGCGCCGATCAAGGGCTGAGATCCACTCAGAGGGGGGGAGCTCGCGCGGGGAGCAGGGGAAGAAGGACCAACTGGGGGGGGCGGGGGGGTTGCGGGGGGGAGAGGGAGAGGGAGGAGGGAAGACCGAGAAGGGGGGTGTGAGGGGGGATACGAGAGGAAGGGCAAGGAGATCGTGGAAGTTGTTGAATTGGGGGAGGGGGAGGGAGATGGGAGGGAAGAAAGAGAGTCAGTCATGCGTACCCACTGCTGCCTAAATTCAATTCTCTTTTGCACAACTTCTCAAAGCAAGAGGCTCACCTGTTCCCCTCTCTTTTTGAGGCGCCTCAAAAATAGACTCCTTTGCACAACATCTCAAAGCAAGCTCCTCACCTGTTCCCCTCTCTTCCCTCCCTTATTATCCCTTTTGCTACACTCACAACGCGAATGAAACGACTGCTGGAATAGGGGACGAAGCTCACCTGTGCCCCTCTCCTCATCTGTACCCCTCTCCTCCCTCCTCCTTGGTCACTTGCGATGACCAACATAAAACTATAAGAGGAGTACGCTCGTGTAGGCTCACCTGTACCCCTCTCCCCCCTCCTCCTACAAAGCAAATGCGACGACTACTGAGAGAGAGGAATCCGCTCAAATAAGCTCACCTGTGCCCCTCTCCTCCCTCCTCACCTGTACCCCTCTCCTCTAGGTAACTTGAGAAAGAGGAACTTGAGAAAGATGAATGGGCTCAAGTAGACTCACCTGTACCCCTCTCCTCCTTCCTCCTTCGCCCATCTCCCAGGAACCGACACCGAGTCACACGGGCTCAGAGGAAGCTTCCTCTCTGGTTCCAAACTCCTGGCCAAACCACCCCCTGTCACCGGCACCCCCAACAACGAGGTTCGGAGAGGCGAGCTGCCGAACCAGCGGGCCAGGTTCGGAAGAGCGGAGGCTCGGTGTGGAGGCTCCGCAGCTAGGCTTAGGCCGTTAGCTAGGTTAGGTTCGGAAGCTAGGCTCGGGGGGTTAGGTCTGGAGCGCGGGTGGATGGAGATTGGCCAGGAAGTGAGGCTGTTGTGGTAGGTGGAGGTCAGGTGGTGCTTGGAAGCTGCTGAGAAATTGAGGTTCGCACAGCCAACATTGAGAGTAGCCCTGTTGGGAGAAAGGGAGGGGGCTGGGAGCACTGTTGAGTCGAGCCTGTGGAGCACTGAAGGAAGTGAGGGTGCTGCTATGGTAGTGAGGGTTGGAGTTCAGGTGGTGCTTGGAAGCTGCTGAGAAATTGAGGTTCGCACAGCCAAGCCAACGTTGAGGGTGGCCCTGGTGTGCATGGGGAAGGGGGGGGTGGGGGGAGTTTTGAGGCGCCTCAAAACAAGGGGGGGGTGGGGGGAGACAGGCAGGAAATGGGGGGAGGTAGGGGGGCAGGGAGGGGGCAGGAAGCGGGAAGAAGGGGGGAGTGAAAACACCCTTGAGGAGATTCAAAAGACAATGCATGAGAAGTAACCGAGTGTTGAGACGTCTCAAAACCGCAGCACTCACCAGGTGCCAACACGTCAAGGCATACTCCCACCCTCCCTCCCTCCCTCCCTCCCTCCCTTCCTCCCACACTCACCAGTATTCTCCAATGTCCCACACGCGGTATGAAACAGACAAGTCCAGGCAGGACGGAGGGTCCAGACACCGCACGTCCCCATGGGCCAGCGCCGGGCCTCGGAGCAGCAGAGTGAGGTCCTTCTGCCACCACGTGTGCTTGCTGCTGCTGCTGCCGCTACTGCTGCTGCTGTTGCCGCCGTCCGCCTGCCCGTCTTGCTGCGCCCTGTCTGCTTGCCCCGGCTCTATCCAGTGCGCCGGCGGGCTGATGGAGACGAGGAAGGAGCAGCGCTGGCCTCGCAGGCAGGAAGCACAGCCGGGGCCGTGCACCACCACGCCGGAAGGGGAAGAGTAGTCTGCCAGGAGGGGTAGGTGGGGGTGGGTGCGGCAGCAATTGAGGGGGATTTTTGAGTCGACTCAAAAATCACCGGGGGTGGGTGGGGGTGCGTGCGGCAGCAATAGAGGGGGAGGGAAGGACATGAGGAACGAGCAGCGCTGGCCACGCCAGCAGGCGGCACAGCCGGGGCCGTGCACCACCACGCCGGAGGGAGACTGGTAGTCTGCAAGGGGGCGGGTGGGTTTGCGGGTGGTTGTGTGGGTGGGGGTGGGTGGGGGTGGGTGCGGCAGCAAATGGGGAGGGGGTAAAGGAAGGAGCAGCGCTGGCCTCGCAGGCAGGAAGCACAGCCGGGGCCGTGCACCACCGCGCCGGAGGGAGACTGGTAGTCTGCCGGGTGGGTGGGTGGGTGGGGCAGCAAAGGGTGGGGAAGGGGAGGGGAGCCGGTGCCGTGCACCACCACGCCAGACGGAGACTGGTAGTCCGCATCTACCGCCAGGAAACTGCCCACCAGGAAACGCCCTAAATTTCCGGCCACATGCCATCCACAGCCAGGACCAGTCCAAAGCATGCCATCCACCCGCCCACCCACCTCCTGACGAGGTCCAGCAAATGCGCTCCTCTGTTGCACCACCTGGAAAACCACCTGAGCCACCTGAGCTGCACGATAGAGACAGGCCAGCGAGTTTGAGAGAGAGGAGAAGGGGGGGAGGGAAGGGGAGGTGAGGGGAAGGTAATGGGGAGGAATGGCAGAGGATACTTTTGGAAGAAAAGGAAGTAGCAGTGGGCAACGAGGGTTATTACAGCTCAGTATGGTCACAGACTCTGTATAACGACTCTCAACAATTTCCAAGAGTCAGTAACCCTTCAGATTGTTGGAGTGGTTCCGCCACCCACAACGGACTACTCGTGACTTGGGGTAGATAGATACCACCAGCAAAGCCCCACATGCGCACAAAACCACCCCCATCCCCCCTTCCCCCTCCCCTCCCCCTCCCTCCCCCCCGCCCAACCCCACCCCCCCACCCGCCCTCCCCCCCCTTCTCCCTTTCTCCCGTCCCCCCTCCACCCTCTCCCTTTATTCTCCGCCCTCCCGCTTTCACCCCTTCCGCCAACTCACTCCACGCGCGCGGCTTCCCCGCTGCCTAGCCCCAAGAGCGGGAGCGCCTGTCGTAACCCCCGCATCCGCGCAACGCTCCCCCAGCTCTTCGCGGACGCGGGCTCGGGGAGGCCGCCGGCGCCGCCACCCGGGGGACGTACGCAAAACGGTGAACTCTCGATTATAACGAGGATGACAAGGCACGCGTTTATGGCAATGAGACTATAACGAAGCCAGAAGGAGCTGGACCAATCAGAGGAGGACGATCCGCTGCCAGGAAATCGCTCGTTATAAGAACTGTTCCGTTTGAGTCCGAGGATCGCCCATCCGTGCGACACGAGCGACCCGAGGCCGAAGCCGCGCGAAGGCGGCGATTTCATCGTTGAGCGACGCTGAGAGATTTGCGGATGCGACGACGCGAATGAAACTGACGCGAAACCTCGGTAATCTCGCTCTCAAAACTACCGGCCTAGTTTTGAGACGTCTGAAAACTTTGTCATAGGGAGACCGCCTGCGAGGTACCGAGGTGGCTTTTGAGACCGCCTGCGAGGTACCGTGTCGCGATCTGCGACGGGCGGTGGTACTTGAACACCTCGCAGGATACGAGACTCTCCTGACGGCTTCAGCTCAGATGAATCCGAGAATTCGAAAATTTTAGAAATAGCGTTTGCGCATTTGCATCTTGGACGTGGGTGACCAAGGAGTTGTTTGAAGGTGTACGACGCGCTTAGGGCGGTAGCACGCTGTTAGAGCAGGGTTAGAGAGGGCAGTAGACAGTAATAGGCGGCGTCTACTCGGCGCAGACCTGCACGGAAAGAGGGACGCGTTACGCTTGAGAAGAGAGCGTCTTAGCGCGTTTCCTGCCCCAGCGCGAAGCCGCTACGTCCTAAAGATAATGTCATAGCCGCTACGTACTCGCCAGAAGGCGAGCTCATTCCCCTAAGTCGGGGGGCCCCTTGCAAATTCGCTCCTGTTAGGCATCACAATAGTGTCGGTTCAGAAAGTTTCTTCACGTTCTAGAGGGTTTCATTTTAAAGATAGAACGGTTGGGAGGAAAAACAAACACTTGTCACACGCACCAGGTGCGGACAGCTTTAGTTGGGGGGGATTTCCAAGCACGAGGGTTTGACTCGTGGACACGACATGCCGTCTAGGTCCCACTTCAGATAAAGGCTAGAAAGGTTTTGCGTTATTGAGTGCGGTACAAAGGTCAGCAGGCCCCAGATTCCACGGTGAGCTGACGACGGATTTACAGGCTGTTTGTGGTCCGCTCGCAGCTAGCGCCACGCGGCGATGATGAATGAACGCGTCGCTGCGCCCCTAGCGCTTCGCTAAACCAATCACACCGCGGAGCGGCACCGACTTGAGCCCCCCCCGAACTTCCAAGACCGCCGACTTCCTTCCCCCCCCCCCACCCACCAACCATTCCCTCCCCCCTTCAGGCTTGCGGATCAGCCCCTTGCAGGGACGCGGCGCGGCGCGGCGCGGAGGCTCCCTGAGGGCGCATCCAAAGTGATAACTTTCTCGTTTTCGGTTTCTGGTGCAGCTCGGTGTGCTGCTATTTCCGGTACGTTCTGTGTTTTGCAGCTATTTCAAGTATGGTACGAGTTTCAAAATATATACTTTGGAAGTTCCCTGAGGTGGTCGTTCCCTGGACGCAAAGCCGCGGATCCGCGTTAGATGCCAAGATACTGTACAGGTTCAAAACATAGATGTATGCGCTTTGGATACCGGCACAATTCATCTGATGAACATAACATGTTATAACAATCCGCTATCCACTTTCAAGGGAAACCTATCTATCACGAGCAATCAATTTGCATCCCATCAACTAATCAGCTGTTGACTTTACTGGCATGTAGAACCTTTCTACCTCACCATACATGAGGCACAAGAGATACATAAGCTGTCCAACTAACATGATCTTCATGCAAGGCAGTCTCTGACCTGCACTTAAGAGAACAAATGACACAGTGGAACCAACTCCACTTCGTCGCATTCCTTCAACTCCCTCTTTAACCCTCTCTTCCCCTCTGCGTCCCATCTAGTAATTATTTCTCAACTCCATCCTGTCATCCCTTCACCGGGCATCATTGGCGTGCTGCCGCATGCTTCTCTCCTCTCTCTTCTTCAGCCGTGCAGCCCGCGCACTCCTGGCCCTCTCCTTGGCCTCCCGTATCTTCTGCTTCCGCAGCTGCCGGTACGCACGCTCAAACTTGGAGTCAAACTCCCGCATCGACCCGCGCCGCGCCCACCACGGGGCCTCTTCTGGGGGAGGTGTATCTCCTGCCACGGCACACTGCCGCCCGGCAATGTCAAAATCGTCCGGGCACAGACTGCTGCCAGGGCCACCCTGGTAGGAAAGAGGAGGGGGGAGGGAGGAAAGTTAGAGAGAGAAAAGTTAGAGAGGAGAATCTGCTGCCATGGTGCCTTGCAGCCCGGTTGTGTCAAAGTTGTCGGGGCACAGACTGCTGCCAAGCCCACTCTGGGGGATGGGGGGGGGCGTACGGAGAAGGAAGGGGAGGGGAGCAGGGGTGTTGGGGAGCGGGGGAGAGCCTGAGAGCGACGGACTGGGACAATTAAGTGCTTGCAAATATCCCACGGTGTACAATCTCAACCCAAGCAGACATGCAAAGCCACTCACCTGGCACGAGTTCCCAAAATTTCCATCGCATCGGAAGAAGCAGGTGTAGTTTCCGGGCAGGTGGCAGAACCCGGGCAGCGCGACGGGCAGTGGGTTGTGGCGGCCGCATGCGCAGGAGCTGCCCGCAGAGCATGAGTCGCAGCGAATGCGCGTCTCGGCCTCACAGCCAATCACACACGGCTGCCCCAGACCCACCAGGTTCAGGCGCGCAAGGGTCTGGGGTGAGGGGGGTGAGGATGGGTCGGAGGGAAGAGGGTTGGAAGGGAAGAGGGTGAGGGGGGTGAGCGAAGGGAGCGAGGACTGCATGTCTCGGCCTCACAGCCAATCACACAGGGCTGCCCCAGTCCCACCAGGTTCAGGCGCGCAAGGGTCTGGGGGTGAGAGGGGTGAGCGGGGAGCGGGTGGGCAGGGAAGGGGGTGTGGGGGGAGCGGGTGGGCAGGGAAGGGGGTGTGGGGGAGCGGGTGGGCAGGGAAGGGGGTGTGGGGGAGCGGGTGGGGAGGGAAGAGAATGGGGATTAGAATGCGCGTCTCGGCCTCACAGTCAATTACACAGGGCCGCCCCAGTCCCACCTGGTTCAACCAAGCAAGAGTCTGGGATGAGGGGGGTGAGGAGTAAGAGGGTGGGATGAAAAGGGTTGGGGGGATGAGATTGTGAAGGGATGAGGGCGGATGGAAGAGGGTGGGGGGGAAGAGGGTGGGGGGGAAGAGGGTGGGAAGGAAGTGGGTGGGAAGGGAAGGAAAGGAGGATTGGAATGCAGCCCTTGCTTGTTCCCTTCCTGGAAAATGTGTGCGTTACCTTACCCATCCAGTGTCTAGTACAACCCTCCCCATCTCGCCTCCACTAGCTGCAGGTTTCCAAACGCCTGGTGCAGCCACTATCTTTGCCAGTCCTCAGTCAGTCCCTTACAATTGGACTCCCTATCCCCCCACCCAGTGTCTGCTTTAGCATGCTTCCCCCCCTCTCACCACGGCTAGCTGCAGGTCTGCTGGCTGTTAATATACTCTCTCTCTCTAGTGCTCTTCCCCTCTCACCAGTGAAGCTATTTCCGTGTTTCCTCTGCCCATCTAGTGTCTGCTCTAGCACCCCCCCTCCTCTCACCTCCACGAGCTGCAGGTCTGCCGGCTGCTGGTACACCACATCCGCGTCAGAGTCTGTCTCCCTATAGTACAGCTCCGGCACACCATACCCTGGCCGCCAGTGCACCCCAAACACGTCCAGGGACGCACATTTCTGGGGGAGGAGAGGAGGGGGGAGTGCAGGGAAGCGAGGGCGACAACCACAGCAGGGAGGACTTGGGCATGAGATTAATAGAGCTCAGGCACACCATACCCCGGTCGCCCATGCACCCCAAACACGCCCAGGGACGCACATTTCTGAGGGGTGGGGAAGGAAACGGGGGGAGGTGGGGAGTGAGAGAGGTAGGGGGAGGGAGAGGGGGTGGGATGGGGTTGGCAGGGGTCCAGTGGGGTAGGGAAACCGAGGAAAGGGTGGTGAAGACGTGGGGAACTCGAGCAGGAAGGGTTTCAGATGGGTTGGGATGTTATGGAGGGAGCGGCGGCACAGAAAGGAGCAAGTAAACAAGAAAGGAAGCTGTGGCGGAGGAAGCAAACAAGACGCAGTGGGCAAAGGGGGGGGGGAGGCAGGCTGCTTTCGGGTGGTGACAGAGGCAAGAGTGTATGGAATAGAACGAGTGGCTGGGAGGGGGGGATAAGAGTGAGGGGAAAGAAGCAGAGGGGGCACACCTGGTAGCAGCAGGGGGCACACCTGGTAGCAGCAGGGGGCACACCTGGTAGCAGCAGGGGGCACACCTGGTAGCAGCAGGGGGCACACGTGGTAGCAGGTGGCACACATACCTGGAGGGCGAGGAAGAGGGTCATGGCGAGAGGCGAGGGCAGCGGGCCAATGTTGTCAGTGACGTGCGTGGAGAACTCAGGGTCGAACAGAAACGACTTGGCGTCCGGCTGCTCGTTCAGGAACTGGGAGGGGGAGACAGTGGGATGGCACGGGGTGGGCAGTGGGATGGCAGTGGGATGGCACGGGGTGGGCAGTGGGATGGCAGTGGGATGGCACGGGGTGGGCAGGGAGGGAGTGAGTGCAACTGCATTGAAGCAGATAACATGGACGGAAAGGGCCAAGGTTGGTTGTCATGTCAGACACGTGGGGGGGGACCTCAGTGGGGAGGAGATGACATAAGGGAGGGCATGGGTGGGCATAAGACCTCAAAGGCAAACATGGAATGCAAGGGCAGATTTGAGAGTGATGAGGGGGGAGGGAGAACTTGGGGGAGGGGATGGCATAAGGAAGGGCATGGGTGGGGTGGGCGGAAGCAGCTTTTAAGGCGCCTCAAAAGCAAACCGGAATGACTGGGCAGCGGTTGGCGGCTTGTTGAGGAGCTGCTAGAGGGAAGGATCGGCCTGGGGTGCCGTGCCACCAGAAAGCCACACGGCTAGGCGTGAGAGATGCGGAGACCCAGGGAGCAAACAAAACAGGCCAGGCTGTAAGCCGAAAGAACGTGAATGACTAGGGAGCCTGGCTGGCCGCTTGAGTTTTGGAGTTTTTGAGCTTCAGTTCTGGCTTGAATGGTACACTACCGGCATATTAAGCTTAGTTTTAATCCTCCACTGGCTCAGTGTTGAGGACTTGTTACCCAGGTTTTTGCACCAAAATTCAGAATATATTTCATGACCTTGCAGATCGTACCTGGAAATGCCCGTAAAAGCCCTTCTTGGAGGCAACATTCATGAGGGTAATTTCCCCTCCCTCGCTGAATCCCACTGTATCCTCATCCACCACCCTCATTGTAGACCTTCGCCCCACAAACGCCGTGAAATCGACTGCTACTGCTGCCGCGCCCTCTCCACTGCGAGCCACAGTGGGGCCACTGGCGAAAGCAAGGGAGGCACAGGGGAGAGAGAGGGAGGAGAGCAGACGGGATGATAAGACCACTGTGTTTTCCTCGTCCACCGCTCTCATTGTAGACCTTCGCCCCACAAACGCTGTGAAATCCACCGCCACTGCTGCCGCGCCCTCGCCGCTGCAAGCCACAGTCGGGCCACTGGGGAGAAGATGGGAAGCAAGGGATGGACCGGAGGAGCCGCCAAGTAACAGTGAGGAAAAAGCAGCGAATTTACTGCTACTGCTGCTGCTCCCTCACCTCACCACTGCTAATCCTACGTCCTTGCACTCACTCCAATGGGAGACCGAGTCACACGACGAGTGAGAGAGATGAACATACTGCACTGCACACACTCGAACAGTCGGAAGAGTCGTCCGACGGTATCGTGACTGTCAATAAGGTGGCCGTCCCTTAAGAGCAGGTTAAAGCCCGAGTTGCCTTGTGAGTTTAACTCCTAGTCCACTCCCTGCCTCAAATGGGGCAAAAGCACCTTATAAGAGAGGGTCATTCCACTCACTCGATCAGCTGAAAGACAGCGTCATGGTTGTTGATGAGGTGCCCGTCCCTGAAGAGCTGGTTAAAGCCCGAGTTGCCTTGCGAGTTGCACTCACTCAAGACACTCTAAACTCAGCCGTCCTTCCACTGCACTCACTCGAAGAGTCGGAAGACGGCGTCATGGTTGTCGATGAGGTGCCCGTCCCTGAAGAGCAGGTTAAAGCCCGAGTTGCCTTGCAAGTTGCACTCACTCAAGACACTCTAAACTCAGCAGTCCTGCCACTGCACTCACTCGAAGAGTCGGAAGACGGCGTCATGGTTGTCGATGAGGTGCCCGTCCCTGAAGAGCAGGTTAAAGCCCGAGTTGCCCACGATGGCACACGAGTTGAACAGCGCGTTCTGCAGCAGGTCGCTGCCTGGCAGGTGCTCCAGTAAAGCCTGAGACACCATCGGCTCCAGCTCCATCAGCTTGCCCTGTGGCGGAGAGACAGGGGAGCAAGGACGGGCAGCAGAGCGTGACAGAGGGTACAGAGAGGGATTGAGAAGCAGGTTGGAGTTGAAGAGAGCGTTCTGCAGCAGGTCGCTGCCTGGCGGGTGCTCCAGTAAAGCCTGAGATACCATCGACTCCAGCTCCATCAGCTTGCCCTGTGGGGGAAGGGGTGAAAATCGGGGGGGGGGAGAGAGGGGGGGGGGGGGGGTGGTGGTAGATGAGGGTTTAAGGAGAACCCCGACGTGTGCAAGGAGGGAGATAGGAGAGGCTGATGCCGCAGCAGCCTGCAGGTGACCTGCGTCAGAATGAAGCGGCTTGTAATGCTGACAGACACTAAGGCAGCTTTTCTTTTATATCCTCACCTTCTGCAGGTTGCCCCACACCACGCGGTTGACCTTCCCTGCGGTGAAGAACGGCGCCTCAAAGAACGCCGCACCCTCGCCCTCCTTCTCGTTCTCCTCCCTAGAAGGTGTCACAGTACCAAACACAACCCCCCTACCTTCTGCAGGTTGCCCCACACCACACGGTTGACCTTCCCCACGGTGAAAAACGGCGCCTCAAAGAACGCCGCCCCTTCGCCCTCCTTCTCCTTCTCCTCTTCCGCGCCTGTCTCCGCCCCACCCGCAGCAGCAGCGTTGGGACGCGGCGTACGACCCAGGGGAGCGCGTGAGGGGGTACTTGACCCTGTGCGCCTAAAACGAGTCTCTCACCTTCTGCAGGTTGCCCCACACCACGCGGTTGACCTTCCCCTCGGTGAAAAACGGCGCCTCAAAGAACGCCGCGCCCTCTCGACCTCTCCCTACCCTACACCGTTGAATCTTGATGTACCCAACACAACCCCCCCCCTACCTTCTGCAGGTTGCCCCAGACCACGCGGTTGACCTTCCCCGCAGTGAAAAACGGCGCCTCAAAGAACGCCGCCCCTTCGCCCTCCTTCTCCTTCTCCTCCTCCGCGCCTGCCTCCGCGCCCCCCGCAGCAGCAGCGTTGGACGCAGCGTACGACCCAGGGGAGGGCGTGAGGGGGTACTTGACTCCGTGCGCCTTGCGCACGTGCCGCACGCTGAGCACGAAGCGGCCGTCATAGGTGGATTTCTTGCGGACGAAGGGACGCCGGGCAGAGCGGCAATAGTCGCCCTGGTAGCTGCAGTAACGAATAAAGGGTACGAAGTAGGGGAGAGGGGGGGAGGAGAAGGGTGGGACACGCTGAGCACAAAGCGGCCGTCATAGGTGGATTTATTGCGGACAAAAGGACGCCTGGCAGAACGGCAGTAGTCGCCTTGATACCAGTGCGGAGAGGGGAAAAGGTGCACACGGAAAGGGGGGAAGGAGAGGAGGGAGGGGTTGGGGGGAAGGGGGTGTTTGGATGGGAATGACGCTGAGCACAAAGCGGCTGTCATACGTGAAGGTAGCACTTTCCACATCTACTTTGACGCATTTGCAATATACTCACGGGAGCGTGCAGTGGCATTTGCCATCGATGCAGATGCCATGGGGCAAACAGTCCCTCTCTCCAGACGTCGCATGGCACGTCCAGACCGTGATCCCCAGCCGCCCATCCCCAATCCCCAGCTGCCCATCCCCAGTCCCCAGCCGCCCATCCCCAATCCCCAGCCGCCCATCCCCAATCCCCAGCCGCCCATCCGTGATCCCCAGCCGCCCATCCCCAATCCCCAGCCGCCCATCCCCAATCCCCAGCCGCCCATCCCCAATCCCCAGCCGCCCATCCCCAATCCCCAGCCGCCCGTCCCCAATCCCCAGCCGCCCATCCCCAATAACCAGCCGCCCATCCCCAATCCCCAGCCGCCCTCCACAGGATCCCAAGACAAGCGAGCAGCAACGAGTCAGTCTACTCACGGGAGCGTGCAGTGGCATTTGCCATCGATGCAGATGCCATGGGGCAAACAATCCCTCTCGCCAGACGTCGCATGGCACGTCCCGTCCGTGATCCCCAGCCGTCCATCCACGCCCATGAACCCCGATAGAGGCACGCGCTCCACAGTCACACCCACTGCGAGCGCGCTCAGCTCCACCATAGTCTTGTTCCTCAGGGGGTTGTCATCCACGGCGGCCGCTGCGCTGCTGCTGCTGGAGGCGCCCCCGCGGGGTTTGAGCGCTGCTGCTGCCGCTGCTGCTGCCATGTCGCCTGTGGCCCGTCCGCCCCCTGGAGGGGCTGATGCTGGGACTGCCTCGGCCTGGGTGAGAGGACGGGGAGGAGGGACGAGGGGAGGAGCGACAGGGAATAGAGGGGAAAAAGGACCGGCGAATGCCAGGGTGTAAGTTGATCTTGTTCTGCGGCGGCTGCTGCTGCTGCCATGTTGCCTGTGGCCCGCCCGCCCCCTGGAGGGGCTGACGCTGGGACTGCCTCCGCCTGGGTGAGAAGAAGGGAGGGAAGGTAGAGGGAAAAGGAGGGGGAAGGAAGAGGGGGGGGGAGGGAGGGGGGAGAGGGAGGGACAATTGGAACAATTGGATACCAACAATTGATATGACATTCTAGAAATTGCCAACATCAGCTGTGGCTGCTGCGCTGCTGCAGTTTTAGGGTTGCTAGGATATTCTCGGGCAATTTGGGAGGAAATGGAACGAGGATGAGGGAAATCAAGGGGTGCATGCAGAATTCGCTAAAGAGAAACAGTTGCCTCAGTCTGAACGAGCCATGAAGAGAGGAAAAGGGAGAAAAAGGAAGGAAGGAGATCAGGGGAGAGAAAGGTAGGAAGGAGTAATTTTGCACGAGGAAAGGGTTGGTGAGAGAGATTGCTAGCAGGAAAGTTCGCATCACAATGTTCCCTCTGGATAAAGGGCAGGCAGATCCTTCCCTCATATAATATAACTTTCTTTTCTTCCCAGTTCATCGCACCATATCTCGCACAATACTCAACGAAATGCAAGGAACCACGCTCCCCTCGCGTTTCAACAGGGTTTAGGGCGTCGGGACCCACCTCGTGGTCGTCATCCCCCGACTCCTTGAGGTCCTCCGACACCTTCTGCCGCTCCTCGAAGCTGGTCACTTCCCCACAGCATCAGGTGTTTCTCGAACTAGACCAAGTGTCTCAGGTGTTTCTTAAACTACACCACGAAAACCGCTGAGAACGCACCTCGTGGTCGTCGTCGCCCGACTCCTTGAGGTCCTCCGACGCCTTCTGCCGCTCCTCGAAGCTGATCACTTCCCCACAGCATCAGGTGTTTCTCGAACTAGACCAAGTGTCTCAGGTGTTTCTTAAACTACACCACGAAAACCGCTGAGAACGCACCTCGTGGTCGTCGTCGCCCGACTCCTTGAGGTCCTCCGACGCCTTCTGCCGCTCCTCGAAGCTGATCACTTCCCCACCGCATCAGGTGTTTCTCGAACTAGACCAAGTGTCTCAGGTGTTTCTTAAACTACACCACGAAAACCGCTGAGAACGCACCTCGTGGTCGTCGTCGCCCGACTCCTTGAGATCCTCCGACACCTTCTGCCGCTCCTCGAAGCTCAGCACCTTCCCCACCGCCTCGAGCATCCCCTGCCCCAGCAGACTCCATCCGCTTCCCCCCTCTGCGCACGCGGAGGAGCGAAAAGGAGGGAAACCGCACGGAATCGTCCAAAATTGATGTAAAAAAAAAAAAAAAAAAAAAAAAAAAAAAAAAAAGGAGAGCGAGGATCAGGAATGGACGAAATTGTCGGTTAATAGACGTGCGCTTTGCTCGTGTTGGATCCGCGCCTGGCACCTTCACTACCTGCTCCAAATTCCCTGGCCCGGATCTATTGCTCGTGTCACAACGACAGTAGCAGGACACATACGCCACATTAGTCGAAATCCTACATGACGTGGACGTTCAAAACCATCTTCCGTCGATAATGCTTCGGTCTGAACTAGGTTCGCAAAAGTTCGCCATTCTAGAGGCGAGAACGGTGACGAACAGGACCACCATAAGGAGCCTGACCGTAAGGCGGACGGATCAGGAAAGCCATAATCTCAAGTAATCATAGTCGCCAACGGTTCGGCAGTTGCTTTTGCAAATGGGCAAACGATCAGTTCTCGACGATCTTCTAGCCCGCGCGGCACATACTATCCACTCTCATGCGCGGAACGTAACGCGGATCAGGCGGTACTATTTTCCAACGCGCGCTTCAAAAAGCTTTCCATTTCTCAACTCTGGAGAAATACGGAGAAGTCAGGATAAAGAATGACAACTACATACCTGACGCTTGGCCGATAACGCTGCAGGGACAAAGGACAACACCACCGCACGGAAAAGAGGACGGAAAAGAGGAATCAGACTAGATTAAGGAGATCTTAACGAGATTAGAATGAAAAAAGGCGTTCAACTCATCAGGTTTCTACGAAGAAGGATGTATGTCAGCGCAATCTGGTGATGTCGTTGCTGAGTATTGTCGGAGCTGGACGCCATTTCATACCCGTCGGATTGTTGGATGCCATTTCGGCTGGTGTACTTCGTCGAGGAGCTGAACGCGAAGCCCAGGAACGCAGCGATGCCGACGAGCAGCAGCACGAGGATCAGCACGCCTCGGCGATGGCGAGGGCCGCGCTTTCTGCTCTTCTTGTCGTCCATGGTCGACAACAGCGTGAGGAGCAACGCCCTTTTTTTAGCAGCTACGAGCGGTGAGACGTAAGCTGTGTCTTACGTCCCGCTCCGCAGCGGGGAATGAAGGTTAGTGGGTCTTGATCGAGGCTTTGAATTTGGAAAAAAAACTGGGATTTCCTTGTGGTCGGTGGTTGCAGGCAGGCGAATATCAGATCACATGGTCTGAGTCAGCAATGGGGTTGATCAGACATTTTAGGGAGAAAACCGATGTAAGTAACCGATCTACACGAATGAGGATAATCTGCGTGATCTACTTATCAGAATGGTGCGACAATGGAACTTCGTCGGCAAATGTCTAGCGGTCTGATCGCTCTGGTTGAGTAATGGATGGTAGCTCAAAGCGTGAAGAATAGTAGGGGCTTATGGACTAAGTCATAATGGAATGGAAGCCACAGGAAGAACCTCCAACGTCACTGGCATTCGCCACAACCAACAACACCGGACAACGACAGAAGCATCAGCAGCTTCAGCAGGCGGTGAAGCTTACAACGCGAAATAACTCGAGAGAAAGTAACGAAGCGCCTTGTTGGATCAAGCTTTAAACAGCGAGAATCCTGTCATGACATAGGTGGTAGAAACTAAACTAGAGACATTGCTGACTCTAAGACACTGGTGCTAGGGGAATGGTCTAAGGTCGTCTTACCAGGTTCGGACACCATCACAAGTTTGGTCTTGGATACTGTGAGAGTGTTAGGTTGGTTGGTGGATGTGGTATGGTTGGGAAACTGTACTTAGATTTGGCTGAGGCTTGGGAACCGGTGAGATGGTATGGGAGCGAACGAACCGGACATGTCGGGTCTTCGGTTGTGGGGACATCGAGGCTCGGCTCGTAGTCAAGGCGATTGGCTGGCTTGGTTTGCCACACTGCCACATGGGTTTCTGCGTGGTGGTGCTGCAGACTGGCGGTGTGCGTGGCGTCGCATCTCTGCTTTCGTAACCGTGACTTGGGGGTAGGAGAAAGGGTTGCGAACAGTTGTTGAACCAATGTTCATCGCGAACTTCGGTCGTCACAGCTCCAACCAGTCATCGAAGCCACAACAGCTGAGAACGAAATGAGGAGATTTCGCGAAGGCGAAAACTGTCGCGCCACTGACTGATGAGCCAACAGTTCAGCAGCCAACCTGCTGCGCAGGCTAGTATACAGTACCACCTGAAAGAAACACCGCCTCGGTAACTGCCTGAAAGCGGCCTCCTGGAACCACCAAACAGCGGAACCTGGAAAGAACCGAAGCATTTCGGTACAAGGCCATTGCGGGTACAGTGCACGATTACCATATCATCTCCCAGTCACATTGGAGAGCTCTATGGACTACCACACCATGGGCAAGTACACCAAATGGAGCTTCAAGGAAATGGGCCAGGGTATAAACAGATTACTGCATGGGAACTCATAGGCTCACAGGATAACAAATTACTACAATATGCAATTCGAATGAAAATGCTACAGGGTCCACACCGCTGCCTCTCTATTTGTTTCCGACACTACACATCTCTTCAAAGACCTGAAAAAAAACTACCATGCCATGAATGTTCAATCCTTAAGGAGGCAGATTGTGAAGCGGCAAGGGTTAGTCGAATCTTGCCATTTGCTGGCGAGAGACATGTACCAGATGACTTGTGCCTGGAAAGCTCTGATCTGATGGACTGGGACAGGCAATATCCACCTCTGGCTTGGGTTGGGTTGGGTTGGGTGGGGCCTCTTCCATAAAAATGGCCATGGAACCGACTCTCAGAAATGCCAGGGAGCCGAACTGACTCTAACGGGGTATGTGACCCTACTTTTAATAGATCGTACTGCGTAGGAATCTGCCCTCGGAATTGCCATCGAACCGACTCTCAGAATTGCCAGCGAACTGACTCTCAGAATTGCCAGCAAACCGACTCTCAGAATTGCCAGGGAACCGACTCTCAGAATTGCCAGCGAACCGGCTCTCAGGGTTGCCGTGAAACCGGGTCTCCGTTGTCTTGCCTTGTTGCTTGGGATGTGAAGGCCCCTCCCTTGCCTCACCATGTAACATGGGGTCTGAAACCCCCTCCCATGCCTCACCTTGCAACTTGGGGTTTGAAACCCCTTCCCATGCCTCACCATGTAACATGGGGTCTGAAACCCCCTCCCATGCCTCACCTTGCAACTTGGGGTTTGAAAACCCTTTTCATGCCTCACCATGTAACTGGGGGTCTGAAACCCCCTCCCATGCCTCACCTTGCAACTTGGGGTTTGAAACCCCTTCCCATGCCTCATCATGTAACTGGGGATCTGAAACCCCCTCCCTTGCCTCACCTTGTAACTTGGAGTCCGAAACCCCCTCCGTCGCCTCACCTTGTTACTTGGGGTCTGAACCCCCTCCCTTGCCTCACCTTTTTACTTGGAATCTGAAACCACCTCCCTTGCCTCACCTTATTACTTGGGGTCTGAAACCCCCTCCCTTGCCTCACCTTGTTACTTGGGGGCTAGAAACCCCTACCTTGCCTCACCTTGTAACCTGGGGTGTTACCCCCTCCCTCAGCCCTGCCTCACCTTGTAAGTTGGGGTCTAAAATCTCCCCCCCCCCCATGCTTCACCTTGTAAGTCGGGGTCTTAAATCCCCCCCCCCCCCCCTGCCTCACCCTGTAACTTGGAGTCTTAAACCCCCCCCCTCCCCCACCCCCCCTGCCTCACCTGGTAAGTCGGGGCCTTAAATCTCTCTCCCCCCCCCCCCCCCCCCCCCCTGCCTCACCTTGTAACTTGGAGTCTTAAATCCCCCCCTCCTTCCTTGCCTCACCGTGTAAGTCCAGGTCTTAATTCTTCTTCCCCCTCCCCCCTCCCCTCACCTTGGAAGTTGGGGTCTTTAATTCCCCGCCCCCCTTCACCTTGTCACTTGGAGTGTGAAAAATCCCCTTCCTTGCCTCACCTTGTGCTGAGTAGCTCCCCCTGAGGCCAAGCTATCCCCTCCCTTGCCTCACCTTGTGCTGAGCAGCTCCCCCCGAGGCCGAGCTATCCCCTCCCTTGCCTCACCTTGTGCTGAGTAGCTCCCCCCGAGGCCGAGCTATCCCCTCCCTTGCCTCACCTTGTGCTGAGTAGCTCCCCCCGAGGCCGAGCTATCCCCTCCCTTGCCTCACCTTGTGCTGAGTAGCTCCCCCCGAGGCCGAGCTATCCCCTCCCTTGCCTCACCTTGTGCTGAGTAGCTCCCCCCGAGGTCGAGATATCCCCTCCCTTGCCTCACTCTGGAGCATGGGGTCTGAAACTCCCAGGGTAAGGCGATTGAGAGGGGAGTTGAAACCCCCCCGGTAAGGCCAGGCAAAGAAGAGAAGGGGAGGTTCCCCTGCCCCTCGGCTGCCTTTCTCCCACCATAACCTGGACTCTTCACCAACCCCTCACTGCCCCTCACTACCCCTTACTACCCCTCACTCATGTTAACCTTGGAACCTCAGAAGGTGCGCATCACTGGACTAGCACAGGGGCCGGGGAGCGTCAGGCACTCCATGCAGCATCATCATTTGCTGCCCCGCCCCTGTGCACAGCCAGATCTCTCTTCCCCCCAGGGGTTTCAAGCCCCATCTCTCCCCAAGGGATTGCATGACCCATTTCTCCCCAAGGTTTTCAGGCCCCATCTCTCCCCAAGGGTTTCAGGCCCCATCTCTCCCCAAGGGTTTCAGGCCTCTTCTGTCCCCAAGGGTTTCAGGCCCCCACTCTCCCCAGGGATTTCAAGCCCCATCTCTCCCCAAGGGGTTGCCAGCCCCATCTCTCCCCAGGGGTTTCAAGCCCCACCATCTCTCCCCAAGGGGTTGCAGGCCCCATCTCTCCCCAAGGGTTTCAGACCCCATCTCTCTTCAAGGGTCTCAGGCCCCCTCTCTCCCCCTGGGGCTTCAGGCCCCCTCTCTCCCCCAGGGGTTGCAGGCCCCCTCTGTCTCCTCTCGCTTACTCCCCCAACTTACCCCAGGGGTTTCAGGCCCCCTCTCCTCTCTCTCTAACAGTGGTGGTTGCAGGCCCAGTTCCGCCCCTCAGCAAACTTACCCTCGTGGTTGCTGCAGCGCCCCTCCATTGCCCCCCCCTCCATTCACTTACCATTTATCCTCCCTTGCTCACTCACCTTACCCTGGGGTTTCAGGACCCCATTCTTCTCTCCCTCTTGCTCACCTTACCCCGGGGGTTTCCGCTCCCCTCTCAACAATTCGGAAAGGGTTGAACCAAAGAGCCAAAATGACAGGGCATCTGGCAACACGTGGGGCATCAGGCAACAAGCGGGGCATCATCACTTGCTGCCCATCATGTGGAGCTCTTGGCTCAACCCTTCTCTTCCACTCACCCACCTTAGTGGCTTCAGCCCTTTCCACTCGCTCACCTTATGGGTTTCAGCCTCCGTTCTCTTCCACCCACTCACGAAGGCGCCCTCCCTTGCCCCTCCCCTCCCTCTCACTCAACTTACAGTGATGGTTGGTTGAAGGCGCCCTCCTTTGCCCCTCCCCTCCCTCTCACTCGACTTACAGTGATGGTTGGTTGAAGGCGCCCTCCTTTGCCCCTCCCCTCCGTCTCACTCGAGTTACAGTGATGGTTGGTTGAAGGCGCCCTCCTTTGCCCCTCCCCTCCCTCTCACTCGACTTACAGTGAAGGTTGGTTGAAGGCGCCCTCCTTTGCCCCTCCCCTCCCTCTCACTCGACTTACAGTGATGGTTGGTTGACGGTGCCCTCCTTTGCCCCTCCCCTCCGTCTCACTCGACTTACAGTGATGGTTGGTTGAAGGCGCCCTCCTTTGCCCCTCCCCTACCTCTCACTCGACTTACAGTGAAGGTTGGTTGAAGGCGCCCTCCTTTGCCCCTCGCTTGACTTACACTTCTGGTATCAGCCCCCTGCTCTCCCCTCCCTCTCACTCAACTAAGAGTGATGGTTGGTTGAAGGCACCCTCCTTTGCCGATCAATCAACTCACCAAGAGAGTGCCAGGCCCCTTTTCACCACCACCCCCTCCAAGGTTACCACCCTCCCCACCTCCCCCCTCCCTCCCAGCACTAGGAGCAGCATGCAACGCACTCCCCTTCGGAAACAGCACCCCCCATGGCTATGCCTTGTGGTCAAAGTGTGGCAGTGGAAAATGCACGGGCGGCCCAAGACTCAAATCCCGTGACGAAAGCGTCGTAGGAGGGGACTCCCAACCAGAGCCGGCGCGCACGGCTCTGACCGGTTCCATTATACGATACGCCAGTGTTGGTACTTGAAGAACGACTGCCGTGCCACACACTTTCCACTGACCACACCGGACAACAAGGCAGGAACCACAGAGGGTGCTGCCCCTAAGGAAGTGAGCTGCATGCTTGTTCCTATGCTTCCCCCTTCGCCCCTCCCCAACCCCCCCCCCACCAACCGCCTTCCCCTTACCTCCACCTACCATAGCCGAATGGAGCACCATGCTGCTGCAACCTGCTGAGGAGGGGGGGGGAGGGGGGTTGAGGGTGGGGACTGCACCTTCCTTTCCTCAAGGCGTGGTGCTGCTGGGGGGAGGGGAAAGGGAGGGAGGGGGAGGCGGGGGGGTGGGGGGATGAATGGGGTGGGAGGGGGGGTTGAGGGGTGGGGGAAGGGAGGGGGGTGAGTGCGGTGAGAGTGGGGAACGCACCTTCCTTTCCTCAAGGCGTGATGCTGCTGGGGAAAGGGGAAAGGGGGAGAGGAGAGGAGGTAAGAGGAGGTGGGCTCCATTCTCCTGCCCTTGACCCAAGCTCCTGGCCTTGGTTCAAGGCTCCAGATCCACATGCTGTAGGAAGGAAGGAAGCAGAGGGGGTGAGGCGACCATACCTGCACCTGATACCATACCTCGCTCACTCACTCCTAATCCTAGCCTGACCTCTAACCGCCCACCCCCCAACAGGTACTGCTGCTTCGGCTGCTGCTGCTGCTGCTGCGTCTGCTGCTTCTGCTGCTGCTACTGCTGCAGTCTTCAAATGATGCCAAGTCACATGTTAAGGGCAGGCAGAAAGGGGAGGCAGACAGATAGTTAGTGCAGGACTTTCAACAGAGGACCAGAATGACAGCGAAACAGAGAGCCAAGCATGCAAGATGAGCTTGAAAGAGTGAAGGATGAGACTGAAAGCACGGAGGCTGCAGCAGCAAGGGGGGTTGGTGACACGGGGCTTACCTTGAGTGGCCAGCCCAACCCCGATACTCTCCCTTGCAGCCGAGTCTGTGGAGTGCTGCCCACACCAGTAGTGTTATGTCCCCCCCCGCCCACCAGAGGCACCTGCACGGCCACAAGGGGAGGGGTCCGGGGGAGTGGCGGTGTTGACCCCCACGGCCCTCCCCTCAACAGGCAAGGGGGGGGGGGGGGGGAGGTGAACGTAAGTCATATTAGTCTATAGGTAGGCTGAACCTTAGGGGGGGGGGGCACCTGGAATAGGGGGTCTGCACCATGTGACCTAGGCTGCTGCAAGTGGTTCGCTTTTATGTGGGGGGGCATGCAGCATGGATGGACTGGTGAGGTGCTTTGAGAGCATGCGAGAGCATGTGAGAGCATGTGAGAGCATGTGAGAGCATGCGAGAGCATGTGACAGCATGTGAGAGCATGCGAGAGCATGTGACAGCATGTGAGAGGATGTGAGAGCATGCGAGAGCATGGGAGAGCATGTGAGAGCATGTGAGAGCATGTGAGAGAATGTGAGAGCATGCGAGAGCATGGGAGAGCATGTGAGAGCATGTGAGAGCATGTGAGAGCATGTGAGAGCATGTGAGAGCATGCGAGAGCATGTGACAGCATGTGAGAGCATGTGAGAGCATGTGAGAGCATGTGACAGCATGCGAGAGCATGTGACAGCATGTGAGAGCATGTGAGAGCATGTGAGAGCATGTGAGAGTGTGGCACCACAAAGTCAAAGTAAGCGAGGGAAAGCGGTCAAAACGCGAGGGAGAGAGAGCATGTGTGGAGTGTGTACTCAACTGCTGTGGCTGCTTGTGTGCTCCCAGTTGGCGACCCCAGCCCCAGCCTCCCATTACAGCCGAGTAGAGTGCTGCCCCCCCCCCCCCCCCCCCCTCCCCCCCACCCCACCAGAGGCACCTGCACAGGCAGAGAGGAGGAGTAGAGGTGAGTCACAGTGGGCAAAAGGAACAGTGCTAGAAAAAAATACAGAAAAACTAGTGAGGTGCTCACCTTCTCAAGCCGACCGAATCCCGATTCTCTCCCATTACAGCCGAGTGGAGTGCTGTCGCCCACCTCCCCCCCCCCTCGCCCATCTCCTCTGCAAAAGGAACAGCCCTAGAAAAATGAAAAAATTCTAATGAAGCCCTCACCTTGAGTTGCCAACCCAACCCCGATGCTCTCCCTTGCAGCCGAGCAGAATGCTGGCCCCCCATCCCCCCCCTTCCCCACCCACCAGAGGCACCTGCACAGGCAAAGAGGAGGGGTAGAGGTGAGACAGAGGGCATATGAACAGAGCTAAAAAAATGCAGAAAAACTGATGAAGTGCTCACCTTGAGTGGCCAGCCCAACCCCGATACCCCCAATACTCTCCCTTGCTGCTGAGTGGAATAGAGTGCTGCCCCTTTCTCCCTTTCGACCCACCAGAGGGACCTGCACGGCCACAAGGGGAGGGATGTGGGGGAGTGGCGGTGTTGACCCCCACGCCCCTCCCCTCAACCAGCAGGGGGAAAACTGTGGAGCTGTGAGTAGGCGGCTAGGGGTAGAAGCGTGAGAGGTGTGCATGGGTGGGGTGGGGTGGGGTGGGGTGGCAGGTGATAGGAACACTGGAGCAGCACTAGCCACACGGTGCAGACCCATGGGGGGGGGGGGGGGGGGGGGGGGTTTGGGGGTGTGGGTGTGGGGGGGGTTGGGTAAGTAGTAAGTCTTTATAGTATAAATATAGGCTTAACCTTAGAGGGGGGGGGAACCTGGGAAAGGGGGTCTGCACCATGTGACCTGGGCTGCTGCAAGAGTATTGCTTTTCAGAAAGGAGGCATGAAGCATGGATGGACTGACGAGGTGTGGATGCAAGTGTGGGCGAAGTGAAAAAATTCGAAGACAGTGTGCTTAAAAAAGCCAGAAACAAGCGAGTGAAAGCAGTCGAAAGGCGAAAGGAGGAGGAGCGTGGAGTGGGTACTTAGCTGCGGTGACTGCTCGTGTGTGTGCTCCCACCTGGCACCCCCAGCCCCAGCCCTCTCTGCTTCCCCCCACTCAAGCGCTTCACAGCACCCACTTCACGCCCCTCCCCTCCCCTCGCCTCCCCTCCCCCTGCAGTCACAGCACCCACTGCACAGGCGCTTGCAGTTCCGCCAGCAGAGGCCTGGTTTGGGGAAGGGGGTGGGGGAGGGGGGAGGAGGGGGAGGGGAGGGGAGAGGGGCGGGGGGGGGAAGGGGGGTGGAGGAAGAGAGAGGTAGTTAGGTGGAGGAGGGGGTGGAAGGGAGATGAGAGATGGGCAAGCGATGCGCAAGGGAGAGGACCACGGGAGGGCGCCACTGGTAGAGTCTCAGCAAGAAGCCACAGACCCAAGGGGGGGCTTGGCTTGACCTGAAGTAGACATGGGCATGAGCCGAGCCTGGCTCGGCTCGGCTCGTTTGGGGTCGAGCCGAGCCGGCTCGCCTCGAGCCGGGTCCTCAGGATCTCTGGCTCGGCTCGGCTCGTTAAGGGGCCTTGTGTAACCTCTCAAGAAGGGCCACTGTTTTTGGGGTGGCTAGTCCAGGGGACCTACCAGATTGTGATTGTGAACAAGTGCTGCTCTGTTTGGGGCGCCACTACAAGTCTAGGTGGGCAGAAACGGGTATCCCCTGTTTCTATCCACAACTAAGTCTACCGAATCCAGTGTTACAATAATTTATTTAATGTAGTAGCATGGAAGTTAAAAGAGTGCCCCTTAGCCAACGGCATGTTCTCAGCGCAACCAGAGGCAAGCAAGCTACGATCGGCAAGCAAGCTCCGATCGGCAAGCAAGCACGCAGCCTAGAGCTCCTCCACCCCGAGCTTCTCCGTCTCTTTGATCCACCCTGGCTTTAACAGAGAGACACCAGGGTGCGTGCGAGTCCATGACTTGAGAGTCATAGTGGCTCGCACACTCTCCCCCGTCAACCTCTGCCTATGGCGGGTGATCACATTTCGGCTCTGACTGAACACACGCTCGCTAGCTGCCGATGTTTCTGGTATGGCCAGGTAATCCCTGGCCATAGCCTGCAACACCGGCATATCTGACCTCTCGCGCCAGTACGCCAGGGGGCAACCCTCATGCAACTCCCCCTCAATGTAACGATCCACCTCGTCCCGCACCGTGGACCCCCGTCGTGCGGAGCGCGCTAGCAGCTTGGCGTTGAGAGACTGGCTCAAGCCACCCCGCACTGGTACACCACTAGCATATCCACCCTCAACCTCCCCCCCCGCCAAGGCCACCCCTCCTCTGCCCCCGCCCTGTGGTTGTGCCGCCTGCTGCAGCCGCTTACTGTACTCAGCAAAGCGAGCCCGTACAAGGGTCAGCACCTCTGACGGCTTGAAGCTCGCCACAGGCCTGCCCTCCTCCTCCTCCTCCTCCTCCTCCTCCTCCTCCTCCTCCTCCTCCTCCTCCTCCTCCTCCCTCCTCCTCCTCCTCCTCCTCCTCCTCCCTCCTCCTCCTCCTCCTCCTCCTCCTCCTCCTCCTCCTCCTCCTCCTCCTCCTCCTCCTCCTCCTCCCCTCCTCCTCCTCCTCCTCCTCCTCCTCCTCCTCCTCCTCCTCCTCCTCCTCCTCCTCCTCCTCCTCCTCCTCCTCCAATCCCTCAATCTCGTGCTCATCATTCCCCTCCTCTTCCTCCTCCTCATACTCGCTGCCGCTAGATTTTCCGCTCTCCTGCTCCTCCGAATCGCTCCCATCCCTCTCATCACCGCCGCTCTCCCTGCTGCGGCGAGCTTGTGTGCGCTTGGCCCTCCTCCCCTCCCCCTGGGCCCTTCCCCCACCTCCCCCTCGTCCCATCCCCTGCCGAGAGAGGAGGATATTCGTCCACTCCTCAGGCATGTGGGGCATGGATCCACCTCCATCGGTCGCATTCTCCCGCGAACTGGCACCCCCCTGGTCCCCCACCGCCTCACTTGTTGTGCCCGCTACACGATCCCTCCCCGGCCCCCCTTGCCTAGCCGCTGTTGCCTTGGTCTTTGCCATGCGCAAGATCGCGCCCCCCGCCCTTCCCAAATGCGTGCGCTTAACTTATGTCGTCGCGCGCCCTAATGTAGCGTTACTGAGCGCCCTACAACCTTCAGCATCGCGTGAGTTGGCCTAAACGGTCGCACGCCCATGCCTAAACCCTAGCGTGCGCATACCACGAGCCAAGGCCTCGGTGGCGCGCCTAGGGGTGTCGCGCCATGGCCTCGGTGACCCTAATTGTAATAGCACTTACATGTTTAAAAAAAAAACAAGGTGCTGCAAGTTTAAATGGTTCTGGCTGAGGGCGAAAGACTAGGGCGATAGCCTAGGGCGACATAGAAAGATTAGGCTTGGTTTACGAAATGGGCTTGGGGGAGTTTATCGATTTGAAATTTGAGTGTCGCGAAACCCCCCCTTACCCAAACCGCGAGCCGGCTGGCTCGAAATCGAGCCATCTCGAGCCGGCTCAACTTCGGCTCGCCTGGTTTCGCGTGCGCGAGTTGAGCCGAGTCGAGCCAGGTGTGGCTCGGCTTGTGCCCATGTCTGACCTGAAGGGTATACCTGAAACACCTGAGGGGGTATACCTCTAATACCGGGGGGGGGGAGTTTCAAAGGGCCGAAACGAATGGCAGACACAGGAAAAGCGGCAAGACATGCAGTGGAAGGCAAGGGTAAGTGGGTGCAGGGAGTAGGGATGGCATACTTAGCTGGTTGCTTGCTTGAGTTTCCATGGGGTTGTGCGGAAGCCCGCGGGACCCCTGACCACCAAGTGCTCCCTCTGCTCCCCCTTCCCCCTACCCCCACCCACCGGCGCTTGCAGATCTGCCAGCAAAGGCCCTGGGATTGGAAAGGAGAAGGGGAGGGGAGGGGAGGGGAGGGGAGGGCTAGAGACAGAAGAGGCATTTAGGTCCCGTCCAGGAGAGACGCAGAAAGTTAGGCAGCAGATGCTAAGGGGAGAAATAGAGATGCGCAAACAATGCAAAAAGGCGTGGAAGAAGGGAGGTGGCCACTGGTGGAGGCACGGCCACATGCCCCAGACCCCAAGGCTGAACCTGAGGGGTGACCTGGGGGGCTGTAAGGCTTTAGGTGAGCTGAACCTGGGGGGGTTACCTGCAGAAGGGGGGGAGGGGTCTGTGGCTTGAGAGTTGGCCGCAACCAGTGGCAGCATTTTGAGGGAAATCGAAGAGATGGACATGTGATAATAACGAAACAGCAATAAGAACAGCTAGGAGCAGCCAAAGGTCAGTATAGGGAGGAAGGGATACTTAGCTGGAAGGAAGTTGAAGCTGCGCTGAGAGCAGCTGTCGGCTACCCGCTCTCATCCCCTCCCCTGCTGCTCCCCTCCCCTCCCCTCCCCTCCCCGCCACTGCTGCTCCTGGCAGCCAGACAGACCAGCAGAGGCCTTGCTGGGGGATGGGGGGAAGCGGAGGAGGGAGGGGAGGGTGAGGAAGGGGGGAGCGGCGGTAGTTAAGTCCAGGAGAGAGAGTGGTCGGCAAATGGGAATGGAGATGCGCAAGAGATGGCGAAAGGGGAAGAAGGGAGGGGGCCACTGGTGGATGCACAACCGCATGCTACAGACCCCAAGGGAACCTGAGGGGGTGAACCTGCAGTAGGGGGGACCGGGGGAGGGACCTGGGGGGGCTGTAAGGCTTCAGGGGGGCTGAACCTGAGGGCTTTCCATGCAATAAGGGGAGGGGGAAAGGGGGGAGGGGGAAAGGGGGGAGGGGGAAAGGGGGGAGGGGGAAAGGGGGGAGGGGGAAAGGGGGGAGGGGGGGGGGGTGTCGGTGTCTTGAGAGCCGCGGCCCAACCAGTGGCGAGATTTTGAGAAAGAAAGCATTGAAGGACGCAAGAACGAGATTGAAGCAGCAATGATAAATGCTGGTAGTAGAAATAGGCTCAGCCTAGGGGGGAAGGGACACTTAGCTGGGATCACCCCCGGTGGGAAAGCAGCACTGAGAGTGGTTGTCTGACTGCTCTCCCTTCCCGTCCCCTCCCCTGCTGCTCCCCACCCGTCCCCTCCGGTCTCGTGACAGCCAGACGCGCCAGCAGAGGCCCTGCTGGGGGATGGGGGGGAGGGGAGGAAGGAGGGGAGGACGGAGGGAAGGAAGGAGGGGAGGCGAGGAGGGGGGAGGGGAGGTAGTTAAGTGCAGGATAGAGTGGTGGGCAAACGGGAATTGAGGTGTGCAAGCGATGCAGAGAGGAGAAGGAGAAGGGAGGGGGCCACTGGTGGAGCCACAGCCACAAGCCACACACCCCAAGGGGATGAACCTGCAGAAGGGGGGATCTGCAGTAGGGGGGACCTGCAGTAGGGGGGACCTGGGGGGGCTGTAAGGCTTTAGGGGGGGTAAACCTGAGGGCTTCACCTGAAGGGGTGGGGAGTGGGGGGGGGGGGGTCTCTGTGGCTGGTGTGCCGGGCCCCAACCAGTGGAGGGATTTTAATAGACTGAAAGTACTCAAAGCATGCAAGGCTCAGTAACTCAGTCTAGGAAGGAACGGTTACTTAGCTGGAAAGTGAAGTTGACGTCCCAATTGAATCCCCCCGAATCCCTCCGAAGCTCCTCCACTCCGCCTCACCTCCGCCTCCCATCCGCCCCGCCGTCCCCTCTCCCAATGCTATCCCTCGCAGCCGCACACGCCGCTGCTGCCGCTGCTGCCGCAGCTGCCGTCATTGCTCCTCAACCTGCCGTTACTGCAAGGGATTGGGGGGGAGGCGGGGGTCGAGGAGTTCCCCCCCAACCCCCCAAGGAGACGGCAAACAGCCGCCCAGCAGCGCGCACACACAGAGAAGTACTTATTAGAAGGAGCACGAGGGACGACTTTTGAGGCGCCTAAAAAGTCGTCTCTTTATCCGCGGATTTAATACAGGAAGAATTTTGGTTGCTTGGAAGTGTGCACGTAACGTGCAACAACTTTTGGTTCGCGCGAGGTTACCACCTGCAGGTTCCAAGGCTCCCGAGGACAAACCCGAAGAATGACGGGGCACCTAGGTTTTTTCCGCAGTGCTTTGTTGGCTTACTTCTTATCTAGATGTGGGCCCGGGTAGGATTTCCCCAGAGTACACCTTGAGCCTGACACAGGAACACAACTTTTCAGGGTGCCGGTAGACAAAAACGCGCGTGGGTTTCGCACGGCATCGTCACGGGCATGTGGGCCTTTTGCACGGGCACGAAGGTTACCATTTTGATGTTTTGTGGGGTAGGTTTGAGTGGCATATTTTGGTGAGCCATTGTTCACTTAGTTACCCTGTGTTAAGTTTCGGCTCTTTCAAGCGAGAGTGAGTTTCTCTGGTGTAGCACCAGAGTGGTGGTTGGCGGGTGAGATGTTGAGTGAGTTTTTCTGGTTTGGTTTGCTCCCTTTTATACTCAGTAAAATGAGGCGAGGGTTTGGAGTCGCATTTCAGTTCCACATGTTACGGGCGTGTTCTAAACATTTCTTATATTACAAATTGAACATTCGTGTCGCAACAATAACTGCTGAGTGGATTGTGGGAATTTGATTTCGAGTCTGTTCCTGGGTTGGCTGTCGGATATGGAGAACGAACCCTGGCATCAGGACATCGCGACTCCATTTCGATGCCAAGTCAGCGTCCGGTTTCATGCGGCGACGCTCAAGCGACAAACAAACCCAGCGAGGCGTGTGTACTTTTGCGAGCTCAACGAAAGGCTCGCTGCTCTTCGTCGGAGTGCCATTCCGAGCGCGACTGGAATTTTGTGGCAAAAATGGTTGCGGCGCACATCTTTCGTCTTGTGCCGCATGTTTGTCACCGCTGTCATGATAACGCTGCACTGTTGGCTCTGTTCACGGCCCACGTTGAGTGGGCCGTTGCCCGTGTGACAACGCTAATGGGCGATGCTTTCTGATTGGGCCACGTATTGGGCTGGGCCTCCGGTGCGCACCATGTGTAGATCTCGAGGCTAGGGTGTCTTTTTAAGACCCCTCGCTCGGAGGTTTCTTTTTCATTACCAGCTCATGCACTGATGAAGGTGTTGTGGGTTTGATCCCCACCACCGAAACATGTTTGCTTGTTGATTCAATTCAAGGGCCGGTTGAGAAACTTTTTCGAGTCCACCTATTTTCTGAGGGTACAAGTTTTTCTAACAGTCAGTCTTTTGCTAACGCGACCTTCCTACGCTGCTGCTACTCTTCCATGACAACTGATCATTAGAAGGAGCACGAGGCGACTAGAGGGAGACGCACTTACCATACGGCAGCGGCGGCTGAGAGAGTGACGTACCCGCCCCCCCTACAGGTGGGTGCATGCGCTTACGGGGCATTGGAGGATGGGGGTGTTGGAAATGGTTTGGTGCTGCCCTAACCAAAGGTGGGCCTAACCTAATCTGGCGGCGCAATGGCGGCGCTAGGTGTGGAGGAGGAACGGTGATGTAGCGGTATGCGGTGGAAGTTCGGAAGAAATCCGGTTGAGGAAAGCGGGGAAGATGAGAGGTGGAAATGAGGAGGAAGGAGTGCGCGGCTGCTGGAAAGGTTGCGTAATGCAACAGCTCGAAGTGTTGTGCGGGGAATTGGAAGTTGGAAGTGGAGTGCATTCGGTGCGCGTTCAGTGGAACCAAACTCGGTGTCGGTTTTGGTACCAAACCAACGCGGAGCGCGTTCGGTTTCGGTGGAGTGCGACTTGGGGTAACTCGAGGCGCACGCGTTACAGCGAGACGCACGTTGTAAGGAATTTTCCATTCCTTACCGAGCGGTACAGCTATCGCGTACGCTCGAACACACCTGAAGCCTCGGGACTGTTCCAGGCCTCCTGACAGAACCGCCTCGGCTTTTCCAGACCTTCCAGTTCGACCTTCGGGAGTTCTCCAGGCCTCGCTTCGTCACTTCGAGACCCTTCGATCTCCTTCCCGAACCTTCCCATCGCATGGTTAGACTAGCTCTGGTGTTCCTATATCTTGGCTTGCCATTCCTTGTATCGTCATTCATTGAGTGAACACTTCGTTATTCATTTCCGCGCTACTCTGCTTGTTCATTCATAACACCTGGTAATCAGAGCCACTTTCCTCGCTCACCCGTTTTCGAGAGTTGATTTTTTTGGGGGGGGGGGATAAGTCCCTCACGTAAGCTGCAAAGCGGTTGCTCGCAAATTAGACTGATTAATTCGCCCAACTACGATAGCGTTTGCGCTTACCTGAGTACAGGCACATTACGGATTTCCCCCTGCCCCGGCGGAGCATTCGCCAAATGGACCAAGCTCAGTTCAACGAGCTTCGGGAGCAGTTCAACGCCATGAACACACGCATGGCTACAGTGCTGGAGGACAACGAGCGACTTCGTGCGGAAGTTGCTGAGTTACGCCAGGCGCGAGAGGATTCGCGTAAAAAATCTACCGCCCAAGAGGAGGTCGCCAGCACCGGACGTGTCGAAACCGTTTTGGACGAAATCGCACGTCAGGTGTCCCAGGAGCGCAAGGACAGTGAAGCCGCCGCAGCAGCTGACGTGGCAGCACGAGCAGCAGCCGAAGCAGCAGCAGCAGCAGCAGCAGCGACAGTAGCAGCCGCTCGGTCAGAAGCAACCGCTACTGTAGCCGCGCCGGCATTTATGCCGATCGTGACGACAGCGACGATCAAACCGACAATGCCGCCCCCGTTCAACCCCACAGATAATAATACCACTGTTACGGGCTGGCTATTTTCGGCGGAAATTTATTTCAACGCCGCTGGGATCACTACTGACAATTTAAAAATTCGACTGGCTGTCTCACTACTGCGAGGACCTGCGCTAGATTGGTGGCGATATACTCTACAGGAGGGGGAGTTTTCGGCAGGCGACACACAGGGGTTTTTCAGAAACTTTGGGTCTGCTGCCCAAGGGTCAACCGCGATTTTTGGATCGACCAAGATTCGCACGTGGAAGGCGTGGGGTACAGCTCTGCGCGAACGTTTCGAGTCAATATCCGCCTCGGACAACGCGCGCACGAAGCTGGACAACTGGCACCAGTGGAGTTCTGTCCAGGATTACGCGTCGGTCTTCATGGCGTTATGCGATCAAATCACCGACATGCATGACTCCGAGAAGAAAGCTCGATTCATTTCGGGCTTGAAGCAGGACATTAAATGCGAAGTCCGACTGCGACTGCCGGCGACGTTTCACGAAGCCGTCCGGATCGCAGACAACTTCGACGCGCATCGGACGTATGCGAGAGCGGGTTCCCGGGAGGGAAATCGTTTTCGTGGCCAGAATCCACGGCCCACGATTCACGGCGTAGTGGCGAAGGAGCACATGGACGATTTTCGCAAGGGACAATGTTTCAACTGCCACCAGCCAGGTCACCAATCTCACGATTACCCCCGAAAGAAGCAGATAAAGAAGAACGACGAAGACAGGTCGGGAAACGCCAAGCGTCAGTAGCGGTCGGGCCCCCTACTGACCCTGTCTTCTCGCTCGAAAAACACCATCCCCACCGAGTAGTGGTTCCGATACATGCTATCAACCGCTCCCGGCTGAATAAGGGGGATGACCCAGTGGACCACCCTGTACTGGCGGAAGGACGACTCAACGGGAGAAAAATAAAAATATTCATCGACGGAGGTGCGAGTCACAGCCTGATAAATCGAGAGACAGCACGACGACTACACCTGACGCTGGAGCGGTGTCTACCCGAAATCGACGCGCGATTGGTGGACGGCACCCCGCTGGCGATACGCGACAAAGTACCTGTCGTTCGAATGAAGTGTGGCGACGATTTTGATTTCAGCACGCCGATGCTGGCGACAACGCTCGACGGCTACGACGTGCTATTGGGACGCGATTGGCTGCGACGTTTCAACCCGCAGATCGATTGGACAACAGGCGAGTGCACAGTGAAGTGCGACAAAGGCTGGCGAAAGTTACCCACGTGGCCGGAAGCGGAGACAACATCGACACTCGTCAATGCAGTGTGCCTCAAGCGAGCGGTCAAGAATGGAGCGGATTTGTACGCCGTCCATCTAACCGAATTGATGGAGCAGAACGAGGCGACCGACATCAACAAACTCTGCGCTTCGGTTCCAGATGACTTGGTGAACATCATTCGGGAATATCCCGAAATTTTCCCGGACGATTTGCCAAGTGGCCTGCCACCTGAACGCCCTCAGGACCACAAAATCGAGCTCGAGCCCGGCGCGCAACCTACTGTACGCACGCAATGGCGCCTGACTCAGCCGACTACTTGCTGGCGAAAGGGTTCATTCGGCCGAGCACTTCACCGTTCGCAGCACCAATCCTGTTCACGCCAAAAAAGGACGGCGGCCTTCGCATGTGTATGGATTATCGTGCCCTTAATCGGATAACGATAAAATCGCGCTACCCAATCCCACGAACGGACGAACTGATCGACAACCTTCGCGGAGCTCGTTACTTTTCGAAGATCGACCTTCGTGGCGGTTACCATCAAATTCGAGTGTTCGCTGACGACTGCCACAAGACCGCGTTTCGTACTCGCTACGGGAGTTACGAATACACGGTGATGCCGTTTGGATTAACGAACGCCCCCTCGACGTTTCAACTCACCATGAATGGGGTGTTCCGCGATCTACTCGACAAATGCGTAATAATGTACCTGGACGACATCCTGATCTACAGCAAGACCCGGGAGCAGCATTTAAAAGATTTGGAAGCGGTTTTTCAAAGGTTGCAGCAGCATCGACTCATCACCAAGGGCTCCAAGTGCGAGTTTTTAAAACAAGAACTGGAGTTCCTGGGGCACGTGATCTCCACGGAAGGAATTCGAATAGACCCGAAAAAACTCAGGGCTATTCAGGAGTGGAAACCGCCCACAAATCTGCAGCAGCTGCAATCATTTTTGGGTTTCGTGAATTACGTGCGGCGGTTTATACCCAATATGGCAGGGTTAACTGGACCGCTAACCGACCTACTGCAGAAGGGAACTTCTTACGAGTGGGGGGAGAAGCAGCAAGCTGCGTTCGAGGCATTAAAAAAACTTTTAAAGTCGACACCGGTACTCCGCATCGCTGACCCGGAACGGCCCTTCGAAGTCATCACCGACGCAAGTGACATCGCCATCGGAGCAGTGCTCATGCAGGATTTCGGCAACGGGCTTCAACCAATCGCGTACGAGTCTCGGAAAATGCAATCTGCTGAGCGCAACTACCCAGTACACGACAAGGAGATGTTGGCGATCGTCCACACGTTCAAAATCTGGAGGTGTTACCTGACTGGAGCAGACGTGACGGTGCGAACCGATCACAAATCCCTACAGTACCTGAGAGCGCAGCCGAACCTCAACCCGCGGCAGATATGCTGGCTGGACTATCTGGAGTCGAACTTCACGTACAAGATCACGTATAAAAAGGGCACCAACAATATTGCCGACGCCCTATCCAGACCATCTGCCCAACTCGCAGCAGCACTAGTCGCCCAGAGCAACCCGCTACTGAGTGGACTATTTACCCACGGGTATTCGACTGACCCCTTCTTTGTAAATGACGGTCATCTTCCAATCACTACACGGAAAGGCGTCTATTGCTTACGAAGTGGGACTGATCGAATTTAGGTCCCAAGTTATCGTCTACTTCGCGAATTGCTAATTCAAGAAGTCCACGATTCGAATTTATCGGGACATTTCGGGGTTGATAAAACTCTGAAGGCGTTGCAGCGATTTTATTACTGGCCAGATATGGTGACGGACGTGCAGCGTTACGTGGCCGCGTGTCCGATCTGCCAGTGCATGAAATCGTCACACCAGCGACCTACAGGACTGTTGCAGCCCCTCGAGCCACCTCAACGCCCATGGCAACACGTAACGATGGATTTCGTTACGGGACTACCGGCCGGACCTAGCGGAAACGACGCGGTGTTGGTTGTCGTCGACCGACTGACGAAGATGGCGCACTTCGCACCATGTCGTACAACCATGACAGCCGAAGAAACAGCGCGCGTGTTCATCTCGACCGTCGTTCGCCTACACGGGATACCAGCAGCAATCATTAGCGATCGAGATCCGAAGTTCACGTCGAAATTCTGGCAGGACACGTGGGTTCGATATGGCACGCGTCTACAATTCTCATCCGCGTATCATCCTCAAACGGAC